AGGTTATGTAAATGCGCAATGGTTTTTAAATATTATCGCTAATCAATGTAATTACTGCGGATGCGGTTTTTCTATGGATATCAAAAACAGTAATATAATGACAAATCCGACAGCGCAACATAAATCAAACGAGTTGTCGCACGAACTGAATAGAATTATTCCTTATTGTGCCCGCTGTAATTGTAGTTGTAAATGATAATAATTTCAATAATAATTTGATGTTTCTTGTACAAAAGTATTTAAAGAAATAAAAATTAGACACATTATAATAGAGATGGTGGAATTTACTAAGATTGAGCAAGAAGAAATTATAAATGATTTTCTGAATAAAATAAAAGTTAGTTTCATTATCAGCAGTTGTAAATGTAAACTAATAAATGAAAAAACTGAACTGACTAAGTTAAATTTACTTAATCCAAATGTTAAAAGCATTTGTGATTTTAATTATGTTGAACGCGAGAAATGTTTTTTTTATTAAGAAATGCAAAGCAAGTTTTACATAAGTATTTTTCATTCAACATTGAGACAATGTATGAACATATTGTTTTATAAAGTTAAATTTATTTCCTACATATAAAAATATATACTGCAAGGTAACGAAACATATATTTGACAATTTAATAATGATATTAAACATTACTACGAAAAAACATATGAAGTTAGTTATGCAAGACCAATTGAAGAATTTAATGATAACATGATACGTAAATTTATTGATGATAATGATGAATCAAATAATAAAATTGAAAATGATTGTAAGGAAACATTCTTAAACTAAATAACACAAAGAAACCAATAATTGAAAAGCATAATTGATAAAAAAAAAATGCGATTATACTAAGGATGAACAGAAGAACGATATAACAGGTAAATTAATGTATGGTGATGTGATAAATGATATTAAAAGTGTTTTAGGAAACTGGGGCATTCATTTTTGCATTTATGATTTTGCTGATAGAAAATATCCATTTAAACATAAAAAAGGAACTTTAAACAAATACCAAAGATTACAAAGGAATATTTAAACACTAATGACTTTGATTAAAACCATACTATGATTATAACATTTATACCCTTATATGTTATAATTATAATGTAAGTATAGCGTTTTATATATTGAAGATAAGACCCTTACAAGAAGGACCACGCGCAACTTCGGAATATCCAAATGTTGAAAAATGATTAATTATTAAGTCTTCTCATTGAATTGTTGAAAATGTTGTTTCTTATTGGATAATTCTTCTTAAAATGCTATATATATATATATGTATATTTATCTCTATTGAAAAATGTATATTTTCTAAAATATTTTGGAAAATATGTGTTTTTGAAAATAAAAATGTTTAGGTGTGTTGAATTTTTCACAAATATTCTATTTTTCGTTTTGGTATGCTGTAATAAAGAAATATTTATCAAAATGTGTTTAGACTGTTTCAAAATATGTTTTAAAATGGCTGTTTTGGGGCGCTTATTCAAAAATGCAAAAAAACCTAGGGTGGACCCTGGACTTTTGAGTTCTAAAAAAGTTGCGCGTGGTCATCCCTAACTATGTGTACTATATGTGCTATATTGCCTCGATGCCATATAGCTCATATAGTACATATAGCACGCGCCTCAATACCATATAGCACATATAGTAGATATAGCAGTGCCCTGGGGGAGAGTGGGGCCTCGATACCATATAGCACATATAGTACGTATAGCAGTGACCTGGGGCTGCAGGCTGGCGTGCGTGCCTCGATACCATATAGCACCAATACGCGGTTTTAACATTCAGGATGCTTGCAGGACGAGGTCATTGCCTGGACGGACAAGTGTGAGAAGCCCCATAAATGCGTCAAAACCCGTTTGGAGAATCCTTTAAAGAGAGGGGTGCTAGAATCTGTTTGCGCAGTCTGCCGCCGCGCAGTCCGCCGCCGCTGCTGCGGCCTCGCTTTTGCACAGTCCGCTGCCGCGCAGTCCCCGCCGCTGCCGGCCTTGCAGACCGTTGCCGCGCACTCACAAGCCAATCTGATGCTTCACAAGTCTATTTCCTGTCTTGACCCCCAGGTCAAACCTCCAACGGCCATCGGGAAGTTTCTGACACTGGTGGAAACTAGCCGGCGCAGGTGAAAGCACGATCTTAGCAAATCATTTTGCCGCCAGATATACTGAAAGTGGCTGGTGTGGCGCAGGTGCGGACGCACGACAGCAGCGCAAGAGCCTATGCCCCAAGATTTGTATGAAGGGCTTTCCAGCTTATTTTTCCTTGTGCATGCATTTATGCGCTGGCCTTATGTGTTTCACTGTCTACTTTCTTGTACGAGTCTATTGTCTACTTTCCCTGTGCATGCATCTATGCATGTCGCTTTGTAACCGCCTTACACATTTTATTACGCACCTTTCCCCACGCATGCCGCTATGCATTTCACTGTCCGTTTTCTTGCAGTTAAGCTGTGCAAAACGCAACGATTTTACTGGAAGAACCCCAAAGCCTTGGGAAAGAAACACTTCTTCCGTTTTTCGGAGAGCGCCCTGCGCCAAGTTACCAAGATAGTCGCCAAGATACGCCAAGTTTCGCCAAGTTTTGCAAAGTTTCGAGTTTCGCCAAGTTTCGCCACGAGTTTCGCCAAGTTACAGTTTTGCGAAGTTTTGCCAAATGACGCCAAGTTTTGCCGTCGATTTTCCACTGGGCAGAACACTTGTTTTACGCCAGAATGGCAACGACGCTTGTTTCGCGAGAAAACAAGAAAAACAGAGCGCCAAATTTCGCCTACCGAGTTTCGCAGAGTTTCGCTGAGTGTCGCCGAGTTTCGCTAAGTTTCGCCAAGTGACGCCGAGTTTCGCCAAGTTACGCTGAGTTTCGCCAAGTTTCGCAGAGTTTCGCTGAGTGTCGCCGAGTTTCGCGAAGTTTCGCCAAGTGACGCCAAGTTTTGCCAAGTTACGCCAAGTTTCGCCAAGTTTCGCAGAGTTTCGCTGAGTGTCGCCGAGTTTCGCGAAGTTTCGCCAAGTGACGCCAAGTTTTGCCAAGTTACGCCAAGTTTCGCCAAGTTTCGCAGAGTTTCGCTGAGTGTCGCCGAGTTTCGCGAAGTTTCGCCAAGTGACGCCAAGTTTTGCCAAGTTACGCCAAGTTTCGCCAAGTTTCGCAGAGTTTCGCTGAGTGTCGCCGAGTTTCGCGAAGTTTCGCCAAGCGACGCCAAGTTTCGCCAAGGGAGCCACTCCTGTTGAGCCCCCGGGCCAATCGGGGGTTACACTAAGCGGTGGGGAGCAGTTGCAAGGAGTTCTAGAAGGGTGCGCGTCGACAATCTGGCAAACAAAGACGGAAGGAATCGCTTTACGCTGAGCACCTCCCCTTTCTCCCGGACGTGCCCATGTTTACTTGGAAATGCTTTTCCATCTGTTGCGCAAGGCAAGAAGTGTTTGGCGACTTGGGTCCAATTTCTGAAAACACTTGATTGAATTCGCGCAAGAAAAAACACTTGATTGAATTCGCGCAAGAAAAGCATCTCAAAAACACTTGTTTCACCCAAAACACAAAACTTAAAGCAACTGAGGGTCTGGTTGTAGCCTGAACCACTCGTGCGTAAGCATGTTTGCACGCCTGTAGTGCAACCAAAAAGTGCCGCCGCCCGCAAATTGTAGCACACGTGAACCGGGAGCGACCACGCAGTACGCCAGTAGAGGACTAAGACACGCGGGCGCAAGGATGAGTGCCGGATAGCTTTAGTTGCAGCATTCGCCAACATCTTGGGAGTCAACAGGAACAAGATTGAGGAGGACAAGCCCAATGGCAAGGACGATGGAAGCAAGTGGCCATTTTAGCCGGCGTTGGAGCCTTGAGCCTTGATGAGGCTCAAAGGCGAGCTCAGTAGAAGATTGTCAAGGCAATGACCCAGGAGGTTGAGGATAGTGAGCCGGAAGTGAGTGCAAGGAGTGAGATGAGGGGAAGGGCCAATCCGGTCCACATGACGCCTACAGGAGGCGTGTGCCATACATGCAAGAGCCGAAGGCAGCATGTGAGGATTTCGTTTGAGTTCAGTCATATCCGCATGCAGGAAGCATTCGTACATGATGGCATTCAATTGCATCAGGCTCCAATTGCCACAGGAGAAGCGCTACCGTCCGCTCGACACCATAGCAAAGTGCACAGGATCGCGGATCCAAGAAAATGGCACCGAACTGATTGCGTCGCTGCAATCTTGAATCGGATTTTGCATATATATATATATTATATATATATATATTGCAGGACCGTATTGCAACCACGGTTGGATACATCGTTGCTTCTCCTCGATTTTCAGCATGCACGGGATGGCTTTTCCGGGAGCTTGGCGTATCATTTTGATGCCCAACTGCAGCTTCGCGTGGAAGGTCTGAACTAGTGATCCAGCAAAGCATTCAGCAGGGATCGCGCAAGTGGCAACAAGGCATGTTTTGTAGGGTCTACGAAGCTGTTTGGAAGTGGGCCAGGATATTGAAGAGTACTCAAAGATCTAAAAAATACAAAAAAAAAAACAGGGGGGGGGGGGGAAACCGGGTGAAATCCACAAACCACGCATCCAAACTGTTTTCCAGATAGGGTTTCATGGGTGGGCGACTCCCGTGTCAATTGGTTTGTCCAAACCGTAGCTTTGCACAGCTGCACGGCCGCCAACAACGCCTTCACTTTGAAATGGCAACCGTTTCCAAAATGCCGACCAACCAACTCCCAAAACACGTCCAAAAACTGTCCAATTGCCCCCAAAAGCCAAACACACTTTGGGGATGGCCCGAAGGCTTCGGAACTGCAACCCATTGGACCAGGGTTGGTCCAACTCTCCGGATGCTATGGCAGTGGCGGCCCGAGCTTGGGCCCTCCCGAAGGAGAATGCTATTCAGTTTGGATGCCATGTCCGCCATCATGATTGAACTCGCATGCAGTTTGCGCACGCAGCATCACACACTCAAACTCCTTTTCGTATATCCTTTAAGAGCGTTGGTATTTCAGGGGGCCGCATTCGGCAAATGGCGAGTGCGGTCAGGAGATCTTTGGACAGCTCATCTCCGATCACATTCCGCAGGTGGGGTGACGTTGGAAGTTGAGAAGGGCAGATTGGGGAATCTTATAACGCAAGCGGCTGGCTTGGGTGCCATGTGGGCAGAATGTCTTCGCTTTGCTGTTGTATGTTGCATGCGCATATGTTGGTGTTGTCTGCGCATTTTGCTGCTGATATGGGGACAATCTTGAAGGGTGTGGCTGCATGACGGCAGCTTGGACAGCGTGTCTTGGATTGTGTGCTAGGAGAGCGTGCATGCGTGGATGAGCCAGTTTTTCGTGGAGCATCATGGACGTGTGGCGTTATGGCATGTAAATGGGAGACTGCAAATGATGGTTGAAGATCAATACTTGCAGCCTGGATCGGTGGCTTGGGTCACAGAAAGCCGAGCAGAGCCCGCTTGCGGGAGCTTCATTGGCGATGTGTGCATTCCAGGTGACTGGTGCCGGGCAATGTCACAACTTGCACCAACTGAGCAGTCCGCGAGACGTTGCTGCTCACGGAAGAGCAAGGTTGTTGTATGTGAGTGTGTTGATCGTGTTTCGTGTCGGATATCTGGCAATCCCCCCAACTGCTCCTGGTTGTTCAGGCTGCTCTGTAGGGTATTGGCTTTGGTGCATGACGGCAGCTTGGACAGCGTGTCTTGGATTGTGTGCTGGGAGAGCGTGCATGCGTGGATGAGCCAGGTTTTCGCGGAGCATGATGGACGTGTGGCGTTGTGGCATGTAAATGGGAGACTGCAAATGATGGTTGAAGATCAATATTTGCAGCCTGGATCGGTGGCTTGGGTCACAGAAAGCCGAGCAGAGCCCGCTTGCGGGAGCTTCATTGGCGATGTGTGCATTCCAGGTGACTGGTGCCGGGCAATGTCACAACTTGCACCAACTGAGCAGTCCGCAAGACGATCCGGCTCATGGAAGAGCAAGGTTGTTGTATGTGAGTGTGTTGATCGTGTTTCGTGTCAGATATCTGGCAATTCTTCAACTGCTCCTGGTTGTTAAGGCTGCTCTGTAGGGTATTGGCTTTGGTGCATGACGGCAGCTTGGACAGCGTGTCTTGGATTGTGTGCTGGGAGAGCGTGCATGCGTGGATGAGCAAGTTGTTGCGTGGAGCATCATGGACGTGTGGCGTTATGGCATGTAAATGGGAGACTGTAAGTGATGGTTGAAGATCAATATTTGCAGCCTGGATCGGTGGCTTGGGTCACAGAAAGCCGAGCAGAGCCCGCTTGCGGGAGCTTCATTGGCGATGTGTGCATTCCAGGTGACTGGTGCCGGGCAATGTCACAACTTGCACCAACTGAGCAGTCCGCGAGACGTTGCTGCTCACGGAAGAGCAAGGTTGTTGTATGTGAGTGTGTTGATCGTGTTTCGTGTCGGATATCTGGCAATCCCCCCAACTGCTCCTGGTTGTTCAGGCTGCTCTGTAGCGTATTGGCTTTGGTGCATGACGGCAGCTTGGACAGCGTGTCTTGGATTGTGTGCTAGGAGAGCGTGCATGCGTGGATGAGCCAGTTTTTCGTGGAGCATGGACGTGTGGCGTTATGTGATGGAAATGGGAGACTGCAAATGATGGTTGAAGATCAATATTTGCAGCCTGGATCGGTGGCTTGGGTCACAGAAAGCCGAGCAGAGCCCGCTTGCGGGAGCTTCATTGGCGATGTGTGCATCCAGGTGACTGGTGCCGGGCAATGTCACAACTTGCACCAACTGAGCAGTCCGCAAGACGTTGCTGCTCACGGAAGAGCAAGGTCATTGTATGCAGCAAACGCGGTTGTTGGGTGTGTTGATTCGTTTCGTGTCGGATATCTGGCCATCCCCCCAACTGCTCCTCGTTGTTCAGGCAGCTCTGTAGGGTATTGGCATTCGTAGATGACGGCAGCTTGAACAGAGTGTTTTGGATTGTGTGCTAGGAGAGCGTTCATGCGTGGATGAGCCAGTTTTTCGTCCAGCATGGACTTGTGGCGTTGCGTCATGGAAATGGGAGACTGCAAATGATGGTTGAAGATCAATATTTGCAGCCTGGATCGGTGGCTTGGGTCACAGAGAGCCGAGCAGAGCCCGCTTGCGGGAGCTTCATTGGCAATGTGTGCATTCCAGGTGACTGGTGCCAGGCAATGTCACAACTTGCACCAACTGAGCAGTCCGCAAGACGTTTCTCCTCACGGAAGAGCAAGGTCATTGTACGCAAGCAAACGCGGTTGTTGGGTATGTTGATCGCGTTTCGTGTCGGATATTTGGCAATTCCCCCAACTGCTCCTGGTTGTTCAGGCTGCTCTGTAGGGTATTGGCTTTGGTGCATGACGGCAGCTTAGACAGCGTGTCTTGGATTGTGTGCTAGGAGAGCGTGCATGCGTGGATGAGCCAGTTTTTGCGTGGAGCATCATGGACGTGTGGCGTTATGCCATACAAATTGGAGACTGCAAATGATGGTTGAAGATCAATATTTGCAGCCTGGATCGGTGGCTTGGGTCACAGAAAGCCGAGCAGAGCCCGCTTGCGGGAGCTTCATTGGCGATGTGTGCATTCCAGGTGACTGGTGCCGGGCAATGTCACAACTTGCACCAACTGAGCAGTCCGCGAGACGTTGCTGCTCACGGAAGAGCAAGGTTGTTGTATGTGAGTGTGTTGATCGTGTTTCGTGTCGGACATCTGGCAATCCCCCCAACTGCTCCTGGTTGTTCAGGCTGCTCTGTAGGGTATTGGCTTTGGTGCATGACGGCAGCTTGGACAGCGTGTCTTGGATTGTGTGCTAGGAGAGCGTGCATGCGTGGATGAGCCAGCTTTTCGTGGAGCATCATGGACGTGTGGCGTTATGGCATGTAAATGGGAGACTGCAAATGATGGTTGAAGATCAATATTTGCAGCCTGGATCGGTGGCTTGGGTCACAGAAAGCCGAGCAGAGCCCGCTTGCGGGAGCTTCATTGGCGATGTGTGCATTCCAGGTGACTGGTGCCGGGCAATGTCACAACTTGCACCAACTGAGCAGTCCGCAAGACGAGCTCATGGAAGAGCAAGGTTGTTGTATGTGAGTGTGTTGATCGTGTTTTGCGATATCTGGCAATCCCCCCAACTGCTCCTGGTTGTTCTGCTCTGTAGGTATTGGCGCATGTGTGCATTCCATGGTGACTGGTGCCGGGCAATGTCACAACTTGCACCAACTGAGCAGTCCGCAAGACGATCCGGCTCATGGAAGAGCAAGGTTGTTGTATGTGAGTGTGTTGATCGTGTTTCGTGTCGGATATCTGGCAATCCCCCCAACTGCTCCTGGTTGTTCAGGCTGCTCTGTAGGGTATTGGCTTTGGTGCATGACGGCAGCTTGGACAGCGTGTCTTGGATTGTGTGCTAGGAGAGCGTGCATGCGTGGATGAGCCAGTTTTTCGTGGAGCATCATGGACGTGTGGCGTTATGGCATGGAAATGGGAGACTGCAAATGATGGTTGAAGATCAATATTTGCAGCCTGGATCGGTGGCTTGGGTCACAGAAAGCCGAGCAGAGCCCGCTTGCGGGAGCTTCATTGGCGATGTGTGCATTCCAGGTGACTGGTGCCGGGCAATGTCACAACTTGCACCAACTGAGCAGTCCGCAAGACGATAAGAGCAAGGTTGTTGTATGTGAGTGTGTTGATCGTGTTTGGTGTCGGATATCTGGCAATCCCCCCAACTGCTCCTGGTTGTTCAGGCTGCTCTGTAGAGTATTGGCTTTGGTGCATGACGGCAGCTTGGACAGCGTGTCTTGGATTGTGTGCTAGGAGAGCGTGCATGCGTGGATGAGCAAGTTGTTGCGTGGAGCATCATGGACGTGTGGCGTTATGTCATGTAAATGGGAGACTGCAAATGATGGTTGAAGATCAATATTTGCAGCCTGGATCGGTGGCTTGGGTCACAGAAAGCCGAGCAGAGCCCGCTTGCTTCATTGGCGATGTGTGCATTCCAGGTGACTGGTGCTGGGCAATGTCAGAATTTGCAGTGGACGTTTCTGCGCACGGAAGAGCAAGGTGGTTGTATGTGAGTGTGTTGATTGTGTTTCGTGTCGGATATCTGGCATTCCCCCCAACTGTTAGGCTGCTCTGTAGGGTATTGGCTTTGGTGCATGACGGCAGCTTGGACAGCGTGTCTTGGATTGTGTGCTAGGAGAGCGTGCATGCGTGGATGAGCCAGTTTTTCGTGGAGCATCATGAACGTGTGGCGTTATGGCATGGAAATGGGAGACTGCAAATGATGGTTGAAGATCAATATTTGCAGCCTGGATCGGTGGCTTGGGTCACAGAAAGCCGAGCAGAGCCCGCTTGCGGGAGCTTCATTGGCGATGTGTGCATTCCAGGTGACTGGTGCCGGGCAATGTCACAACTTGCACCAACTGAGCAGTCCGCAAGACGATCCGGCTCATGGAAGAGCAAGGTTGTTGTATGTGAGTGTGTTGATCGTGTTTCGTGTCGGATATCTGGCAATCCCCCCAACTGCTCCTGGTTGTTCAGGCTGCTCTGTAGGGTATTGGCTTTGGTGCATGACGGCAGCTTGGACAGCGTGTCTTGGATTGTGTGCTAGGAGAGCGTGCATGCGTGGATGAGCAAGTTGTTGCGTGGAGCATCATGGACGTGTGGCGTTATGGCATGTAAATGGGAGACTGCAAATGATGGTTGAAGATCAATATTTGCAGCCTGGATCGGTGGCTTGGGTCACAGAAAGCCGAGCAGAGCCCGCTTGCGGGAGCTTCATTGGCGATGTGTGCATTCCAGGTGAGTGGTGCCGGGCAATGTCACAACTTGCACCAACTGAGCAGCACGGAAGAGCAAGGTTGTTGTATGTGAGTGTGTTGATCGTGCTTCGTGTCGGATATCTGGCAATCCCCGCAACTGCTCCTGGTTGTTCAGGCAGCTCTGTAGCGTATTGGCTTTGGTGCATGACGGCAGCTTGGACAGCGTGTCTTGGATTGTGTGCTAGGAGAGCGTGCATGCGTGGATGAGCCAGCTTTTCGTGGAGCATCATGGACGTGTGGCGTTATGGCATGGAAATGGGAGACTGCAAATGATGGTTGAAGATCAATATTTGCAGCCTGGATCGGTGGCTTGGGTCACAGAAAGCCGAGCAGAGCCCGCTTGCGGGAGCTTCATTGGCGATGTGTGCATTCCAGGTGACTGGTGCCGGGCAATGTCACAACTTGCACCAACTGAGCAGTCCGCAAGACGATCCGGCTCATGGAAGAGCAAGGTTGTTGTATGTGAGTGTGTTGATCGTGTTTCGTGTCAGATATCTGGCAATCCCTTAACTGCTCCTGGTTGTTCAGGCTGCTCTGTAGGGTATTGGCTTTGGTGCATGACGGCAGCTTGGACAGCGTGTCTTGGATTGTGTGCTAGGAGAGCGTGCATGCGTGGATGAGCAAGTTGTTGCGTGGAGCATCATGGACGTGTGGCGTTATGGCATGTAAATGGGAGACTGCAAATGATGGTTGAAGATCAATATTTGCAGCCTGGATCGGTGGCTTGGGTCACAGAAAGCCGAGCAGAGCCCGCTTGCGGGAGCTTCATTGGCGATGTGTGCATTCCAGGTGACTGGTGCCGGGCAATGTCACAACTTGCACCAACTGAGCAGTCCGCGAGACGTTGCTGCTCACGGAAGAGCAAGGTTGTTGTATGTGAGTGTGTTGATCGTGTTTCGTGTCGGATATCTGGCAATCCCCCCAACTGCTCCTGGTTGTTCAGGCTGCTCTGTAGCGTATTGGCTTTGGTGCATGACGGCAGCTTGGACAGCGTGTCTTGGATTGTGTGCTAGGAGAGCGTGCATGCGTGGATGAGCCAGTTTTTCGTGGAGCATCATGGACGTGTGGCGTTATGGCATGGAAATGGGAGACTGCAAATGATGGTTGAAGATCAATATTTGCAGCCTGGATCGGTGGCTTGGGTCACAGAAAGCCGAGCAGAGCCCGCTTGCGGGAGCTTCATTGGCGATGTGTGCATTCCAGGTGACTGGTGCCGGGCAATGTCACAACTTGCACCAACTGAGCAGTCTGCACTGCAAGACATTTCGGGCAGGTTGTCGTTTTTTTCCTCTTTTTTCTTCTTCTTCTTATTTGTTTGTCTTTCTTTCCGACTTATTAGCTTGTGCTTTTTGTTTTGTGTTTTTCCCCTGTTTTCTTTTTTTGTTGGTATTTGCGGTTGTTCATATTTTTTGCATTCGCTTTAGCTTGGGCGGCCACTGGTAGCGAGGCCCTTGCTATTGTGAGCGCTGTCTGCGTAGGAGTTCGTGGTCTCTCATCCCATGCTGGAGCAGGAGGCACAATTGGGGACATGGTGGATGTCGGAAACGCTTGCGAAATCACCACTCGCAGAGCCGATCTTGACAAGCTTTCCGTAGTGCGCTTTAATCAATCTAGAGGCAAAGGAATGGTTGTCAAGCTCCAAGGGTCCTGGAAGCCTTTCACTGGAGCCAAAGCCAAAACCTGGGGAGTGGGATGCATTTCCTCCCGTTTCGGGTGTATCTTTTCTTGAGCGTACCCTTGCAAGTTGCAAGGAAATGCACCCATCAGGGAAACCCTGACGAGTGGTTATCCCTTGGTCTCCCGTTAAAAGTACTCTCAAAAAGCGCTCAGGTCCACGTCTTCAGCTGGAACATCATGGCCAGGGCTCTTTGCAGGCGTCGCATCTGAAGCCGCCCCCAAACTGGGTCGCGTGCTGCCAGGCCTTATGAAGAAAACTCCCCCATGCGTTGCTGTCTTGGATTCCGCGTCGCGTGGAATGTGCAGGGGATGAAATATTGACAAAAAAAGAAGGTGCTTTGGAACGTGGACTGGGGGGGGGTTCGGGGTCTTTCGTAGTTTTTGAGGACTCGTGGGAGCCGTGTTTGGTGTCCAATTTGCAAGCTCACCACTCCCTGGAGGAAGCCAGGCGCCCAAAGAGAGGGCAAGGACGCGCCCGGATGGGAGAGATCTCACTGTTTGCAGCCCCAAATGACCAGAGTGACTAGGCTGGTCGAGGGATCTGGCCCTCTCTTGAGGACCCTCAGCCCTTGGAAAGGACTGTTTTTGAAGGGGCTCCTTGGTGCTTTCCCCTTGCTTTCCGCTCAGTGCGCCGCAACGATTTCTGGCAGGAAGCGGAGGACGTCTCGAACAATGGCCTTGACCTGGATGAGACCATCGATGAGTACACCAGGCCTACTTTTCCGCTCTTGAGTGCCCCACAAACACCAAACATAAATGGTTTTCAGCACCACCAAATGGAGGCTTCTCAAAATGGCGGACCCCTTTTTGGTTGGCGGATACAGGGAAACCAAGGGAACAGCAATTTTTTTGAGGCCCTATTTTGAGAAACCAAATCAGCTGCATCAGAGGGACCTTTCTGAGCCCGGCGGCTTTTGGGCTGTTTCTCTCTGGTGATTCGAATGGCTTCTCACGGAGGCAGCACGCAGCGGGCTCTCTACACAATGCCATTATGAATGGGTAGATGTGGCTTGTTTTTGCTTGGGGTTCCTTTGTTTGCCACCTTTCGGAGGGAATGTGAGCGCGAAGCGTTGCATTTCGCGAGGACATGGAAGGCAAAGGGCGTTGCCAAAGTAATTCTTTTTCCTCGATGCACAAAATGCATGGCCAGGTGAAAACCATGAGGGCAGAAGAAAATTCGCCTTGCAGGCGATTGCAAGAGAAGATAGTGCCAGCCTCAGGGGCGAGCACCGAGAGAGTGGAACTGGGTTTAGGGGAACACTGCTCCAAGTGTTGGTTCCCTCACTTTTTCGCAGTATATGTTGACCCAATTTGTTCTATTGCCATTTGCATCAACCCCCCCCACGTTTGCGACAATCGTAGCAGATTGGGGCGTTGCGAATCGCGAGGCGCCGGTGCTGAGCTCCTGGATCGCGGCAAGGACCGACCTCAGAGAACTCTTGGGAAGCACCCCCCGGTCAGGTCGGTAGTTCCAGGGGTTGAAGCATGGTTGGCTATCCAGAATGGGATGATTTGAACATTGATATGACCCTCCCTCTCTTCCAGGCCAACCTGAACGATGCGGCTGTCTGAAAAACAGGGGACTCTTTGAATTTGCTTTGAAACCCTCCAGAAAGGGTGCGTTACGGTGTTATTTGCGGCTGTTGAATTCAATCAGGGTCGGCCATGGTCAAAAGACCCCTTAATTAAGGGATTGGTCGGGAGCCAATGAACAGGTTCCCATTACGTGACCATGACGCACAGATTCGGAGGTTTGACCACACATGTCAATCTGCTCTCGCTGCGTTCAATGCCAGGAAGCGTCAGAGATGGGCCGCGAGCCCAGTCAGGAGGGGCTAAAGGAGCCAGTCTTTCGAGCATCAGAAGAAGCAAAGAAGCCCCCCACAACCCACCAAAAGAAAGACAGCAACTGAAGCAAAACACAGCCAAAACAAGAAGGACAACAACCAAATCAACCACACCAACTGACGCATGGCAGCAAGGTAGTCAAGCAGCCCCCGAATAGACGTGTATTGCCCTCAACCCCTCCAACCTTTCATTGACATTTTTGCCTCCCCGCAAGCCACACGTGGGACTGAAGAGGGTGTGCAGCAAACGCAACGCAACGGGATCCTGTGCGCGCAAACGGGGGACCAAAAGTTATCCCTTTCACCAAGGTGGTCTGCTTGCAGGAGGTGGGAGTCAGGGGAATTCCGAAAAGGAGCCTTAGGAATGTTCTAATTGTGTCAGATTGGACTCCGGGTGTTTATCGAGTGTCTATGACTTGTCATGCTTGGAACACATTCAAACACGGGCGGAGCAGAAGGGCTTGCCCATCAAAAGTCGATGCCCAAGCGGGAGCAAGAGACAGAGGGAGAGAGAGGCTCCGGGGCATCCACATTTGCGGCGGGACCTGCTGCGGCAAGTGCAAGCAGGATGCGGGAAATCGAGCCGACTCCCGCCATGATTTTCCTACCCCTCGAAATGGGCCGCGGTTGCGCATCATTTGCTTGGGCTGGCCGTTCGGAGAAAAACGCACGGCGAGCGGCTAACACTGCCCAGTTGGACCCGCAAGAGTTTCGTGGCAAAAGTCACAGCAAACCTTGGCCTCTGGAAACACGTGCCAAGCATGATCACCTGCACGGGTGTGTCTCAAAGTTGGGAACCCCTGGTTTCAACAGGAAGAGGACCAGTAAGGAAATAGTTGCCACCTGGAGACTTTGGCAAATCAGGGACTGAATGTCCCGAATCTGCTGCTCCGGCATTTGTAAAATTTGGACCATGGCTCGTGTGGGCAACAGTAAATATGGTTGAGTGCAGTGGGGGTGGCTGGGTTTATATAATGTTATTGTCACCGCATAGTCCGAACACTAGCAATTCAAAGCGCACCGCCAGCCAAGCTTTGCTTTGCTTTTGTGCCCGATCTATCTACTATAATCTGATTCGTTCTGTTCTGTTCTGTTTTGTTCGAGTCTATTTGGTTCTCTTCTATCCCATCCTAAGTCCTATCCTATATCCTACGCATCCTCTATCCCATCCTATCCTATCGTATCCCATCCTACCCTATCCATCCATCTACCTATGTCTTTGAAGTCAAGAGAAAGAGGACAACAGCACAAGCTCGACCAGCCCTCCCCCCATACCTACGTGGAGTTTGTCCGTGCAAGGACTCAAAGGATTGAAGTCAGCGGAGCGAGCCTCCGCTCGGGCCTTGTCTTCTTTTTTTGCTGGGGGGCTCCGATTTTGACACATACCGAGTTGCAGTTTTGTTTGTGAGAAACCTGCGGAATTCCACAGGAAATCTGGTTTTGGGTTGGGGTTTGGGCAATTTCTGGTAGGCCCGTAGCTGGTTTCTGTGATTGCTGGAAGTCACCTGCGAATCGCAGCTTTCAGACAGCAAATCCGGTGCCTTGAGGATCCATGATATCTTTCCCACTCCAGGCCTTTGCGTGCACGGTGACGCTGTGGGACGGCGCCCTTTGGGACTGGGCGCAGAGGGTCGCAGCGCAGTTGGTGCGTCAGATTTCCGAGCGGTGAGGCCAGGGGAATCATTTGGGTCCCTGTTCACCTGGGTTTAAAGCGAAACCAAAAGGACAACATGACTGTTTGGGGTCCCTCTCTTAATGCAAATCCATTTGGGTGCTTTGACGGGAACCAAGAGGAAACCAGGTCTCACGCTGGCATGGGCTAGCGCATTCTGGCAAGGCTTCGAAGTCATGACCAAAGCCTTTGACATTGTCGGGTTTCCCAAACTCGGGAGGATCTTTTGGTTTCCCTTAAAGCCATCCTTACAAGGGGGTTCCGTGTGGATGGACAGAATCCGCTTTGCACCAGTTGGTATGGATGGATTCATACGATTGAGATTCATTGCCAGCTGGTACAGCATTTGGCCCATCGGGGGGTTATTTTGTGTGGTTTGGCTCTTGACCTGCCAGGAGCTGGTGCACTGTGGGTGGGCGGTTTGTGCGCTGTGCACGGTGCTCTGTGGCCAGGCCATGTAAAGACGGATCTAAGGTAAGCTCTGGATGTGCTTCTACAGTGCGGCTTTTGACATACGATTTGCCTCCAGGTTGACCTTTGCTCGCCTCGACCAGGCCCTAATAGCGGGCACCGCAATGAAATATCAATAAATTCTAAGGGCACAGAAGGCCACGGGGTTGGGGTTCGCTTGGGGTCCTGGCTTGCAAATTCAATCCGAGATGGTTTCACTACCCCCATACCAGGAGTTAAACGGGGTATAGTGAGCCTCACTCGAGCATCCGTTCAGGGCCCGCCGCTCCGTGCCGGGGCTCCCGGTGTTCGCACTTTCCCCGTCTGTCTTCAAAAGTCTTCGCCCTTTGAAGTGCGCTGTGATGCTTGCTGCATGGGGGCTAGCGAACATCAGGCCCTCTAAACCCGCTTGGCATCGTCTGGGAAGCACAGTTCAAGTGTAGATCCCTGCAGTTTCGCTGCAACAATCCCTGGACCGAAGGTCCTGAACTGCCACTTGCCCCTGGAGGAGGGGCTCGCTGCCAGATTCCCAGATCGGTCGTCGACACCACCGGAATTTTCAAGTCGGTTTACGTAGAGAACTCCAACAGATCTCCCATTCTGGCTTCAAAACGAAGCAAGAGAAACACACATTAGACAATGAAAGGTCCCTACTTTCCGGAACGCGAGCTGGACAAACCAGAGGGTGAATTATTTTGCCTCAAGCGCAGCCTTGCTCCGGGATCCAACCAGTTGGGTCGCTTTCCTGCGGACATCAGGCAATGCATAGCTTCTGACTGCAGCCTAGCTGGCTTGTACTTGTAGCTTATCAAAAGCCGAGCAATCGCCGAAGTGCGACGCAAGAATGTTCCAGCACCTTGGTCCGACAAGGTCTGCCACACCAAGCAAACAACTCAGCCAGAGTATGAGGAGCATTGACTCGGCCAGTTGCTTTTAAATTAGACTTACCATGTGGCATGTGGTCTTCTCCCAGCCAGCAGCTTGTCAGCAGAAATGCTTTCGCTTCAAGCTTGCGGTGTGTCTTGTGTCGAGGGTACCTGTTTTGGGTTGGTCAAAGGGGAATCAAAAGGAACACCCACCATGGGATACCCCAATTTGCGACTCCATTTGAACACTTGCCCACCTTGCCTGAGGATTTGGCAGCGGATAGTGCCGGAGCTGCACTTCAGCCTTTGCTTGAACATGCTACGTTATCTATTTGTCTACCTGCCTATCTATCTAGCTGTCTATCTATCTATCTATCTATCTATCTATCTATCTATCTATCTATCTATCTATCTATCTATCTATCTATCTATCTATCTATCTATCTATCTATCTATCTATCTATCTATCTATCTATCTATCTATCTATCTATCTATCTATCTATCTATCTATCTATCTATCTATGTACATATGTACATATGTAATATGTATATGCATATAATGCATGTCTACGTCTATGTCTATGTGTATGTGTGTGCATGTGTAAATGTACATTTAGACATGTATATGTATGTGTATATGAAACATAACATGACACTTACACATGTGAAGGTGTGAGATATGCCTTAGATTCCCCTGCGATTCCAAGAAGGCAACTCATGCGTCCGTCAGGCGAGGTGAAGACCATCTCCTTCTCCGGGCTGGCGGTTCTGCTGGTGCTGGGCAGCGTGGGCTACGGGCTCCACCGGAAGTTGCAGCGGTGGCCCAGCGCGCGGGCGGCTCAGCGCTCGGGGAGAATGAAGGGGGGGGGGTCACAAAACTTTAGGGAAACCAGCAGGACAGCAACATTGAATATTTGGGTCCCCTATTTTGAGATGCCCATTAAAAAAAAGGGGTCCCAAGCAAGTTTCATGACCCCTCGGCCAAAAGCTCGTATTTGCCATTCCGGTTAGGGCTTCTGACGAATTCATGCTAAAGGTTTATGAACCTGAAGTCAGCTGTCGGGTGCCAAGGAGACCTGAAGGTTCGAGTTATCAGAATCATCCCTTGCCATGAACACCTGCCCATCCTAAAAGGGCCATTTCGCTGGGTGATTTTACTACCTGGTTTAGGGGTTGCAGTAAGACCCGGAAGCTTATCAAATTCGTGTGTCAGTGACCGTTCAATATGCAACTTGAAACGACTTGATTGCTTCGGTCTAATTAATCCCCTTTCACAGGCATGTTACGTGCTCGCTTCACACGTACAGCTTGGCCGAGCACTGCTTTGGAGGCGCATTGCCGTGCTGAGCTGCCTTGGCGTTGGCATAGTCCTGGGACCGATGCTTGGATGAACTCCAGCTGGCACACGTGCATCACATGTGACTTCTGGGAAGGCGTTTTGTGAGACTTGACAGCAGGTTTGAGGCTTGACTGACATTTTTCCCACTCAGCTGGGCTCAGGTTTGTGCTTCTGGAATGGCTTGGCCCATTGAGATCGCGCATGGCCCACTTCGTGTTGTCGTTCTTCGGCGTGGTGGCAGGCCATCTCGCTTTTGGCTCGAGGAGTTTCCCACGGGACTGTGACGTGTTGTGGCCCAGCCAAGCATGCAGGGGAGTTGCCAATGCCATTTGAGGTGGTAGGACTAGTTCTCCGAAGCAGAAAACAACATTGCGGAGTTCAGATGACCAGCTCCAAAGGTCAAAGATTCGATATTCTTCGGAAGTGGAGCAAGGTTGTTGGGGCCAATGTTGATACAGTTTCTTGTGTGAGGACAAACACAAGCAACGCTCCACAAAAGGTGCATGGGCGCCTCCCTTGATTAGAATCAGGCAAGGGGTCACCAACAAGGCAAATAGTTGAGTAGCTGTTTTCGCTGTTGAGACACAGACAACCGCAATGTCACCGTTTTGGAAAAGGAGTTGAACCTCCCGCAAGGGTTGGGTTGGTTTTCTCAATGTTTTCCCGAAGCATACAGGTTCCCGAGAGGCAGGGTTTGTTGATGGGCATGTCTTTGGCTTCTGGGTCTTGCCAACAGTCACAGAAGCTGACAGAATCAGACTGGTCCTTGATGATTTCATTTTCTTGATCATGAAATTGGGGACTTCCCCCTACCTTACCCTCCCTCTTCTTTCCTACAAATCCTGCCCGATCTTAGCCCCCTCAACCCCAGCTCCTCCTCCATCGAGGGAGGGATTGGCCCAACCTCACACGCCGCAGGGTTCCGGTGGCTGGAGCTGATCTGCGGCACGGGGCCCGCAGGCTTCGATCACTCCGCCAAGAACTTTGCGGCTCGTCCAAGCCAGCTGGGCTTGGCTCAGATGTCTTAAAATCCGGGAGCCCCAAACTGGAGTTTTTTTTGTTTTTGTTTTTTCTGCTTCCCAAGCCAACTTGGAAAAGGTACCCTCAAAAGGCACACGCACCCATATGGTCTTTGGGTTCCAGCGGCCAGGTGATCTACTTCACCAGCCCGGCGGAAGTTCTGTTTGAGGAGGGCGGTCTCAAGCCCTCCAGAGACGGGCTTGTCGCAGAGCTTTGGAAGGAAGATGCGAGCTGCGTGTGATTTAAACACCCCAAACTCACCAAACCAACCCTAAATCAATCTTGAACACGCCCTGACGCTGAAAAAACCCGAAGTCCTCCGCGAACCAATCCAAACACACTCCACTCCAATCCATGAACCAAACCGAAGCCCACCCTAAGCACCCTTCCTAAACAGGGGGTTCGCTGTTTTACGAGGGTGGACCAAAATTTAATTTGAAAGCAAGGGTACTGTTGACCCTGATTCCTTCCCAATTAAAGCATTCCGCTTGAAGAGCAATGCTAAAAGGGATCCTCTCCTGAACTTTGGATGTTTGAGCACCGAGACTTACTTCCACAACACTTGCATTTACTGCCCCAAAGGGGAGCTGAGTTTCAGAAAGCTCGCGTTGAGCTCACTTTTTGGAAAGGCCGGTTTGGTGTCCTTTCCAGCATTTTGGTTGCCAATGTCCAACATCACTGTTGTCAGTTGGAAGAGTCCTTTTGGGTGGGGTGACATTTCAAGGGGACCTGCAATGCTTTGAGGGGCGGATGGTCAAGTGGCGCTGCCTTCACTTGCCCAGCATATCCAACTCATTTCCCGTGCAATTGTCTGGTCTGCGGTGTCTTTGGTGCGGTATGTGCACTGAGAATTGCCGAGTGGCTGCTTTATTCGCACGATTTTTGCGATGGGGGAATCCATCCGAAAGACCCTCCAGTGTACCATTTTCTGCATTTGCGTGACCTAGGGATAAGTTTGATAGCCAGCCGAGATGAGTTCGTGAATTCGGTGGCCCAGGAACTGCTGTTCCGCATTGCGAAGCATATGCTCATCGGCACACTGGTGGCCAGGAAGCAAGGTAGCCTTTCAAGCAACTGTTTCGGTGCTGTTTCGGAGCAGGATCTTTCACATCGGCTCATGCCAATAGAGACCTACCTACCTTTTTTCAGCCTCTTTTCGGCCACAGGACACCTCCGTTTTGGGGGGACCCCCATTGACACAGCTTCGAGTGCTGAGGTGCTGAGCCTTGGCAAGGCCACGGACTTCTCGCCCTTCCTGGAAGAAGACCCAGCCGTGCCCCTCGAGCGCACAGCCGGACGTTGATTCGGGGGCCCAAGGCATGGACATCTTGTGGTCACGGTTCCTCGTGATTTGCTTCTTCGAGTCGTTTTCTTCGAGCTTCCTTTTGGTTTCCTGGTATTTGCTCAACAGGTTCCGATTTTTGGACACCCCGAAAAGCCATGCGCCATTGGAGCGTCAAAACGAGCTGGGGACTCTTGGGGAAAAGGGCAGTCTTGCAAAGGTTTGGCGAGGTTTCTCGGATTCAGTGTGAGCAGCTGGGTTCACGTTGACCATGGAGAAGCTCCCCAGTTGTACATGTCCGTCTGAAGGGCACCGATAAGCTCAAAAGTACCAGTGACAAAGAAGCTGCCCGATGATGACTCCGAGGCTGCCGCTGTTGGGCTTCCCCTGGGCGCTGCCGGCGATTTACCTCCAGACGCTGTACGTGTACTGCCGCCGGGCCTGGATGATTTTGCTGGTATTTGGGTGTGTGCCGTGTTGAGGGTTCCCGTTGAAAGGTTGGCTTAAGGGCAAAATGACAAGGACGCCCAACATTCTCAGTGTCCCCTATTTTGACACATACCCATCTGGGACGTGGCATTGCCACCAAACCGCACGTGGAGGTCAGCTGAAAGGTGTTGAAGCCGGAAAGATTCCGGCCATTTTCAGGGGAGCCCTATTCTATGGGGCAAGTCTATGTGGCAGGTTCTTTGCATCCCCAGGTTGGGTCCCTAAGTCTTTTCGGACGTGCGACCGGTCCCCCTCTACGACCTGATGCGCGTCGGCAAAAGGGATCCAACTTGCTGGTGTTGGTTAAACATCGGGGGGTCCTTCCGCGAGGGTCTGGTGTTGAGGGGTGAAAAATTGCGCTTGCCATAGGCCAAGAGCCAACCCCACTAAACAGGAAATCTGAGGGAATCACCTAAGGAACAAAGTAGCCATAGATGGTGTAGATGGGAGGTATCACTCTAGATTCCCTAGGCTTAGCCTTTTTGCGGACATGGAAAAATGGGCATGCTGAAGGAAGCTTGGGGCCGATGCCAACGGCCCCGTGTAATGTTAGCCATGTTTGAGATGATGGAGGCTTTGCGGTCAAGCTTTAACCTTCAGCTTTTTGAAAATGCATCTTATTTTTTGTCCCACCAACTGTCAAAACGGTTTACCCTGCAACACCCTCCAGTCAGCTTCCATGATTGGAAGGAAGGGTTTTTCCCTCTGAGAGGGTGAAAGACCCATGCAATGACTGCATTCCCCCAAGTGCTTTTCGTCCCCTCCCCTTGAGACATGTTGGGACCCAACTTGGGGCAGGGGCGCATCCGAGGCACGCTGGCCACTGCCATGCTCATGCACCGCCTGCTGCCGGCCTTCTTCGGCGTGAGCCTCAGACGGTTTCCGGGGCGGTTCGGGTTTTCGAAAATAAGAGAAAGTGGGGTCATGGCCCACGGCGGGGCAGGAGATCAAATGATGTTTCTCATAGTGCAAAACAACATATTCGTGGCCGGTGTTGAAAGCTGATGTGGTCCCTTCGGCCAGGCATTGACTCGGTGGACCCCATGCAGACCCCGCTCTTGCTGTCCACTTCACTGCGGGACTTCTGGGGGAGGACGGTGCCGGGAGCTGACGGGATGCTTGGGGTTGGACCGAACTGCTCCGGATGGGCCATTTGGCCAGATCGTGCGAACCAACGATTTGCGAAGCCAGTTTTGGCATGGTGGGCATTTCCAACCAGGGGGAATGAATTTTCTTTTGGTTTCCCCAGGAGCGGGGGGGGGGGGGGGGGGGAATTTTCAGGCATCGCCCGAGGAGATGGAATTTGGTGGTGCACCGTCTCATGAAGCGCACCTTCTTCCTGCCGGTAGCAGGCCTGTGGTAGCACAAGGGAGAGGGCCCTTGAATTGTTTCTTTTGAAGCAGCTGGGTTATATTGGATTGTTATTTGTCGGAGAGGTTATTGGAAGGAACTTGCAATTGGCGTGCCCGGGCAGCTGAGCCACAATCAAACCCCGGGTAGATGAAGGTTAGTAAGGGGCAGTCCCTGCCGCAAATAGTTGCGGCCGCCTTTCTAATTCTTTACGTGGTTCTGGGTTCACCATTTCTGTACCAGGGTTTGATTGTGACTCAGCCGGGGTTCACAGGAATGATCAGGACTCATTCATCAGCGAATTTGGAGCACGTCGCAGGGCCCTCTAGACGAAGACAAACGGACCAACATATCCGAAAACAAACAAACAAATTAACGGATGGGACGCCAAACAAAATGAGCTAAGCTGCACATATTTCTAGACGTATCACCATTCTCTGCAAGGATCCTGTTCTTCAGAAAATGGCAACCACCATCCGGAAAGGGAGGGAGAGGTGCAGTTTGTTTTTAAAAGAGCGATGGGTGAACAGAATGGCAACTCAACCCTTAGCCTTATGTCCCGCCATGAACCAGTTGGATTGTCCCTTTGCACCGGACAGATAGACTCCTCAGGCAGCTCGGCTTGGACGAGACGTCTGGCGGGGCTGCTGGCCTTCATGATGTCGGGCGTCTTCCACGAGTACATGCGCCGGCCTCGGGCCCATCTGACTCGTCTCAACGAAATCCACCGGGCATCCAGGTTTTGGTTCCAGAAAATTGGACATCCTAGACTACCCCAAAGACTGCGCCCCGTCCGTGTTTTGCCAAGCCAAGGCCGTTATTTTTTTGACCTGGGATTCCAGCCCCCTCCTCAACACCTCTGGGCTTGCCAGCATCGTGCTCTGGTTTGCTTTTGGCAAGATATTTTGTACCGCCAAAGACAGATGCTCAAGTAGATCTGGATCACCCCAAAGAAGGATGCCCCAGCCCCACGGACCCGGGCGCGGCGTAGGTGGCTGGCGGTGAACTGGAACTCCAGAGACAGCTTCGTGCCCGGGCTCTCGCTGCTCTTCTTCCTCGTGCAGCGGCTCGGTGCGGGTTTGCGCGGGGCTTACCACTGAAAAGGGGGGGAACCCTCATGGAAGTGGGCGTTTTTGGGCGCCCAAAAGGACGCATCAGCTTCCACGATTTTTGAAGGGAGGGCAGTAACCCTCAGTCGGTGTGGTTTGGATTGGTGGTTTCGGGACTTGAACTGCTGGTTCTCGTAGGTAACTGGGAAACCGCCCCAGCAAAACCACAAATCCAAACCAACAATTAGAGGGGAGAGGACGTCGAGGAAACTCTTGGAGGTCTCCCATGATTTTAAGACAAACACAAGCTTCGCTTATTGTTGAGGGGGATGGGAGTGCTTGCTTCCAGGGGAATGGGGACCCTGGCTGACAACTGGGGGCCAACATAAATCAAACACCCGGATTAATCAACGAAGGTGTGCTTGTGTTTGGATGGCAGGTAGCTTTTCTAGGTGCCTCTGCAGGGAGTTGATTTTAAGAGAAAGCCAAGGGAAGACATTGCAAGACTGGAGCAAGTTGGACGCCCAGTGATTTTCCTGCGATTCGCTGGGGTTTCGTGGTTGGATGTGGTTGGTTCACTGGCAAAGGGGATCCACGATGGAAGTGTTTCTCGAGCTTACACGTGGTGTGGTAAGGTCCAAGGGAAGCAGGGAAACAAGGAAGCAGCTTCAAAAGCAAACCGAAGCCCTTGGGTCAGAGGCCCCAAGCACCAAACGGGGTTGGTTCTCAACATAGACCCCTTTTTTTCAAACCGCAAATCGGGGTCAGAGGAGAAACCCAGTCTCAAAGACTTGGTTTCTACGACGCCGAGCCGTGCGAGGTTCGCGCTGTGCGCCCTGGAGGCCAGCCTCACCGCGCTGGCGCCAGGCGTCGCCGGCGCCTCGCTGCCGGCGCCGCTCAAAACGGCCGGGGGCGGCGGGCGGCGGGGGGCGGGCGGGGGGGGGGGGGCCATGCCTGAGATTCAGCCTGTCAGATTCCACAAGAGGCGCACAGGGCATTTGGGGTTTGTCTTTGTTGAGGAGAAGTTTGTTGATTTGTTGCAAGGGGAATCATTGGGAGTCCCCTAGCTAAGTGTAGAAAATGCCTTCCGTATGTCAACCATACGAGGCTTTGGATCACGTCAAGAGTAATGGACGCGGGAAACCGCCAGTTTGAGGGCTTGGAGACAAACCCTCTTTAGCATTAGCAGGCCTTTGACGATTTGGATTTGGGAGGTGGCCGACTCAAAAAAACGCGGCGTCTCTTGGGGTGGGGTCTCTGGGGAGCGGCAGGTGTTGACCACTGCGCTCATCCTGCCTTTCGGCCCCCTCTTCCTGCAGGGCATCCGCCCGATGGCCCTGGAGTGCACGGAGCAAGGCCCGCCTTTTTGGCGTTGGTTTGAAGGGAAACCATACAGAGACCACCCTTGGGGGTCCCCTGATTTGGAGACAAGCCCGTGGGTCAGGTAAGGTCTACGAGGATTGGGGCAAGTTGGTATGGGAGGGAAAGGTCCTTTTGGGGAAGCCCCCTGCCCACCTTAGTGATTGTTGGAAGGAGGCTAAGGCTCCTGCATTTTGGGCGAAGGCATCTGGCACATGATCTGGGAATTTCCGCAGAGTGAAAAGCGGGATCTTCAAACAACCCGGGGGGGGGGGGGTGGGGGGGTCATTGGATGGGTTTGGAACCGATGTGCCTTGAAGTCAGGAGAAACATGTACTCCATGGAAAAGGCAACCATCAGAGAGCCGAAGACACACTTGCCGCTAGAAGCCGCAAAGATTTGGAGTTGCATTTGCAGGGGTTTCTTCTACCAACCTGGGGCCATCCCAGAGCTCTGAGTTGACAACTTGGCCGCTGTGCGCCAGGCCAGACGTTTTCTCTGGTGGACGGGGGTGAGGGTGTGGTCTCCGGGCCGCCCCCCCTTGACTGGGTCCTCTGCTGTGCGGCGGGAGGCTCAGGCAAGCAAGATTCAACCAGCTGAGGGCAAACATCTGAAATGTCTCAACCGGCTGGAGGTTCACAGAACGCAACGCGATGTTTTTTTTCAGTTGAGATTGGCTCCAAATTGAAACTAAAGATAATTGAAGGCCAGCGAGGACATTCCAAACCATAGATGCAGCCAGGGTCTGTTTTGTTGCTTTTTGCACCAGATATTGGTTTTGACTGAAATTGGGTCTGTTGGACCCCAAGTGCGGATTGATCGAGGCTGGTTGAAGCCAAGCAAGCCTTTTTCGGAGCGGTCTTTGCCATCCCTTATGTTTTTTGGTATCTTCCATGTTAGGGGAGACGGTTGCTTACCTTGTGGCTATGTCCATTGTATCTTTTCTCGGAAAGCAAGCAAAGCTTTTGCTTTATGGCCACAACACGCACCCGGGAGTGCTACTTCGCCGCTCTGTTTGGAACAAGAGATGGGGTCTCAAATCTTGGAGCCTCTCTTGGCCTCCCAAACCACATTTTGGAGACAGTCAATGCACATGAAGATGGCAAAACCCAACCGGGGTTTGTGATTTTGGCACTTGGAAACCCTCCTTGCTCAGCCCCTCAACCCCGCAACCCCTCAACCCCGCAACCCTTCAACCCTTCAACCCTTCAACCACCCGCAACCCCAACCCCCCCCCCCCCCCCAACTCTAAACTCCCCCAGCTCTAAACCTCTACATGTTCCCCCCCCCGCACCCCCGCAGTTTGTTGCCTCGCCAACCGCGAGGTCGGAGTCGCGGCCACTGCGCGCAGCGCCTGGAGAGGCGTCTGGCGGGGGGAGCTTGCAGACGCCGGAGATGGCTGGTCGCATACCCTCTAATATGGGCATGTGTCGAAATAGGGGGACGTTTCCATTTATAAAAACCGCCTGAAAAAGGTTCGCCAAAATAAGATGGTGTAGCGCTTGTGTTTGGTATTCAAAGGCCAACCCAAAGACAATGCATGATGGGAAGCTGTCAGACCGTGATGGTGTCAATTGCAGCTTTTAGACGCAAAAAAGGCTCACAACCGACGCGAATACAAACCCATCCGAACCGGACTGAGAGAGCTCTCCTTGTTCGACACTCTGCTGATTGTCACTAGCCGGTTGTTTGGTCCATGGATGTTCCGTGTGGCATTGTTTCCAATCAGAAAATAGGGAGAGGCCAGGGAGAGGCCAGGAAGCCCCAAAATTGGGCTTAGGGTTTGGAGTTTTTTTTTCTTTCCTTTCCTCTTCTGTTTTTTGTTTGTTTTTGTCTTTGTCTTGTTTTCTTCTTTGTTTTTTTGGCCTTCGGCAGGCGCCAAAGCGGGGGCGCCCGGTGCACACCGCGAAACCGCTTCAGGGCCGTTGGCGCGGGCGGGCGGTGGGGCGGGCGGGGTCCGCACCGTTTGGAGGCGGCAGCCTTTTGTGGTTGGAACCCCCCTCTTTTGGAGATGGAATCCTTGTTTGTGAGGGCAACTCTCAAGAGAACCAACAATTTGTTAATGTTGAAACGCATGTGGAAACATGAACTGTGTGTGGAATGCTTGACCACAATGGCATGTGCCATTTTGGCTCAAGCATTGTTCTGGGTTCCTGGAACCCAAGCTGTTTGAAAAAGTTTGATCTGTGGCATTTTCGAACTTAACCCCGACCAAGCAATGGCTTCCTCGGCAACCTCGGCAACTTCCTTTGAGTTGATTGAGGACCAGACACTCACCGTGGAGGAGGTTGAAATGGCCAGCCAGGAGGCCCAGGACATTCGCACACGGGAGGCGGCAGTGGCGGCCGGCTTGGTTTTGGACGAGCCCGAGGCCCCCCCGTCATCTTCGGCGACCGATGTGATGAAGGACCTCTCCAGTGCACTGGAGCGTCTCCGTGTGGCATTTGCCACACCGACTTCCGGCTTGGGTGCCCCTGGCCCCGCCGAGGAGGGCGATGAGGACATGGGGAATGCGGACGGCATGGAGCGGACCACACCACCGGAGGAGGCGCAGACGCCACCCACGAAGAGACTGAAGGGCTTCGTGGCGGCTTCTCAGAAGGCTACGTCCCAGACCAACAAACCTGTCTCCTTGGTGCCGGTGGCGGAAAACCCGGGTACTTCAAGCTGGTGGACCTCCCGGATCTGTTTCCAGTCCTTCCAGCGTCGGCGGCCACCTTGCTGAGGGACATCTCGGTGGAGGAGGCGGTCTCCCTGTTCCACAAGTTTGTCGGGAAGAATCTCACCGAGGACCTGGTGATTCGCATCCTGGAGGCGTATGTCCCGATGAAGATCCAGCTCCGCCAGGAGGAAGTCTGGGCTTCGCAGTTCCAGAGGAACAAGGCGTGTGTCGGCACCCAGCGCATGCACAGGCTCGATGCAGGCCATTCCGATTACAAGTTCATGTGCAAGGCATGCGGCACGGGGTGGCCAGAGGCAGCCAAGCAGTGCTGGGTCTGCCCCGGCAAGGAGTTCGCCCCCTTTCAGGCACCCTCGGCCACCTATGAGGCGGACGGCATCACCTACAACCTGCTCATCGTGGAGGGCAAGCCGACCTGGATCCAGCAGCGGGAATGGGGAAGCCTGGGTGCCGCTGGCCCCGGTGGTACCCGGGCACAGGCCGACCGCAACTTGGTGGACGGCACGGTCTTGGGGAGAGCCCCTCCAAAAACGGACACGGCAGATGAGATCACCATGGCAGATGCGGTCCCGCTCAACAGGCGGGTGGACATCCGGCAGGAGATCCTGTCCATGGTCCGGGAAAGCCAGGAGATCAAGGTCAAAGTGCAGCGGTCCCTGAAGGAGGCGGAGGCTCAGACCTTCCAGCTCTACCACGACCAGGCGATCAGGAAGAAGGAGGAGCTGCATAAGGCCTTGCGGGAGCATCGGGAGCCGACTCCGGAGGAGGCCTCGGCCAGGCGGCGGCACAAGGAGTTGGTCACGGAGGAGATGCTGGACAATGAGATGGCTATCCTGGCGCCTCTCTAGGAGGGCATGCAGGCCCTGCCGTCAGAGGAGGTGGCCAATGAGGGAGCCCATGGTCTCAGGAAAGGTCAACCTGGAGCGTTTCAAGGCCAAGCTGAGAGACCAGTACTTGGAGGGGAAGGGCGTTGACGCCAGCCAGGCGTTGGCTGAGGCGATGGGCTCCATTCAGGGGCCTTGTACGACAGGTTGGGCTACTCCCAAGACCTCATCCGGCAGCTGGGTTGCTCCCTTTCTTGGGTGCCGTTGGGTCTGGGGGGGGAGCGGCCAAGGAGGCGGACCCCAAGGCCAAGGTCATGGGGGGGGCAGACACCACGCTCCGCACACCAGACCAGGGCACCAGGCGGTACCCGCCCATCACCACGGCCACGGTCACGGCGGTTGCGGGCCGGAAGTACATCAACAAGCACTTCCCCAAGGAGACAAAGCATGTGTTTTGGGCCTGTGGCTTGGTCTTGCCAAGCATCAGTGCCTGGGAAGTGGTGAGCAAGGAGAAGTTCAAGACCACGGGGGGCTATATGTGCAGATTTTGCAAGGGCTTCTGGAAGGCGATTGCAGCTGGTGATGGACGAGCCCCCGGAGCAGCTGTACAATCAGTGGATCCGGGATCGGATGGAGTTCTACAAGAGGGTGGAGCCAACGGAGCCTCCCACAAAAATGAGCGGCTGGTCCTGGGTGACGCGGGCACCCCCCGCATGCGCTTCAGCTCCTCGAACGGCCTGGGGGATGTCTCCACTGCCCTGTGGTCGGTCATCTTGAGCAACCCGGAGAAGTCGGGGCTGGCGGCAATCCACTCGGTGGCGAAGGAGGCGATCCTGAAGGGAGGGAGCCGCTAGGTTTTGTCTCACAACCCTGTCGGATGTGGGAATCGTGTGCTTTCTTCCCCCGGGACTTGGGTGCCTTTGGCCCCGTCTCTGGGGGGGGAGGGGTATAGGGTTTTCCTTGTAAGGACGGGCCATCTCAGCCACGGTTCGGAAAAGGTGGCCGCGGTCCCCTTGGGGTTTTGGGGAGTCCCCCGCCGGGTCGGTCTCCCCCCTTGTGCTTTTGGGGGTTTCTGGGTCGCTCCCCCCCCCCTTCCGGTTGAATTCTCGGGACTTTGGGGGGGGACCTGTCGGGATGCGTGTGGCCTGCCTGCTCCATTTGCACTCTGCAGTCAGCGAGTTTGGAGCGTGCATGCATTGTGCCGCGGTTGGGCCCCGGCTGTTCGATAGGAGGCTCGAACCCCCCCCCCCCCCTTTTTCATCATGGCTAGGGTATCTACCAAGTTTCTTATGCGCCCGCCTTACACACGTCTTTGGGACCGCATTCCAAGGGTCCTATGGGACACGGTCCCGACGGACTACTTCAACGGCCTGGTGGCATCGGCGGCAGGCAGGCTTCCCCAGCCTCTGTCCGCGGCGGACCTGGCCGACCTGTATGGCAAGCGAAAACTTTTCCCCGCTGGAGAATGAATGGGACCGCCAGGACCAATGGAGGTGGTTCTCACGAGATGACCCACCCCCACTCCAACAACCGGAGCTTCTGAAGTGGAGGCACTGGCACCCGGGCAAAATAAGGGAAATGGAGCCCACGACCCAGCGAGCAATGGAACTCCATATGCGCGGGAAATGGGCAGAACGGCTCCTCGCCCACTTCGCCCCGTTTGCGGAGCACATCGCGTACATGCAGGACATCCTGGGGGAGGACTTCCGCAAGGAGGCATTGGATCTCCTGGGGGACAATAGGTTCCGGACACTCAGACAACATTGCCTGGTCTACGAGAGTCTCCGGAAGAGAGGCTTCACGGTGATTCCATGGCAGGAACGACATGTCCGCTCTCTCCTCAACCAGCTCTCCGAAGAGGAGGTCACCCCATGCAAGCTACGGCAGGTGTGGAACACCCTCAAATGGTTTTCCAAGACCTTCGGTATGCTGAAGATAGACGAGCTCCATCGCCTCAAGTCCAAGAAGAGCTCGTTGGAAGAGGCGCTCACGGACACGGTCACCCGGCCGCAGCGCAAGGCGGTGGTCCCCAGCAAGGAGGTCATATGGGCTCTGGAGGAAGGGGCTGGCTACGATCACCAGGGTGCCACCGGCCCCGGTACGCAGGCTGCTCCGGGGAGGAGCAGACACGAGGCACTGGACGCATTCATCCTGGGTTTCGCCCGGTTCCAAGTCGGATGCAGCGCTCGTTTCAATGACCTCCAGCATGTTCACCCCAAGGACCTTATCCACACCAGTAACACCGTGGAGCTGAAGGCCTGGCAGACCAAGACGGTCTCAGCAGCACGGATCAACCGCAACCCGGTCCCCTTGATTGCTCCGAAGTACAGCTTCACGAGGATCCCCTGGTGGACTACCTGGGTGGCCTCGGTCCGGCGACTGGTATCCGAGGAGGCATTCCAGGACATGGACTACTTGCTCCCGACAGTGAGCAAAGACTTTGCAGGGCTGATCCCGAGACCTTCCACACCGTCGGGGAGTTACCCCGGGGTTGGTGAAGCCGCTGACGTGGCACTCATTCCGAGTGTTCATCCCGGACTGCGCTTTCCAGATGAGGATCCCCCGGGATCGCCGCATGTACTTACGGGAAAAGCGCAATGTCGTGGTGGAGCTTTGGGGCCAGGTGGCGCAGAAGGCCTCGGGCCAGGCAGGGAACGCAGGGAGGACCTGAACCACCCGGACTGGGCGGACCCGCTCCCGCCGCCAGCAGTGGAAATCACGGATGCGGGACCGGACGGCCGCAGGGACCAAACCGAAAGGGAAGGGGAGGCATCCCCCACGGTACCCTCAGGGAGCGCACCATCTACTCGCTCATGGTCATTGGTGGAATTTCCCACCACCCCGGACTTCCCCCTTCGCGTTGTTGCGGCGGTCAAACGCACAGGCAACGCCGGCCAGTCCAGAATCCACTTGCTGAATGACGAAGGCACGGCTGTGGGGTGCGGGTGGCGACCGGCGGCCTCTAAGATCCAGGAGCTCTCCGTGCTGGATTACATGACGGAGCAAGAGGCCTATGGCAAGTGCGAACGCTGCTTCAAGAGGTATGGCTTCCCGGCGGACTGGGTACTGGAGCCTGCGGAGGTCCCCACACTGCAGGAGGACTCGGACTCCTCGGCGGACTCGGGCTCTGAAACGGACGACTCTGTAGACACCCAGTCGGAGACCGAGGTGGTGGCCCTACCTTTGGGAGCCTAGGTGCCCCCGGCCCTGGCGACCGGGGGGGGGGAGGCCAAGGACAGGGCTCTGGCCAGGGCCCTCAGCACAGACTGGCATCCTTCGGAAATGGCGGGTGTGCCAGACTGTCCTTCGGAAATGGCGCTATCAGTCTGCACACCCGTTCTTCAGTTTTTGAGAGTTTGTGGTGGGTGGCCCATGGGGCCCACCCAGCCGTTGACATCTGACAGGGGAAGATGAGTCCCTGGCACCAACACATTGCTTGGATAAAAGAGTTATCGCTTGCATGTGTGGTGCCGTTTGGTTAGCTTACATACACTTTGTTAATGTTGAAACGCATGTGGAAACATGAACTGTGTGTGGAATGCTTGACCACAATGGCATGTGCCATTTTGGCTCAAGCATTGTTCTGGGTTCCTGGAACCCAAGCTGTTTGAAAACCCACCCACCCACACCAAGGTAGGAGGTCATGGCTGCTGCGCCCGCCAAGCCACCTGAGGAGGTCCCAGCCGAGATAAAGGAGGACGTGGCAAAGTTGCAGAAGCCACTGGCCATCCTGGTGGGCAAGGAAATCCCCTGGGTCATCCAGGCGGCACTGGGCGCATCGGGCTACGTCACGGTGGAAGACCTGGCGGATCGCTGGAACACCCCGGCGGCGGATGGTTCCCGGGACCTGGGATTCTAGGATGGTGAGAATGGATTCAACGCCCAGACCTCGGCCTTCACGGCAATGCGCCTCCTTCAGGCAGTACGGGTGGCAGCAAACTTGGTCAGGGGGGGCAACCAGGGTGACCACCCGGCGGGCCATGCGGGCCCGACGAAGGCTCAGGCGCCAGCTGGAAGATGCTTACGTGGCCACGCATGGGGCCCCGAAGCCGAGGTTGGAATTCCAAGGTAGTGATGGCTACCTCAAGAAGCAATGGCGCTTGATTGCCAAGGGCGAGTTGGGCTACATCCCGGCAAAACACATCGTGAGCGCGCTCCCGGAAGAAGGGGAACGCCCTTCATCCACCCACAAGAAGATCACGGTGGACGGCTGGGACAGGGAGGATGAAGAAGAGGTGAGGAGCCACCCTACATCTCGGCGCCAGCTGGAACGATTGCACCTAACCTTCAGGACGACGCTCCTGATGTGCACGGCAGCACTGCCGCAGTTTGGCAACCTGAGGGTCACCAAGGAGGAGCTGGATGACTGGTATGCCTGGTTTTATGGGGAGGACATAGCCGGCAGGAAGCCTCCCCCGATCGACACCACCTTGCTGTTTGCGGAGCGCAATGCATGGCGCAAGATTCACGAGATGGTGCACCAGGGCACCACTCTCTCCGAAGCCCTCAAGAACAAACGGGAGGTCTATGAGCACCTCAACAGGGCGCCGACGACGAAGGGGAAGAGCAAGAGCAAGGCACCCAAGGTGTGGCAGACTCAGTGGGAGAAGCCCAAGAAGGGGGGAAAAGGATCTTGGCCCTCAGGGCCTACCCATTCCAAGCCGAAGGGCAAGGGCGGCAAAGGAAAGTCCCCCCAACACCTCCTCGACCCCATGGCCGGACCACTGGGCTTTCAAGAATCCCAAAGGGGTGGCATACTGCAGGGGTCATCACCTTCACAACGCCCTGGATCATGCGGCCAACCCAAATCTCTCCGACGAGGTTATGTACCTCCAGATGGCCTTCAAACAGCGCCCCCTCAGGGACGGGGGTGGGAAGCCCTCACTTGGACGGCTGGCCCCGTGGACGAGGCCACTGTCCAAAGCAGCAGCGTTGGGGGCCAAGATCTGTGTCCTCACGTCGCCATGAAGGACAAACTCCAGGAGTCGCTCTCGTTGGGGATGGGTCACACCCCTTCCCGGAGGATCTGCTGGAAGATATCAGGGAGATTCTGGCGCCAGGGCAGGCCGACCAGCGGAAGGCCAACCCTTCTTCCTGGACATCTTGCACAGCCTGGCGCTGAACATGGGTGCCCCCGGCCCCGAGAAGGAGGTCGCCAAATCTCCACCCGAGGGCTGGCTATGGCCGGAGCCGGGCACCAGGTGGGTGCTGCTCAAGGCGGACGTCACCAAGGCCCACCGGAGAGTAAAGGTCCTCAGAAAGGACTGGCGGTTCCAGGTGGCTTCACTGGGGGAAGAATGGTGGGAGGTAGGCGCATACGTCCTCCACGCACTTTTCCCTCAAGTGGACTGGAACTTCGTCTTTCTGGATGACTTCCTGTGGCTGCTTCGTAGTGAGGGGGCAGTAAACTTGGCGGTGGCGCTGCTGGCAACACTCCTGGCCTTGGGCACCCCGCTTAGCTGGAAGAAGACACATTTGGCGGAGGTCAACACGTGGCTGGGCTTCGTGGTCCACCCGAACATCCCGCAGGTTCTCATGGCCGCCAACAAACACATCCTGGTGATGGAGGTCCTGCAGACCATGGTGGAAGGGCAGGCGATGCACTCAAAGGACATCGAGAAGGCTGTGGGCCGCATCCAATGGGCAACTGCGGCATGTCCGCTGGCGAAGTCGATGCTTCAACCATTGTGGGCCTGGAAGATGGCCACCACCACGGTGGGGAAACCCCCCAAGGTGGTCAGGATGCTGGCGTTCATGTTGCGGTTCCTCTTCAACACGCCCTTCGTCCAGTACTCCCCTTACTGGCCGAAGTCCTCTTGGTGGGGTTGCAGCGATGCTAGCGCCTCGGACGAAGGACTGGCATTTGTGGGAGGGTGGTGCTCCAACAAAACGGAGCCGGAAAAGAAGGAGGTGTACTGGTTCCACGAGCAGATCCACGTGGAGGAGTACCCTTGGGCATTCAAGAATGGGGATCCCAAGCGGAGGATTGCGGCTTTGAAATGCTGGGCACGCTCTTCCTCTGTAACATGATCCTCACGCACCAAGGCCCTCTGTCCTCCCGGGTCCGACTCCCGGTGGGCAGTGACAACCAGGGCAACGTCATGGCGATGCTCAACCTTGGATCCAAGAAGCCCTATACCGCGGCTATCCTGATGGAGCTGGTCTTCCTGCTCCACACCCATGGCTGCTCGCTGGCGGCCAACCACGTGCCCCGGGAATTCAACCAGTGGGCCGATGAGCTGACGCACCCAGATTTCTCTGGGTTCGACCCTTTGCACAGGGTCCCTAGACAGGAACTCTGCGAGGAGTTCGTGGGCCCACCCATGCTCCCGTGACCGGAGCCGGTGGGTGACTCACTTCCCCTGGTGGCAGACCCCCCTGTGGCCTGGGTGCCCCGGGCCCCGGCTCAGGGGCGGGCGCTATCAGTCTGCACACCCGTTCGAGTTTGTGGTGGGTGGCCCATGGGGCCCACCCAGCCGTTGACATCTGACAGGGGAAGATGAGTCCCTGGCACCAACACATTGCTTGGATAAAAGAGTTATCGCTTGCATGTGTGGTGCCGTTTGGTTAGCTTACATACACAAAGAGTTGTTTGAAGGGAGACCAACAAGGCGAACCGTTCTGGAAGGTGTGGTGCTCTATTTTGACAAGGTTTGAGCCCGTACCCGAGCTTCAGCCGAAACCAGAAGACTGTTTGTCTTTTCTAGAGTTGAGGAACTGTTGGTCAAACCAGGAATTCTTGATCCACTTTGCCACTCACGGCCATCATACCATCATGCGAATCAACTTTGACTTGGGGGTGAACCTGAATGACTTCGCGCAGAACTCAGGCAAAGCAGAGATCTGGAGGCTTGGGTGCTGGGCTGGTTCGATGGGCTCCAAATCAAGTGCCTGGGAAGGGATTTCCCCCCCGCGGATGTCATATTTGTTGTGGCATTGCATGGCTGGGTTGCAATGCCGAGTCTCGCTTTGTGTTATTTTGCATTTCTTTACCGTCTGCTCTCTCCACTCCATGCCACTCCACTCCGCTGCGCTCCACTTTGCAGTGAGTTCACTGTACGGCTGCCTTATGTCACTCAACTTTGCTTTGGTGGGCTATCAAGGATGCAAGGTATCTCAGGTCCAGGCAACGAGGTGAACAAATCCAAAACTCCGAGTCGGTTCAGAACCATCCCACCGTTTAGGAACAAGGGCTCTCATTGCCACGGCAAGGTGTCAACACAAGAAACCCGCCCAGATACTTTGTTTCCTGTTGGCCCTTCAATGACATATTCAAGTCCGATCATCTTGGCAAATTCCCACGCCATGTTTTGCTGCTGCCAAATTGACGGATTTCCCATATGCTTGGTGTTGCTTCGCAACCCGAGGGACACGAGGCACCTGAGGTCTCCGGCTCCGAATCAGAGCCGCCCAAGCGGACCAGTCCAGTTGTCAAGACTATTAGTTCGCCAGACGTGACATCAGTGCTCGAGCGACTTCAAGCGGGGCCAGCAAAGGGGTGAATCAATTTGGCAAGTGATATCCAAATTGCGCCAGAGGTCTGTTCGTTTTCACCAGACAAGCGGAGCGGGGGCTTGAACGGGCGCACCGCCAGGCCTGGCTCCGAAGGTCTCAGTGGTGCCGGTACTCCCCACTTGCGAGGGCGCGTAACTTGCTTCCACAAACCGCAGACCTGGGACCCCCGCCCCAAGCAGCAGTGCTTGAAAGGCTGGAGTAGCTATACACAATGAACATTTGACGGCTCTGGTTTCATGGTATCGCCAAGCAGCTCTGCAAGGGCACACCGGGTCAAGCGGAAACAGGTTCTTGTAGTGGCAGGGGCCCCGCACGATGCGAGACCACAGTGTAGTTTTCTGTAGCGGCTTAGAGCGCTACTCAAGTTTTAGCCGGGGGATTTTTTTGTTTGTTTGCTCCGCTTTGGCAATCCGAAGGACTGCCGGAAAGAGCAATTTTCCGCCAAATTCTTATCGTCCAGCACGTCGATTCCGCACAAGCTATGCGCAGTTTTCGTTGTAACAAAAGAGCTGCCAGCGGTTCCCAAGATCAACAGACTCTTGCAAACGGAGGGTTTCCTCAGGATTTGTTTTTAAACATCTAAAAAGACGGTTGATGATTTGTTGGTTGTGACGAACATTGCTGAAGACGTGGTGCATCCACTCCGCCCGCCAGTTGTTTTGTCAAAGAGCGAATCCAACCAGGCATCTTGAGGAACAAGGCAAGGCTTCATCGGACTTTCCAGATCAGGGAAGGCGACACCGGAACAAGTCAACTGAACGTTCCCAAATGGGTTGGCTTGTCCAAGCCCAGGATTCCCGGAGCCCGCTTGGATAATGCTGCACCCTCTCCAGGAACCACTTCACCCTCCAGAACCCTTTCCACCAACCTCATTTGGACACCCCGCACAGCCCCCATAGCTGTTGGGGCAAAACTGGGCACAGGTTTCTGGTATGGGTGTGCGATAACGAACAAAAACTGGGGATCCCCCGTTGCACAATGTTCGACACCATTTTTTTAGAGGCCCTCGTTTTGGACAGGCCCCTTTTGCCCGGGAAGGGCGAGGCTTCCAACCCTGAGGCGGACCGAGTTCTGCAGCTCCTGCGAGAGTCTCCGGCCAGGGCCCCGCAAAAACGTGAAGCGAGTACCCGCATTTTAGAACTTCAATCTTTGCCACTGGTCAGGGTTTGCCATATTTCTCCTTCTTTGTTTTTTCAGAAAGGCCGGGTTGGCGTGAAAGTGTTGGCGGGGTGATGTTTACAGGGGAGCCATACCCCGGCAACCCTGTCATCAGTGCTCCGAGCAAACACAAGTTGGAATCTGCGACAAGGCGACCAACTGCGAGAGACCGCCCACTTGGGGTACCCGCAATTGTTCTTCTGGCCCTTAACCCAGGTGGAGCAGCTGGCGGTGGTGGCGGGGGATCTCAAGTTGGACCTGGGCGCCGAAGGCGAGCGCAAAGAAAATGGGGTTTCGGTCCCCCTGTTTGACCAACCCCCCAAACAACTACACCACACATGCCCTGAGTGGAGATCCCGAATTCGGGTGATTGCAGGCGTCACCTGTTGGGGGCAAACAAACATGGGGCCTGACTGGACGTCCTTAGTTCGGATTTTCCCAGGACTCGAGCCCGGTTCTGTCTGCCGTGAGGAGTGCTCACCGCTCTTTCCAGCGGATATGGTCAGGACTGTCAGATTCGTTGCCAATGTGAGACCTCAGCTAGCCTCCTCCAAGACGTGACAGCGTCTTGGAAGACGACTTTTCCTGGGAAGCCGACTGTTCACTTCCTTGGTTGTTGGTTTGGGATCCTTAATCAGAATACGGCCTGAAACCACCACACCCAAGTGCAACTGGGGCAACATGCCCCGCCCCCCAGCCAGATAGCTAGGACACGCTGGCAGCAGGCTTTGTGCCAGGCGCTGATGAGGGGTCGATGGTCGGGCGATGGAGCTGTGGGTTTTCGGCGCATGGCGCCCAACTCCTTTGACTCCTGCCAAATAGCCCAGAGGTTTTTCAATCTTCACAAGCGAATGTGCAAGAAGCTTTCAAGGTTTTGACCCCATGTCATCAGTTTGAACACTTACAACCGATGGCCCGGCCTTGCCAAGGGCAAAAGTTGGCGGACCTGTCGGAGTTGCTTTCCTGACACTCCTCCGGGCCAGTGGGGACTCTCGAGCCAGCTCTCCGGGCAGAGTTCTTTCCTGGCAGCGGGGTTTTTCGTTTTTGGCCGTCGGCGTTGTGCGGCCTTGAGGCTCCTGCATCTATGACTGGACGCGTGTGACCAACGATGGCCTGGTGGTGGGCCGCGGACAGGTGCGGATGGGAGTGCGGGAATTCTGGGGAGGGGAGGAAAGCGGCCTGCAGTTTGCCCCACCAAGAGCCGGAGTTGACAGGTGGGCATTTGGGTTTGTTCCCTGGTTGTTTGCCCAAAGGGTTGGAGTTCAGGCGCAGAGGAAGCTTGGGGGACTTGTTGGATGGTTTGTTTTCGGGCAGCATTGGCGATGTTGAGACACCCATTCAAACTTTGGGGGTGAAATGGCTTGAAAAGCTTGGTGCAGCTCTCTTGACATATTGCTTTTCCTGGCCTACCAAGAACAGAACCCACAGCATCGGGGTTGGGAGACTACTGGGACCACCCGATGAATCAATCAGATCAAGTGAGATGTACCTGACTTTCTCTTGCAGGAGCTGGGGGAGAAGTGAACACGGGGGGTGAACTGAATCTGGGTTTGCTGTACTCCCCCTTTTTATGGATTGAAATGTTGGGTTCGCCAAGTATGTTGTTGCAATCCTGTTCTAGATGGAACTCTGATTTATCAGGAGACGTGGCCTTTTCTGCCTCACTTTCCCGGCATCGGTTCATCTTTTCCTAAAACAACAGTTGGACCCTTCGTGGACACACGATCAAGGACCCATAGTCTCGTATTTTCTGCTACAAACTGGGGTTAGGGTGGTTACTTACGCAATTTTGAGCCACAGACACACTGTTCATCACTGTTCACTGTCAAAAGTTGTGATGGTTGGGAGGAGAGGGTATTCCTTCCCCGGCCTTTTGCACCAACACATTCCAGCACCTTTGCCAAAGCACTGTCGTGGGAGGGTGCAGAATGGTCACCTCAAGCGGGAACACTGTGGCTCTTAACTTTTGTGTAGAAAGTTGGGGAGACCAGTCCTTATGCTAATCCAACGAGTCAATCCAAGAGTTTGATCCAAAGCAAGGTAACCACAACGAACTGGTTCTACCTAAACCCTGTTCTCCGCCAAGCCACAGTAACAGCAACCCTTCAGCCCCGGAGATTGCACCGAGGCGGAGGCGGAGACCTTGGAGACGGTGCCCACCGCGAGCGTGTTGACCAGGCCGAAACCAAGCCCAAGGTCAAGTTGTTTGGCCTATTTGGCGTATTGTGGCGAAGGGATTTGGACCCCAAAATCGTGGTTTTCCTGTGCAAGATATGACGTTTAAATTGCTTGGACCCTGGCAGACATCATCAATACATGAAGCAACATGGGGATTAAACACTCAAATTAGCCCCAGCCCAATGGAGAAACCATTTTCATATAGATGGTTGGTTTCTTTCTTGGTGTCAAGTAAGGCATGCCCACCTTCTAATCCATTCTAAATAGTCAGGTCCTTATATTACCCTCCAAGTGGACCTATCCCTTCCCTGGGTAACCCATGGCAACTGGTCGGAGTCCGTTTCGCCAAACCCTGGTGCCAAGCGGGAATAGGACACCTGGTTGCCAACTCGAGTTTTCTTCGGTTGACCCAAGGGGTGAATCTGGAGAACCCGGTTTCAGTTCCGTCAAGCGCTTGAGATCGTTTCGCAGGCCACCAAGAGTGAGATGCAACGCTGCAACACCACAGCTTCTGGCTTGTCATCCCCAAGAGCCTTGTAACTTGGCATGAGCAACGTTGTCTTTTGCAACAGGTGGGATCCTTTGCGTGGCCTTGAGCGCGAGGACATGCCGATGTTCCCGACTTGACGGTAAACATATGGGGCTTTCGCTTGCGGGTGGCAGAGGTCATCAACCCTGGGAAAGGGAATTCAAGCCAGCATTGCAAGGGAGTGGTGGTCCATCCTTCATGAGGACAAGGCAAAGCAGCTTCTTGATCCCGCAAAAGAAAGAAAGAAAGAAAGAAAGAAAGAAAGAAAGAAAGAAAGAAAGAAAGAATGAAAGAAAGAAAGAAAGAAAGAAAGAAAGAAAGAAAGGAAGGAAGAAAGAAACAAAGAAAGAGAGAAAGGAAGAAAGAAAGAAAGAAGGAAGGAAGGAAGGAAGGAAGGAAGGAAGGAAGGAAGGAAGGAAGCAAGGAAGGAAGGAAGGAAGGAAGGAAGGAAGGAAAGCAGGAAAGCAGGAAGAAAGAAAGAAAGAAAGAAAGGAAATCAAGAAAGATAGAAAGAAAGAAAGACAGAAAGACAAGTCTAAAGATAGAAAGGCGAGAAGGAAATAAAGCAAAAAGAAAGCAATCACATCAGACAGACATGAAGAACGCATAAAGGCAGAAATCAAGACACAATGAAAGAAAGACAGACATACATAAAGAAATAAGCAAACAGAGAGAAGGAACGGAAGAACGAAAGAACGGAAGAACGAAAGAACAAAAGAAATCATGTAAGAACGAAAGCAACATAAAATAAATAAATAACGAAACAACGATAATATTGAAAGAACACAAGACGACGCGAAATAAGTGGATACATAAATACAAATACAGAAAGAACAACAGAATAGACAAATAACGAAATAAATAAAGAAAGAACGAAAGAAAAGAGATAAGTAAAGAACACCATATAAAAAGAAAGAACAGAAAGGAAGAAAGACAGAAAACAGCAAGGGTTCTTGGTGTCGAGGGGAATGACCGTGGCTCACACTTGTGGATTTTTGACCTTACGTGTGACCATGCGCCAGGAGTTCGTGTCCCATTGCATCAACTACAGCCTCCAGGACTGGGTGACAGGGCACCGGAGAAAAAACAAAAACCATTCTGCCCCAAGACTTGAGGATTTATCGGTTTGTGCATCCACGTTGGAGCAGGGTGCAGCCTCGCCTGACCCCACGCGCATGTGCGCAGGAAAGAGTTCGGAGAAGCCTCAAGTGGCTTAGCGACGAGGACTGGATGAGCCAGCCGCAACGGGAGATACTGCGAGAATGGGGGTGTGCAATAGAATGAGGGACAATGTCAAGTCCCTGCTCTTGCGACCGAACCAACTGATAGATGACTGTCTCCCAACCGCGGGTGTTTCTTGGTTTCCCTTCATATCAAAAGGGAAACAGTTTTGAGTCAGAGCCTCCCACAATTCTCTGCAGGACTTGGGGTACGTGGGCGGGCACCACTTCGGCGACCAGGCGCAGCAGCTGGAATGCCTGCAGGCGCTCGCCTCTCGGGGCTCCCCGGCGTTTTGAGGTTGGTTTTGGAGGGGAACGAAACAAGACAGCCCAATGTAAACACGTTATTCGGGTCTCCACCTATTTTGGAAGCCCGCAAACCAACCATTTGCCGGCTATGGGTGAAGCCAAAAGGGAACTGGGCCACATTGTGGCGTTCCTCATTTTTGAGGCAACCCCATCATTTCTCATTTCCCTGGAGGTTTTCACATACCAACACTTTTTGGAAAGCCCTTTTGCTTGGTCCAAAGCCCGGCCGGTCTGCCGGTTCCAAGCCCTGGTGTGCTAGGAATTGCGCTAGGGTTGCATAAGCCACAACCGTTCGACTCGGACAACGTAGCCTATCGTTTGCGAGCATAGGGAACTCACATTAAATGTCCCACCAAAACGGTGGTGGTGGGGGGGCTGGCTGATGCCAGCCTGAAGATGGATTTCCGTTCTGCGAGGCGCGCGCCTCGGCGCAAGCTGCCGACGCTCCCCTGGAGGCTGCTGAGGCTTTTGTGCCGGTTAGGGGGTTGCTGGTGAGCGACAAATGCAAGGCAGAGTATCTGAGGAAAAAAAAGCATATCCAGGGATAAGTGAGGAACCTTGCTTTGCGTGAACCTGCTTGAGGGAACCTGCATCCCTTGATGAATTGTGCACAAAGAGAGGGCAAAAGTGAATGTGCAAGATGCATTGTGTGATGGACAAAGCCCACTTGAGTTTGAGGTAAATCTGACATGGATCGACCACAAATCGTGTCTCAGCGGACCAGAAGGCTCGATCCACAGCAATTATTCCGTCCGGCGACGCTGGCGTACAAGGAGAACGCTTTCATCAGAGAGCTTTGTTTGGGGTTGATCGCTCCAAACGCAGACGTTGACTTTAAAGTTCTATTTCTCCTGAAAGCAACCAAAGTCTACAGCTTGTATACCAGCAGCAAACATATAAAAGCTGATCACACACGCTCGCGCGGACACCCACACACACATGCAAGAGACACACACTCACACATCGAACTTCTCCAGTGTTTTCAGATGCTTCCAGATGACTGGTGGTTCCTCGCAGATCTGTGCCTCTTGCTGAGCATCGCCGGGCTGGTGGCTGTGTTGCCATTGATTTCCTCGGCGCCCATCAGCGACATCTCAGCAAAGCCCGGGAGCAACTGGGTGGTGGTCACCACGGCCCGGCCCCACGGCGTCGGCTTTCGGCCGGGCGTCCAACGCGTCCTACAGCGGCTGTTCGGATCCCCAAAGATCCGGCTGTGGGGCACTGGCTGTCCGCTTGAAGGCAAGAATGCGTGGCAGGCGGGGGTTTCGATTGTTCAATAATATGCGAAAAGTATATGCGGGGTGTGATTCATGACCGCCTGTTGTTTTGTTCTTCTTTTTCTTCTCTTTTTTTGCTTGAATTTAACAGGTGGATGACGTCCTCAATGCTTCGCAGCTGCGCATCTTTGCCAACGGAATGGGCATTGGAGAATCATCGAAAGGTTTTTGCCGCCTGGTCTTCCCAGCGTCACTGATTTGGACCTCAATACTTGGCGTGCCAGTTCTGGTCGCTATCGTCTTTCAGCTGTTGCTGATCACACTGCTGGGTTCTCTGGGTGCATTTCGCCTGGTTCTGGTTGCACCCGCTGTGCTTTTGGGCTTGTCCGGTTATTGGTGCCAATGGCTGCAAACGCGGAATGCCTTGGACGAACAGATTCGGTTCTATCGTCGCCTGATGGGGCCCTCCCCTTGCGAAAGAGGGGCTATGCGAGCCATTTCTGGTGGACAACTCCGTGAATTTCACAGGGTGTTCCAGACCTTCATTGGTCGGCGGAATATGTACTATGTCGTGAACAACATCGTGACGCCCGTGACGCGCCCGTGGAACTTGTCTTTAGCTGAACTAATGGGATCTGGCACTCTGGACTACTACGTGAGCTTCCTTTGGATCAATGCCTTTGAGGATTTGGTGGCATCTATCCGTCGGCACTACCAAACGTCTGACTTGTCCAACAGGTACTGGATAGATGTTTTTGCCTTGAACCAGCAAAATATTCAGGCTGAAATTGGCGACGGGCATTTGCGGGACTCATCATTTTTTCATGCAATGAGAAGCTCTTCTTGCAAGGGCGGATTTGTTGTCTTTGCAGATGTCGACAGCTTGGGCGCTGTGTTCACGCGCTCTTGGTGCATCTTCGAGGTCTACACAATGATACAGGATAACCAGAGGAGCGGACCATATGAAGGTTTGCTTTTCCGTACCCCCTGCGGAAGTTTGTCGGAATGCAGTTTCGACTTCGTGATGGATTGCGTGCGCAGGCTTCGCAGCATTGACCTACGAGAGGCGACCGCCGCGTCGCAGCAAGATGTGGCTATGATTCTCAACTATTGATTTCATTTTGGCCTTCTTTTTTGGCTCCCGCTTGTGGTTAGTGTGGTTAGGGAACATGAAAGAAGGTCATACATTTGGAAGTGACAATTCAGGATCGAGGACTACATCAGTGAGCTCGGGGGCTGGGATTTCATTTGGAATCTCATCATGGAAAGTGTCACAGAGGCGGCCATGTCACTGGAAGCGCAGGCCATCGATGCCGCCGTGGTCTTGAAGGTCGACACCCTGCTGAGGGATTTTGCCGCCACGCTGAGCCCACCATGCGCCAGTTCCCCAGGCCCACAACGAGCTCTCGGTGCTGGGCAGCTATCGGTGCTCCGAGAGTTTTTTGGGTCGGTCCTGGATGGCAGAGACATGTATTGGATCTGCGATCGCATCGTGAAGCCCCTGACTCGGGAAAAGCGCTTGTCCTATGCCGAGCTGGTGGGATGTGGGGAGTTGAATTGGTTTATCTCACATTGGTGGGGAATGCACTTCAATAAGACTGTGGACAGTGTAGTAAAGCATGCGACCAGCAGTGCCAGCAGCTGGGAGAGCGTGCGATATTGGATTTGCACCTTCAGCAACAACCAGTGGGCCATGGACGAAGAAATCCCACCAGGGGCTCCGCCGAGCGAGTCCTCGTTCTACAAAGCGCTGCGTTCCAGATCCTGCCAGGGCACGTGTATGATTTTGGACGGAAGTGTGGTACCTTTGACTCGTGCCTGGTGTTTGTTTGAGCTGCTGCAGACCTTCACCATCCAAGACGAAACCGCTCCGCGCGAAGGTTTGGCGATCTTGACCTCTTCGGGCGTGCTAAACAGCGGGAGATGCAGCATTGATACCGCCATGGCCATCGGGCAAGAGCTCACCACTCTGAGGCTGGAGAACGCCCAGGCCTCCAAGGAGGAAGACAAGCAGCTCATCTTCGGCGCGGTGCAAGCTGCGGGGGGCTTCGATGCCATCAACTCGAAGCTCAGGCAGAAGATTCGAGAAGTCCTTGGCACAGTGGCGAGCCAGTGGAATCGGGACATCAACCGACTGCAGATCCAACTTGGATCTGACCGGTTTGCGTTTTCGCACTGCGGCTTTGGCCCGTGATGTTTGTTTTCCTCTCCTTTGCAAGTTTGTTTTCTCTTAACAGGCCAGAGAGCCTGTTTTGGTTGGCTTTTGTGAGCAACAGTCAAGATTCACCCTGTAGTGAAGAGGATGATGACATTGGTTTCGCAACAACCCAACACAACTATGGGACAAGGGTTGGGTCACTTGCAACACCCATGTCAGTTGGGGTCGGTTGCGGAATATTGACTTTGTTTCATTTGAGACGCTGCGGCCTTGCAAAGTCATCGCTGCGCACACCAGCTGAAAGTAGACTGCGTCTCGTGTGAGACGCTGTAGCCTAGCGGCGCAGAAGACGCTGACTTTCTTGCCGGGCGAAACCGGATGACCAATTGGTTCTTGGTTAGGTTTCTTCAAAGGGAAGTAAAGAACACCTCAATTTGTTGGGTCCGGATATTTGTCAGACCCTTCAGAACAAGGTCACAATGCAGTCAAGCCAACTACCAATCAAGCAACACGCCTGAAGCTTCGCATCCAGCTGCTCAAAGTGGCGCTTGCTGAAGATTGCAACATGAAGCTCAGGTTGCTCGCATAGAAGTCCAAGCAGTCAAAATGGGCCAGGTTCCAGCCCCTTTGCTTCAAGTTTTATCTCCGCTAATCCAGCCTCCCACCAGCTTCGTGCAACCCTTGCCGTCCTTAGAACAATGAATGCGGGCCTTAGCGCCCGCGAACAAAGCGCTTGACCTAGGACGTTCCAGGCCTTTCGTTTGCGTGACAAGGGCACTTGGCCCAGCCTTGTGACGGGTCATACAGTCTTCTCTGCTCGGGTCATTTGGATTTGTGACGTGGCCCCTTTGGGACTGAAAGAGCCGCCCGGCCAGAAGCCTCGCCAGCCCGGAAGATTCGGCGGGCGAGCTCGAAAGGAGCGCGCGTGTGCTGAGTTGTCGAGCTCGTTAGATGTAGGCGAACCCTTAAAATGATTGCTCCGCACTTTTTGTATTTTTGGGTTCCAGGCGAGTTTTCGGGCGAGCAACGGGTAGAGGTCTCTCGGAATCAGGCTTGGCTAACATGGGCCGGGAAGTCTCATTAGACCAGCAAACAGGGCACCTCGACAAAAGAACCCACGAAGCACTGGGCCTCTTTCTTGGATTTAGAGGTGGCGCACAATATCATCAGGGTTGCACTTTTGAGGCTCTCCATCTTAGGGGAGAACATTTTTTGGTGCCCAAGTCTATTTCAGTGACACCGCAATGGTCCAGCATGGTAGGTATCCACTTGCGCGCGGCTTCCAGTGAAAATCACCCAGGGTTGGGGAATGTATCGCTTGGGATTCTCTTAAAGGGGAAGACTAACCTCTGAGAACCGGCAAGACCAGGTGCATACCTACGTTTTTTGTTGTTGTTGCTTTTTTTGATACCTAGCCCGGTTGCTCTTTCTGAAAATGAGGATTTGGAACCCCCAAAAGAAACATGCTATGCTAGTTCGATCCAAAGCCGCAGAGGACTTTGTGCAGAAACACATCCACCGCAAGCTGCAGAGCTCGGCGGCCGCCCTGGATGATGAGGCAGTGCGCCGGTGTTGTTTAAGGGGGGGGCCTTCTTTTGAAGAACGGGCGAAGGGAAAGCCGGGGTTTGGGTTCGAACTCCCCAAAAGGCGCAAAGCAATCTTGCTCATGGCTGGTTTCAGAGGAACACGTGGCACCGACCAAAAACGCACGTGAATCCCTGCAGACAAGTTCCGTCATGGCCGGTTTCGACCACCCGCAGGCTCTGTGGCTACTGGGCCAAGTCCATTTCAGCGAGCAGTTCGAGGAGCTCCAGCGGCTGCGAGGCTTGGCCAATCTTGGCAGCTGAGAAAACACCTTAAGAGATGTACAGAGGATAGGAAGGTTCTATCTGGTTTCAGGAAGGTTTCAAGGGTGGGGCGCTTGGAGTACATGTTGGGTCTAAGAGGGAGTTTCGTGGAATACACAACCATATGTGCCACTTGGTTTTTTGGACGTGCCTGGCGATGAATAGCTTGATGTATCCAACTGATCCAACCCACCAAAACGGAACACGAAGGTCGCTTGACAACAAACATGCGAGCTTGTTCAATCATGGACCTAGGGTCTTTGGACCAGAAACAAGTGCTGGGAGTTGCACTTCGCGCGTTGCTTGGGTCGACCAGCATGTCAGGCCCTGTGCGCGGCAACGAGGAGCCGGCGCAGTTCGGGGGACTCATCGGCCGACCCTTTGGGTTTCTTCGCTTTGCACGACCGCATCGCCAGACGAGTTTCCGGATAGAGGTTTCAGGCTGCGCTACAGAGGCCTTCACTGCCCGATCGCCCGTTTGCAGCGCCAGAGCGAGGGAATGAGCCCAAACTGAAGCATCCAAACGGTGATTTCTGTTACTTGGGTCCCAAATGGTTCAATGCCAACGCGCTGGTGGTTCCCCACCGAGAACCAAGGAATCTGATCTCTTTGCTCCCTGTCTCTTCTGAGCAGGACTCCGTGCTGAGACGACTGCGAGCTTCTCCAGGCAGTGATGTCTTCATGCGTGCTTAAATTTAAACTCAGCATGTGGTATGTATAGACATGAGCATCCTAGCACCCCCGGCTACAGTCTCCGGACCTCCGCCCCCCACCCGGAGCCCATGAACTCGCAATCGGAAGCTTCACACCGATAACAAACTATGCTTGTACTCCAATCAACTGGAAATGCTATCACACCCCTAAAACCAACTTCGTCTGGGTGAGTGGGTAGTCAAAGCCAGGATATCCTTTTCGGCCCACGTTCTTTTTTTTGCACAGACCACGGACTTCTAGACATTTCACAAAGGAGTATCGCCAAGATCGTTGCGAGGAAAATCCAAAAATCCTCCGGAACCTGCAGCCCCTTTTCGACACGCGCAGGGGAGCCGAACCCGCCGGGCGAGTGGGAGGCGCCCGAGGCGTGCCAGGGCTTTTGGGACGGACATTTCGGGGGACGGAAACAGTACTTTTCACCGGGTCCAGACGGTGTCGGTCGGGACAAAAGGAAGCCAATCATTTTGGGTGCTTCCCCTCTTGCAGGACGCACTCACACACGCTGCATATATATATATATACATGTTCTGAGTTTGGTTGAGTGAACTTCTGCTCACAGTTGAGCACACCAGCTTGACTCTTGAAGCAGAGGTGAATTTGCCTGTCATGCTATTGGTAATGGGAGCTCACGTGTGCAAGCGCAAAGACCAGAGTCCTGAGTCCAAGCTTTCCACGGCCAGGCCGCAGCGGTGGCCTGGGACGAGGTCGGGAAATGGATCACTTTCCCGGTTTCCGGAAGCCGGGAAGGCCTTGATTCTTTACATGCTTCCCGAGGGAATATCAGGTTTTGACTTCGAATGAGCGGTCAGCCAGTTGGCGCGAGAATGCAACCCCCCTCATGGTAGTTTGGTGTGGGGGGAATCGTCCCCTCGGAGTGAACGTTGACGGGTTGCTTCTGACCCTAGCCCGAGATCGAGTTGAGTTTTCCACCTGTTTCATGTGTGTTGCAAAGGGCTTTTGCAGTTGGGAGGTTCCCATGCTCAACAAGTGGGTGTGAAACAACCGGCAATCATTCATGATATCCTTACTTCTTCCAGAACCCCTGTTTCCCACCAAGTGGAGTCATGGCCACTTTGGAAGGCCAACAAATGTAAGGCCTTTCCTGCGGGGTGCCATACATGTTGCCTGTGTGGCTCTAGTTGAGTCGAGTTTTCAAGACCTCCAGCGCTACCCGCAAAGGATGAAACATGCTACTCTACCAGGGTGGAGTTGTTTTAGTAGCCAGTGAACTGGTGTAGAACTTACACGAGGCTCGATTGATGACTTGCGCTTTTCAAAGTTCATCCACTCGCGTGTGAGACAAACCTGCCTGCTTCCATCGAAACCGAAACCGCCTGCCTACCGCAGAACTTTGTGGGCCCTCAGTTTAGTTTGCGAGAATGGAGATGGAACAGTCGAACCAGCAGCTTGGCGTGTGACACGCTGGGGCACTCTTACTCGAGGAGCTCAGGTCTTTGTGCTTGCCAGTTTGCCAGAGTGACGTCTGAGCTAAGGAACATGTCTTCCAATCGAAGCTTGGATGCAGTCAGTGTATTGTTTCTCTGGATTTCCGGAGGGCGCTGAATAGGAGGGACGATGTTTAATTCATGAGGATGCCTTGTCCTACATAGGACATCTCGTTTCGGCACATGCTACCCTCCCAAGGCGAATTGTCTACGAGCATCCGAAAGTCGGGTTCTCTCATAGTCAGGCACTTGCTTCCGAGGAGCCTATGGGATTACAGATATGTGCTTGGAAAACTGACCAGTTTCCCTCTGGCTTCCTTTCAGCAATTCCATCCCAAAGAAAGAAGTGTCTCTATTTTTGAGTGAAACGCCCGAGTCATGCAATGATGCAATAACACCAGCTTTAAATCTACACGTTGGGCCATTTGCTGGCCTCAAAGGATTCGGGGATAGGTTTTCACAACATGTCCCTTTCAAACCCGGGATCCACGTGTGGCAAGGTCTCGTAGATCGTTTGAAGTTGGTTACACAGCAGTGCCTACGAGGACAACCAAACAAGGATTGGCAAAGGCCCACAAGGTTTGAGCGGGGACCCATCCCTGGTAAACTCGCTACCTTGTGTTGTCCTGAGAAACCGACGGCAATCACCCGCAATAGGGGCCTCAGGCCCCCTATTCAAAGACGCACCTGTTTGTTCCACGTTGCTCTCTTGGAACCTCTAAATAGAGCAAGCAAATCAAGAATCCAGTTTCCAACTGGAGCTACAAGACCCAAGGGCGGGTTCCCTTTTGCCAAACCGAGGTCACCGGCGGCGCGGGTCGCGCGCCGGGGTGGCGGCGCGGGCGCAGGTGGTGGGAAAGCCGAACCGGATGGAATCGCTCCGCGGACGAACGGGGGATTTGGGATTTGTCGCCAGTTTCCACGGGGCTCGGCTCCCCTTGAACATCGCTTCGCCAAAGGGGGAACTCAGCAGTGGCCCAAAACGTGTGTTTTTACAGGGACCCGCACTCGTCAGGGGGGTTTGGAGAGAGGCCAGAGGCTTGCAGAGCGATGGTGATCCACATTGCGCACGATGCGCTACATGCCTCATAGAACCAAGTGAACCGAGGCGTCTCGTAGAAAAAGACCTCATCTTGCATGGACTTCCAGGGACAAGTTCCCCGACTCCAGGCCACCAAAGCCGAATGGGAGCTGGTTTCTTGTCGCCCAAACTCATTCTGATGGTTTGGCTTCCTGAAAACATATCCAGCTGGTTTCTGAGGGTGTGGGGGGTTTGCTCCTGTCGGTGGCTGAGGCTCTTCTTCAAAACGCAGCTTGGCCGCCAGCGCTGTGGCTGCTTCGCTCGGGCGCAGCGGGGAAAACTGGGAACCCTAGGTGCCAAGTGACCCCATTTTCTTTTTTTTGCCACGTAGCACCAGACCGGAATGATAATTTTCCTGATTTAGTCATTGGGCTTTGTTCCTTGGGAGCGTGTGGGGAAGTTCCAGTGAGATGCTGGCGGCAAACCAAGATGGTCCCAACTCTAACCCGACCAAGTTGACCGTAAATAGGTGGCCCCAAAAAGGGTACCCTCACAAAAATGAAGCAGCCAGCTCAAACATGGGAGGCACAGCGCAGGGCTTTCAGACCGTGTCAGGATGTTGCATCACTTTCCTCGAATAGCTAGGGTTCAAAGTTCTTGGTTCACAGCTCAAAGCTCTTCATCGAGCATTGCTGATGAGGGGCCGTTGAAATGTTCAAGCCCCAAGGGACGCCAACTTCCTTATGGGATAACAGCCCAAAAGGTGACGCCATCGCAATCGATTTCCCGAGGAAAATCTGCGCTTTTTGGCAGGAGGCGCGGCTCTCTGGCTTGCAGCTGGCGGCTTGCGAGTTGAGAATGCAATATGCATATTTCAGAATACGTCGGTTTTGGAGGGACCCCTTTTGGGCTTGCACATTTTGGGACGACCCTCTCTACGTGTCAACCGCTTGGAAGTTCACTTGCACGCAGTTTGGGGTTTTGCCTTACGTGCCAGGGGCGCTGTCTTCGAGGGGCTGGCTGCAAATACGCCCACGGTGATTCAGAGCCTGGGCCCTGGGCGAGCCGAAGTCGTGGCCATGCAGCTTGCAAGCATGCCCCTCCGGGTGTGGCTATCCTTCTGTGTGGTTCAGGGTCTCCCTCGCATTATTGCTTGAAAGACTTTGTGGAAGACACAGGACACGGAGGGTTGCCCTCCCCCCAAAATATATATATATAAAATGAGACATTTTTCCCATAGTTTTCAACTCTCTGAGCTCGCTCCAGGCGCCACGACGAGCCGGACCTCACGAAGACGGCGCTCTGCCGCAAGATGCTGAGCGGCCGCTCGGAGGGAAGAGGGCTTTTGCTTCTTTAGGTGGACCCCTCTTGGATGGTAAAGGGGAACCAGCGGGATACAAACCGTTTCAGGGGTGCCCTATGTTGAGCAACACCCAGATAGTACTTTGCAAACAACCCAAAGGGAATTCTGTCGCAGAATCCAAGCCTCAAAAAGAGTTTGCCTTGTTTGGGTGTTTTGTAGGGGGGGTGAGCACTCTTTGGGTTCAGGGGCGGTCGAATCGGTGGTGCCAAGACTGGTCGGGACAGTTGGGGAACGCAGGACGACAAGGCAGGCATGTGGCCAGACGAGGGTTCAAGCTGTTCAGAGGTGTTCAGGTCTTTGACCCCATTGGCTCGTTCATATATAGGTGGTGGGTGCAACCTGAGCTCCAAGAGCGCTGTTTTTGTTTGTGCGGGGCAACCTGAGCTCGTCGCAGGGGGAGAGTGCAAAGACCCCACCTGCACCTATGCCCACAGCAGGGACGAGCATCTTGGCATGAGAGTTGGTTTCATCGCGGGACTGGTGACCACGCTTCTTACCCGGACCGTCTAAGGGCCGCTGAATATTGATTCCAAGAATAGTGCAGATTCCTATTCACGAAATCACCATGGCATGGCCTCCTTTGAGCATGTTTAAGGTTTGGCTCACATTCCACTAATCTGGGGTAAATTTGGCAGGGACCAGGGAGGAGAACTCACTAAGTTCCCAATATTTTTAAAACCAGGGGCCTCACGTGTTTTCATGTTCTTGATGGCAAATTTGGGATTTCTGAAAATGGGGATTATGATCAGGGGACCTCAGATCATGCCAGAAAAGTGTCGGGATGTTGCGGTCGCTGGGGTGGTAGAACATTTTCACCCACAGGCGAAGACGAATTCCGACGCATTCGCCCAAGGCTCTCAGAAACAGAGAGGAACTGCGAAGCCGAGCCCCGCCCCGAAGCCAAATTTCACCCCGACGAATGGCGAAGACGACTTCGCCGAAGCCGAGCTTTGTCCCGAAGCCGAACTCCTCCCGAGCGATGCGTTCCCCAAAGGCTGCCTGTAGGTGCCGCGCTGCGCCTGTAGGCGCCATCAGGGGAAGCCGGCGGCAGGGAATGCGGCGCCGGAATGCGGCCTCAGCCGGGAATGCGGCGTCACGAGGGAATGTGGCGCCAGGGAGTGCGGCGTCACAGGTCTCCGGAGCGCCGCGTCAGAACGCGATTCAGTGTCATGTGGAAAAGCGCTGGCCCTTGCGCGATTTTGATTTGCCCCCACATGAAAACAAACTTCCCCGCAAGTGAAAAGCAACCTTCCCCGATGAACAGCAGCCTTCCCCAAGTAAAACGCAAGCCTTCCCCCAAAAAACGCAGACTGAGGCAGCCCCCAAACGACAAGCAGCCTTTCGCCAACCTGAATGAAAGGCAAACAGCAGCCTCAATCAAGAAGAACCTTCCCCCAAATGAATCGCAATCTTCCCTCAAAGAAATGGCAACTTTCCCCACAAAAGCAAGTTTCTCGCAAATGAAAGCCAACTTTCCCGTAGAGTTACAGAAGTCAAAAGTCGCCTCTGGGGCTTCGAGGCTCCGGAGCACCTCGGACGTCTACAAGACGTCCATGCCGCTCGGAAGTGTCAAGGCGCCGAACAGGCTAAACTTGTATATGTCCGGTCCTTGTGGGCCAGCGGGTAATTGCTGACTCGCTTGGGTCCTTAGTGTTTGTTCATCGTGAACAAGCTGACGTAGGGCCTAGTTGCAACTTGGAGAAAAGTTTGAGGGATGGGAAACTGAAAGGACAACTCACTTCAATATGCACATGAAATCGGACCACTCCACTGCTGATGTTTGCCTCTTCAGTTGATTGGATTTTCAAGGACGGTTGTTCCACGTCCAGCAAAACGTTGTAGCCATCTTGGTAGAACCACCCCTGATCGCTCGCCGCACAATCATTTTCTTTTGGAGTTTTCTTTCCGTGGGGTTGACCATCCCAAATCTAAGGATAGCTCTTTCGGACAACCAGACACTTAGTTAAGCAACCATGCCAAACTTCTAAATTTGCTTCCCCTATTTCAGGGAAGCCTTTTTCAAGGAAGCCATTTTCAAGGAGGCCATTTTCAGGGGCGCCCAAAGGCGTCCGCGATTCTCAGGTGTACCTTCTTCAAATACGGCCGGTGTCAGATGGGTTCCAGTTGCCGCCACGCGCACTTCGAGAGCGAGCTCCGCTCGCGGAAGGCGCCGTACGGAGGGCGTGGCGTGCCATGGGTTGAGTCGATTTTGGCCACGACCATGAAACAGCAAGACAAGAAAGCCATTTCCGGAAGGAGAGGGCAAAAATAGGCCAAGCGTCCACCATCTACCAGAAAAGGGAGCACAGTTTCGCGTTTTGGCCGTTGTTGCTTCAACAAGAGCCACGTCGATGGCTATTGTGTCAAAGCCTGGGACACACGGTTGTTTTTGTTTGAGCTCATATGTGTTTTTCGCAAGCTCTGCTCAAAACACCAGTTGCTTAAGCGCGTGACGAGCAGCGGCACTTCGCACCAACATGAAGTGATTTAGCAGCGGATTTTATTTTGGGGCACGCGCAGCGAGGCCACATTTGCCACTTGCTGTAGGATGTGTTCATTGCTTGTTTTTGGCACACTTGCTACCAGCAAAGTCCACTCGTAATTCAGTCGCCAGGGTCACATGCACCTTGACGCACATAATTGCTCAGCCAGGGTGCATACCACGTTTGCCGCGAGTTTCCTCGCTTTTGCCAAAGATATCTTGCGTGGGTTCACACAATGACCAGGCCTTCTGGTGAAAAATCCAGAGAATGCTCCGCTGCTTATAGGAGTGCTGACAAAAAAGGAAGCCCAACAAGAAATCTAATTTACAAAATGATCCAGGAAGGCAAAAGGAGACCAAGCATATTCCTGATTTCATTTGACCGCAGTCATGCTCCAGTGAGACCAACAGCTTGGGTCAGGTGTCACAAACTGCCGGTGTTTCCTATTGGTCTGCTTCGCTGTCCATGTTCACACGAGGCCTTGAGTCATTGGCTTCAACCATGCCATCCTGAAAGCGCGATTCAGCTGCTTTTTGATGTAACTTGTCCCGTTTGGAATTTGGTGACTTTAGCGCATGACTGGATCCACCTTTGAGAATGTGTCAAAGGGGTGGTGGTTTTCCCTTTGGTTTCCCTTGAACTCAACTCCAAAAAGGGTGCCTTCAAAACACGTCGATTTCTGTGCGGTTGAGACCGGCCAGGAGATGGGCGAGGATGGGGTAGAGGGGGCGCCTTGGCCTTTTGAAGCGATGGGTTGCAGGTTGCAACCGTTGCAGACTTCAACGCAAGGCTGCAGGTCAACCTTTAAGAGACGTAGGTGCAACCTAGCAGGCGACTTGAACCTTGCCAACCTTGCAGAGCTGTAGGTTGCAACCTAGCAGACAACCTGTGGGCTAATGCACTTGTAAGACTGAGCTGTGTTTTTATACATGCTCATGTGTTTGTTTCTTGTTATGAACCTGTTTGCTTGGTTGCTTGGTTGCTTGTTTGTTTCTTTCTTTCTTTCTTTGTTTGTTTGTTTGTTTGTTTGTTTGTTTGCATTTGCTTGGCTTGGTTTTGTGTGGGTTTGTTTGGTTTGTGTGGTTTTGCTTGGTGTTGTTTAGATTTGTTTGGTTCTGTTTGGCCAGTTTGGTTTTGCTGCTTGGCTGTGTTTGGTTTTGTTTGGCTTTGTTTGGTTTTGTTTGGATTGGTTTTGTTTTGTTTTGTTTGGATTGGTTTTGTTTTGTTTTGTTTAGTTTTGTTTGGTTTTGTATTGTTTGGTTTCGTTTGGTTTGTTTGGTTTGGTTTGGTTTGGTTTGGTTTGGTTTGGTTTGGTTGTTTGTTTGTTTGTTTGTTTGTTTGTTTGTTTGTTTGTTTGTGGGTTTGTTTGTTTGTTTGTGTGTGTGTGCGCGCATGAGCGTGTGCGTGGGTGGGTGGCGCGTGTGTGTGAGTGTGCGCGCGCCCGGAGAGAGTGTCTCACTCTTACTCTGTGTTGCCTTTCTTACTCTCTCTCTCTCTCTCACTGTCTCTCTCTCTCTCCCTATATCTCTCTCTCTCTCTCTCGTACCCTGTGTTACCTCTTTCTCTCTGTCTCTCTCTCTCTCTCTCTCTCTCCTACTTTCTGTTGCTCTCCTTTGCTCTCTCTTGCTCTCTCTTTCTTGTTTTTACTCTCTCGCTCGCTCGCTCGCTCGCTCGCTCGCTCTCTCTCTCTCTCTCTTTCTGTTTATCTCTGTGCGTGTCTCTTTGTGTGTCGATGTTTGTACTTGTGCATGTACTTGTGTTCCCATTGTGTTCGTGGATGTGTGCACGCCGTGACCTTTGCAGTGCAAGCAGCCTGGCGCTGAGGGAAGTTTAGTTTCGGTAGATCTGCAATCCATATTTGCCGTGCAGAAATGTCTATGCATGTTCCTTCCCAAGAAGAGAGACAGATGCCTTAGTTTTTCATTGTGAGGCCTGGCCATGCTACTCCATAGCCCATGATTCTCCGGGTAAACTGGGTCCATGCCTCGATTCCTCGATTCCCCGATTCAGGAAGAGTCGGATGACGACTTCGGCATCAATGAGGTTGACACGAAATGGGAACGCTCGGTCACCATGCCCCCGGCCATCGGAGCCTCGGACTTGACATGGGAGCCTGTCTCAAACAGGCTTGGGACATGTGCGTTTCAAGAAGCAGCCGGGCCCATCCAAAAAAAGCAAGAGATTGTTCCAGCAATGGTTTAAACATATTTTCGTCTCAAGCCTCCCACATGGGCCAGGCCACCGCTCGCACGAGGGGTTTTTCCGCCCGAGGACAGGATCTGCCCCAGCACACCAGAGAACGTTGCAGCCCCGGTCGGGGGGTCGCGAGGGGGCAAGCGCCATCGCCACAGTTCACGTCTTGAGCCAAGTCGTTGGGGCTCATGATCCCTCTGCCTTCATGTCGCACAGTTGGAGCACCAAGTGACCAAGTGGCATGCCGGCTTTCATGTTGTCCCCAAGCTTGGCTGCCGGTTGGCTTGGCAGTTCCAATACTTTGCGGTGCTTTTCTGGCAGTGAGGTGCCCTGATCAAAGATATCACGCCGGCGACTGCCCATCCCAAGTGGGCAGACATCACAGAGGAGACGGATTTTGGGCTGAGGGTGATGCAAAAGCGGCCCAAGACAAAGGCTGTTTCGGCCATATTCGAACCAAGCCAACTGACGTGTTCTTTTCGGGGTGGCCTGAGTGAAGAGCGTTGCCGCAGGAAGCGGACGAGGACGACGACTTCTTTGACGAGCCTCACCAGTGAAGCATACCCAGGGGCACCAAAGCCATGCAGAGTGCCGCATTGTTTTGGCTGGTCAGAACGGATTCTTTGGTGAGCTTTTCAAAGGAAGTCGGCATGACGCCAGTTGGAGACGTCCCTTGTTCCACGTACGGCATATGAGGTTTGGTCAAATTTCCCGTAGTCTATGGTTCATTTGGGAGGAACGTGGGGCACTCACAAAATTCCTCAAAAAAGAGAAGTACGAACTCAAGTTGCCCCGTCCTCTCAAAGGAAACACATAATTGCGAGCGTGGCTCGTATGCATTTGCGAGATAGTTGTTGCCAGGTATGTCTCGATCAACTTTTCGACTGGCATTGACTTTGGCGGTTGCCAGCCGGGGAAGACTATGGGGTCCTTCCAAATCCACCCTGAGCCTCCCTCAGGCTCTCCAAATCGTGCCCTCAACTGCTCTCCGAGTTTGGAATTCGAGGGTCCGTCCAAAAATTTCATGCCAGGGGTCCTCAGAGTTGGGCTGAGGACAGCTTGTGGTCTCGCATGTCAACGATGCCTGCGCCGACACGTGACTTTCCGTCTGCGAACGAGGAGGCGCCGGTGGTTGCTGTCCTGATGTCATCGGAACGCTGTCGACACCACCAGAACAATCCGGACTGCGCGACATGCCACAACACCTCTGAACACCTCTGAACACCTCTGAACACAGCATAATCTGGGACAGTCCGGATGTGCCGACATTTCTGGGTAATAGAGTATTAAGACCATGGCGGGACCCATTGAGGACATACCAATTTTGAGAAACTCCCACATGGGCTTGGGAAACTGTCCACAAATGGAAGGGGGTTCTCAGGGTCCATGCTACTTTTCACGAACATCACCTTAAGATTCCATGGGCTCTTGGTATGGGTGTTGGGGTTTGAAGGGAAACACGCCCGTAGAAGCCCAAGTAACTTTATCAAGGTGGCAGTGACCTGTTTGGGAAGTGAAACACACTTCTATTCGGGAGAAAGGTCCAAAACAACGCACTCTTCGTCGGCTGGCAGGCACTGCGGCAACCTGAGACCATGGTGCGGCAGTGCAGCGGCATGTCCGTGGCTTGGAAGGAATTCGGATGGCATCTCTTTTTGGAGCCAACCCCCCGCCTACCCCACGAAGGCCGCAGGGAGGTCTGGCGTGCAAATGTTGATTTTCGGTTGCCACCTTCTGTGATACAGCATTTCTGATAACCAACACCCCGTTTGTTGTCGGCGGATTTTCTTATATGGTAGTTTCTTACAAATTGCCACTCCGTAAAGAAGACTGTTTGCGTCTAAATAATTGATGTAGGATGACGGTTTAGTTTCATCATGAGTGGCGCCCATATACTTATTGTTTGCTACTGCTTTTCTCATTGACACCCGACACATTCCACCTCTCAATCCCTTCTCAACCATATCATAAAGTTCTTCATCGTGTACAAGTTCAATCCCCGTTTTTGATAGCATCGCGTCCCAAGCAAAGTTAGGTAAGGTATAAGAATGTGCGGGCTCTGATTTTTTGCATCTCTTAAAGCAATACATCGGTTTCTAAATACAAATCGTGACACTCACCGAGATGCTTATGTTAAAATGTTTCCATATCGACTGTGCTCTTTCATAGTCAGCATCACTTGTATCTTCTTTACTTAGTCTACCGTAAAATTGTTTCTTTTCTGGTAGTTCAGTTTCATCAGATTTGTTGAAGTCATTACAATAGTCATAAGGATAAACTCCTTTTTCGATAAGTATTTTTTTCAGTTTTCCTTTTTGACTGTATTTGAAATGCTTCTGCCAGTTGTCCCTCAATTACCCGTCCTCATGCTTAGTCTATTTAGCCAACTTGTCGAATGATGATCATAAGAAACTGAACCTGTCCTTAAATTCTAATTTGTTCAATGAAGTGGAAATTTGGCGAGAGTTTCACCTCATACATTACTACAACTTTAAGATTAAAAGGTTCCGCCCAAGTAGTGGATGAAGATCTCCCTTGTCTACGCATACGGGGCACGCTGAACCCCCAAAAGGTTTAGGTGGGAACTCGAAGATGAGTTTAAGTGGGACAACATATTTTCGGAGGGAACCCCCAAAATATATTTAGGTGTGCAACTCCCGAAAAAGAATTCAGGTGTGCAACCCCCGAAGAAGATACTTTGGTGGGTAATCCCTATGACTACCAAACCTTGAAGACGAATGAAGGCGATGTTTTGGATGAGTTCATATCCTCGGCATAGGCACACCTCGGCTCATATCAAGACGCAAACACAAACCAGTCAAATCATAGGGCGAAATCAAAGCTTCAAGTCACATCAACCGCTCCAGGGATAGAAAGCCTTGCCGATGTTATGGAAAGTGATAGAGTCCAAAATGATACTAAGGCATACCCCAAAATGTGGGTAAGGCGTACCGCGAAATATGGGTAAGGCAAGCCCCGAAATATGGGTAAGACATACCCCAAAATGTGGGTAAAGCAGACTCCTAATCACATCTAAATGGCAAAGGCTTGGATTGATGCTCTGCGTGAAACTCTATCACACGATGAGACAACCGGTCCGGTCGGAAGATTTACTTCATCAATCACCATATTGTTGTGGGTAGGAACTTCTCGCTTCACAATCTCTTTCTTCACATCATCAACGGAGCGGCTGTTGTTGTACATCTTACCGCCCTGAACGTAACTCCGGTAGGTGTCAGTGCAACAACTAGAAAGCTCGAGTGTCACTTCAGAGTTCAACACCTCAATGACGCAATGCTCCAAGACCTTGGGATCAAGACTCGAAGCCTAAAGCTCCTCGCTCGTTCCCAGCTTCAGCTTCTCCAAGGGCAACTGCGCCAGCGAAAAATCCCAGGGAAGTTGACCTCGAGATTGAAGCTTCATCTCAACCGACCGTGTCTGGTCTCAGGCGAAGCGACCTGTCCCTCGGGCTTCTCAACTTGGAAGCACTTTTTCACCCTGAACTTCAAGTCCTTCTTGGCATCGTCAAAGGTGTTGATGACGCCATGCCCTCCAAACCGAGCACCACCAACGGCACGAACCGAAGCCACCACCACACTACCATCAACAAAGCCAACCTCACGAAGGGACTTGCGTGCGTTGTAGGTCTCAAACAGGTCAAAACCTTCGAACACAAAGCGGGTGGACTTTTGGTCAGGCCCCTTGATGCGTGCCATGTCAAAGAAGTGACCACGCAAAGAGCCGATGCCAAGGTTGAAGCGAAGAGTGATAATATAAGAGACCTCGCCAAACCTCACCGTGATTGATAACCAGCTCATCCTTCTTTTCGGTCTCACTTTTGGTCTTTTCTTCTGCCTTCTTCTCCTCCCGAATGTCCTTCTCGTGCTTCTTGGCTGACTTCAACAGCTTTGTCTCAAAGCGTTCCTTCTCATCATCACTCTCGCTCTCGCTGTCTTTGTTCAGACCTGTAGCTTCCTCTTGCTTCCTCTTCCTCCTCCTCACCGTTGTCAACAGCAACCGAAGGCACAAGTGTGGGCACCTTGTCCTTCTTGTCATCTGGGTCATCAGAGCCACGGCAGAAGGAGACACAGCCATAGCAACAGGAGAGTATCTTACAGGTTAATGATGCCAGAAGCGAATTGCAACCACAAGAGCCGTTCAAATGTCCGCGGTCGGCATTCGTAGCATTAAAATGCTTTGATTGACAACTTCAAATGCTTTCACAATTGCTGACAATCAACCGTGCCAAGTAATGACACATCTGAGTCATCTAAGTGCCCAGCATTAACAACGAAGAACATGATGCATAAGTCAAAGCGTCGGGTGGTGCGACTCTCTCTGAAAATGTTTCAACCTCAACCCTAAGCAAACATGAACTCTATCCCCCAGAAAGCATTGAAATAGTTTGAACCCTGAACTTTGAACATGTCAACATCTTAGACTGTTATTAAAAGAACAAATTGTAGACACATGTTCAGGAATTTTAGAAACATTCCCCAGAAACTCCTTGGTGACATCAACAAAATGATTGACTTGTTGAACATGAACCTTGAACCCTGAAGCCCTAACTTAAAACCCTTCTACTATTTCTCCCCCCCCCTTTCCGGGGGGTTGGGGTCTATAGAAGGTAGCACCGTGTGACCGTACAAGCCCCGCCCCTTTGTGGCATGGGTGGGGGGTCCATGGTTCCCACCCCCCCGCCCCTGGATGGACCCATACCATTGGGGGGGGGGGCTGGGGACAACGGGCGATGGGAACACATATATATATATGTATACACACACATATGTGTCTCCATCCTTGCGCAATACATTGCGTTGCTTCTTGCATGGATTTTTACAACCTGAGGAATCTGCTGCTGACATCATGACAGTCTCAACCAGAAGTCGCATGCTCGGCAACATGCAGATGCGCCGGCCGCGCCCTCATTTTGCCGTGTGGCTATGCATTTGTATGGCTTTCAAATGCTTATCCGACATCCATGTCATGGATCCATGTCATGGATCCGTGTCATGGATCTGTGTCCAGATGCATCAGCCCCTTGCTGAATTGGGGAGGTCCTTTCTAGTCTTCATTTCTCTCTTTCTCTCTTTAAGGGGACCCCTTGGTTTCTACGCGTTTCTGGAGTCCCTTCATTTTCCGCTCAAAACCCTGGCGCTTTGCAAAGGATGGACAATTTCGGCCCTCAGCACCTTGGCAGTGAAGTCGCATCTTGGCCTTGGGCGCAAATCTGTACGAAGAATTGGAAGGATGTTTTGGACATTGACCCTACAAATGGTCGATTCATTTTCTTGGTAGTTCCCCGGCATCGACGTAGCTTTTTGACTTTTGGAGTTTAGACAAATGTTTCACATATGCCAAAAGTTTCACTTCCGAGGGAGCTAGGACGTGTGTGTTCGTCTCCCGATACAGGACTTGGACACCACGGTTGGTTCTGTCACGGCTTCCCCCTGAAAAGCATTGAAACGGTGGGCCTTTTGCGTGCGGCGTGCGCCCTTGGACACCTTAACATTCAGCGTGACGTCTTCCGCGCAGCAAATGCCTGAGGTTCCTGCAACATATGCCAGGCGCCGGAGGGCGGGGTCTGCCCTCTTTTTTCCAATTGGTTTGACATTAAACTGGGGTCATTATTTTGACGTTTTCTGGGGGTTCTCAAAGTCAGAACATGGGGGGCTTGTGTCCATTTAACCCACTCCTTGGGTGACTTTGATCATGGTACAATAATGGGGCCAGTTCAAGGACGCCCTCATATTAGTGTAGAACCGCTCTTGGCGGTACTAGGCCTTTTCGCGGAAGGGGTCCAACCCGCCGTTGCCCATGCAGGACTGATGCCCATGGCGTTTATGTCAGGCAGGGGCCGGGGAAGGATGGGGCGTGGCACAGTCAGAGCCTTGTCTTCAGGTCCTTGGTTGATAGTTTGGCTGCGTGGTTTTGAACCGCGACTCCAAAACACTCAGGGAAACTGATGTACGGCACTGCTCCAAGTGTGGACTTCTCTGAGTAGATCATTCAGTGTCAAGTGATCATCATCCTTCGTGATGAGCTCCTGTTTGCTTCTGCCGTGTTGCTTATGATTGACTTGGGCATGCCAGGGATGGCGGCTAACCAGCAGCAGATGCAGATGCAGCAGCCGCAAATGCAGCAGCCGCAAATGCAGCAGCCGCAAATGCAGCAGCCGCAAATGCAGCAGCAGCAAATGCAGCAGCAGCAGATGCAGCAGCAGCCGCAGCAACAAATGCCGCAGCCGCAGATGCAGCAGGCGCAAATGCAGCAGCCGCAGATGCAGCAGCAGCAGATGCAGCAGGCGCAAATGCAGCAGGCGCAAATGCAGCAGCCGCAGATGCAGCAGCAGCAGCTGCAGCAGCAGCAGATGCAGCAGCCGCAAATGCAGCAGCAGGCAGGGATTGGTGGCGCATACCCAGCCATGGCTGCGGGCTCAGCATTTGTATTGAACTGACTCAACCCTGCCAAGGCAAGGACTCCTCATGCAGTTTGCCGAGTGCGGCGTTTTGGGTTTCTTTTCCGAGCCAGACATAGCTCGCAACCTCGCAGTGTTCAAAGGGGTTGTCACGGACGAATGCTTCTCCTCCCCTTCGTTTCTTCTAAATTTTGAACAGGCCCGCGGGGGGAGAGCTTTCGCCAACGTAGGTTCCTTCCGACTGAGGCGATCGTGGTGCCGGTTCCAGTTCCGGCCCAGAGCCAAGGGGGAATAGCCTCAAGGCCAAACAAAAAACAAAACTGGTCGGGTTTGTTTTGAGGTTTCTGCAGTCTTGGTTTCAATCCTTTCAGAGTTGTGTGAAGGCCGCCTCCAAGCCTCTTTCGCTCTGAGGTCATGGTCGTGGCCCAGCCGGCAGGGGAAGGAGGACAACCGGATGGAATTCGCTCGTGCGGTCTTGGGATGCAAACGCAGCATTTGAATGGGTTTGTTGGGAGACTCAAATGATATGTGATGTGTCAAAACTCTTGTGACCACCAAAATGGGTCCCATCAAACGATGCATCAACCAGCTCTTTGTATTCGCGATGGCCGGTTTCGGTTTTTGTTGCGGTGCTAGGAGCTCCCAACGCAGGGACTGCGCCGATGGTCTCGTATTGCGGTGCACAGGCCATGGAGCCGAACGTGAAGCCGCTGGGAAAGCGTTGGTTTCAATTTTGGTTGGGCTTGGCATGGGAACCCCCTTCCAACAGTCTAAGGGCTGACTCATGTGCAGGGGTATACCGTCACTAAATCGGGAGAATCCAGACCTAGAGGCTGAGGCGAGGCTGAGGCATCGGCTCGGTTTCGGAAGCCGGAAGCCTCAGCTGAGGAAGGACAACATGATGCGATGGTAGCCGACGAGAGCCAAAGCCTCGGCACCGAGCGGGGCCCGTAAGCCCGATCAGGTTCTTGGGCGAAATGATCAGAAGGTCGAGAAAAAAGACGAGGGTTTGGGGTTGGACGGGTTGGACGAGGCTTCCCCAAAAGACCGCCGCAAGGGATCATACGCCGAGCCGAGGTTTCCGATTTCCGATGGCAAGCATATGCTAAGTTCCATGTGCCTCTCACCCTGTGGCTTTGAAGTATGAATCTTAGCCAATGCCACGTGCAAATTAGCAATTCCACTGCTTGAGCGGTGCGGCAGTACGCGTTCTGGTGCATTTGCACCATCGACGTGCTGATCATTCTGAAGGTATGTGCTGCAAGTCATGGATGTAGGCAGTCATGAGTGTAGGCAGAGGCTCCCAGGCCGGAATGATAGCTGGGAAGGCAAGTCAGGAGAACCAAGCTTTGGATCAGTGTATGACTCTATGACTGCCTGAAAAATTATCCTAGACTTCATCACGGAAACTTGGCTGAAGCCTGGCACGGACATGGGAGTGACGAAGAGGTCTGTGGGAGCGATGCCAAGGGCAACTTGTACATCCGTTCTTGCTCTTTCTCTTTTTTTCTCTAGCTCCAAGATTGATCGTCCCCTGACCCTTCTTCAGCCCGAGTGAGTCTCACGATACGGCGACCGCCTCTTTGAGGTGTGCATTTGGAGTCAAGCTGAAAGGAGGCATCCGCATCGCTTTGTTTTTTTTGGCAGTTCGCTTCGCGAATCGCAAGACGGTTTTGTCGACTTCAAGACGGGGGCCCTGCGGACTCCAGTGAGACGCCTTCTGCTTGGCGCCTTCGGCCGGAGGACGAAGGAAAGGAGCTGACTCAAGTTGGGGCACTCGACTCGGTGACTCGGTGACTCGGTGACTCGAGCTTTCGCTCTGTTGGGACCCTTCCACTGATTTCGAAGAGACTTGTGCTCTGATTTCAGAAGCTCGCAAGCGTGTTGCATAGAGAACGCGAGCTCCCTGGCTCTGTCCGGGGCGTTGCTCGGCTTTCACGCGCGGCCTTTGATATCGCCAAGCCAGACCAGTAGGACCGGCATGGGCGCTGATCTGTCGCTGGCCACTTGCCACAGAGAGATCAACCTCCAGCGCCTGTCAAAAAGGCAGTTCCCAATTTGGGCACTTTGCAACAGCACTGTGCTTTACCAAATTGGCAAGAGCGTGACAAACAGTGCGCCGGTTCGCATGGGTCGCTGTTTTGAAGCGAGTGCCCAAAATCCCTATGGGCCATTGCAGGGTGCACCTGGATTTCTAAAGTTTCTAAGGGCAGAAATCATCGAGTGAGGTGAAACGGGTGCTGTGTGTTCCCGTTGAAGCGATGTGCCGTGTGTAGGCTGGCGACGGCATCGAAGGCGGGCCAGGTTTTTTCGTGCGGGACCTTTGGGTGGCCCTGTTGGTGAGTTTCAATAGCAGCGTGGCAATGCCTTGGTGGAGTTTTTTTTTTTTGGGGGGGGGCCGGAGGTTGGCTGGTGTCAAAGGGCAGGCAACAGGACAGCAACCTTCTGGGATCGCTGAGACAAGACCAAACCTCCCGGTGAACGCCAGGCCTGCAAGAGTGGCTCCAGCAAGCGGGCCTGGGCGAATTCCAGGAGGCGAGGGTGTGGACCGCTGAAGCCTCTTTCCAGCCATGGGAGCCGCGAAGCTGACAGAGGTTTGGAAGACGGCAACTGAGAGTATGTGTCTGGGTGCCGTCTTTCCAATCCTAGTGGATAGGAGGCCTTTCCAAGACGACTCGCTGACTCTTAGAGTAAAGGTGTTTTGGGTTAGCAGGCTCAAAATTCATGATTATGAGTTGCATTTGTTGGGGATGGCTGTCTTTTTGGGCAGCCATGTAAGGGTTGTGACAGGCCGATGTGTTCTCAGGTTTCAGCTCGCATTGCAATGAGAGAGAACCAGTTCGAAAGAACCCATTTAGGGTCACACATGGGTGTGTCCGACAGTCCCATTCTAGGAACCAGTTAAATGGATGCTCATGCCCTCGCATTACTTCAACATGTGTAGCAAGATGTGCTTTGCTATGTGGGCGCGCTGGCAGTGGGGCCCGCCCGCCCGCCCGCCCGCCCGCCCGCCAAACACGCACGCACGCACGCATGCACCCACGAACCCACGCACCCACGCACCCACGCGCCCAAACCCACAAACCCACAAAACCCACAAAACCCCCCCCCAAAAAAAACAGAAGCCCACAAAACCCACAAAACCCACAAAACCCACAAAATTCACAAAACCCGCAAAACCCGCAAAACCCACAAACCCCCAAGCGCACAAACGCCCACTCGCCCACACACCCACACGCTCAAACGCCCAAACGCCCAAACACCCAAACGCGCAAACGCCCCGACGCCCCATCGCCCAAGCGCCCAAACACCCAAACGCCGGCACGCCCAAACGCCCAAACGCACAAAGGCCCAAACGCCCAAACGCCCACACGCCCACACGCCCAAACGCCCAAACGCCCGCACGCACATTCGCACATTCGCACAAAAGCACAAGCGCACAACACACAAGCGCAAAACGCAAAACGCACAAACGCACAAACGACGCCCAACCGCCCCAACGCCCAAACGCCCAAACTCCCCAACGCCCCAACCACAAACGCCCAAACGCCCAAAAGAACAACGCAGAAACGCGCACCGCCAAACGCGCGCGCGCGCGCGCAAGCGCGCGCACAAACGCGCGCAACAGCGCGCGCTCGCGCGCAATTGGGCGCACAAACGCGCTCCAAAAGCGCGCACGAAAACGCGGGCACAGGCGCACGCACAAACGCGCGCACAAACACGCGCACAAACGCGGCACAAACGCGCGCGCGATTGCGCAACCGCGCGTGTGTCGCAAATGACAAACGTGCGCGCACGAACGCGCGCAATCGCGCGCACAAACGCGCGCGCAAACGCGCGCACAAACGCGCGCAAAAACGCGCGCGTTCAAATGCCAGCAAAAACGCACGCGCAAACGCGCGCACAAACGCGCGTACAAACGCGCGGGATACCCGCGCAAAAACGCGCGGCAAAAACGAGTGCAAAAGCGTGCGGCAAAAACGCGCAAACACGCGCAAAAAAACACGAAAGCACGCAAAGACACGCGCAAACGTGCGCAAAAGCGTGCAAACGCGCAACGCAGCCACGCAGCAACGCAACCGCGCAACCGCACAACCACACAAACCCATGCGCACAAACGCGCAAACGGCCAAACGCGCAGCAAACGCGAAACCGCGCAAACGCAAAAGCGCACAAACGCGCAAGCGCACAAACGCAGAAACGCACGAACCCACGAACCCACAAAGCCACAAACCCACACACCCACAAACACACAAACGCACAAACACACAAACACACAAACACACAAACGCACAAGAGCACAAGCGCACAAACACACCAACACACACACACAAAACACAAACGCACAAACACACAAACACGCAAGCGCACAAACACACAAACACACAAACACACAAACACACACACAAACACGAAACACACAAACACCTAATCTTACAAACACACAAACACAACAAACAAACACAAACAATCACACAAGCGCACAAACACACAAACACGCGAACACACAAACACACAAAACAGAAACATACAAACCAAACCCCACGCACACGCACACGCGCACGCACACGCACACGCACATGCTCACGCAGAGAACACGCGCGCGCGCACTCACATGCACGCGAGCGTTCACACGCACACGCACACACACACACACCCAAACTACACGCACACACACACACACACACACGCACCCAGACCCACGCCCACACCCACACACCTACACCAACAAAGGCAGAAAGCGCCGCACCCATGAACTCTTCAAAAACGTGGTTTCTTTTTTTTTGGGGGGCAATAGTGTGTGTGTGTGTTGTGTGTGTGTTGCGTGTGTGTTGTGTGTGTGTTGTGTGTGGTGTGCTTGTGTTTGTGTGTTTGCGCGTTTGTGTGTTTGTGTGTTTGTGCGCTTGTGTGTTTCTATGCTGGTGTGTTTGTGTGTTTGTGGGTTTGTGCGCTTGCGCGCTTGTGCGCGCTCGTGCTGTTGCGCTTGCGCTTGTGCTTGTGCTTGTGTTTGTGTTTGTGTTTGTGTGCGTGTTTGCGCGGGATTTTGTGTTCGTGTTTGTGTGAGTGTGTGTGTGTGTGTGTGTGTGTGTGTGTCTGTGTGCGCGCGTGTGTGTGTGTGTGCCTGCGTGCGTGTGTGTGTGTGTGTGTGCGCGTGCGCGTGAGTGCGCGTGCGTGCGTGCGTGCGTGCGCGTGTGCGTGTGCGTGTCTGTGTCTGTGCGTGTGCGTGTGCGTGTGCGTGTGCGTGTGCGTGTGCGTGTGCGTGTGCGTGTGCGTGTGCGTGTGTGTGTGTGTGGGTGCGTGTGTGTGTGTGTGTGTGTGTGTGTGTGTGTGTGTGTGTGTGTGTGTGTGTGTGTGTGTGTGTGTGTGTGTTTGTGTGTGTTTGTGTTTGTGTGCGTGTGTCTCTGTGTGTGTGTGTGTGTCTGTGTGTGTCTGTGTGTGTCTGTGTGTGTTTGTGTGCGTGTGTCTCTGTGTGTGTGTGTGTGTGTGTCTGTGTGTCTGTGTGTGTGTGTGTGTGTGTCTGTGTGTGTCCGGGTGTGGGTCTGGGTGTGGGTCTGGGTGTGTCTGTGTGTCTGGGCTTTCGGGAAAGCAGTGAAAAAGACGTACTTTCAATTGATTTTCTGGAAGGTTCAAACACGATTAAAACCGATTGAAACTTGAATCGGGCCTGAAGCCGATTGAAACCGATGTAAATTTCAACGGGGCCTGGATTCTTGAACCATTCAAGGCCAAACTTTTCCAGGGGTTCTGGAATCTTGAACCGAGGCCCGAATGTCCAATTGGTTTCAATCGAGGCCCAGCTTCAAGCTGGCGTGGAAAACTTTCCCAGGGGATCTTGAGTGTTGAATCCAGGCCCGGCTGAAATTTCATTTATTCCCCTAATTTGCCTTCCTTACTCCCCTGGCATTTCTTTCTCCCGCAACATTCCCCAACCAAGTACTCCCTCAGTGCTCCCCTCGTATTTTCCTAGTATGCACTCTTAGTCCTTCCCTGGTCTTCCCCTTCCCCCAGTATTCCCCTTAGTATTGCTCTAGTGTTCCCCTGTCCCTTTAGGGGGAAAACTAGAAGAATACCAAGAGTTAGGGAAATGCTAGGGAAATAGTGAGGAACTTGGGGAACACTGAGAGAACCACAAACTTCGAGAAATCAAATATTGAGAGCTGAGAGGGCAACATAGGGGAATATTAGGGGGCTGGAGGGGCAACAAAAAGGTAGCTTGATTTTCTTTGTTTTTCTTTCTTTTACTCGTTTTTTTTTTTGCTTTTTTTTGGGGGGGGGGCGGGGGGTTGCACACACTATATATATATATATATACACGTATCCTCTCGCGTCCGGCTTTCCAAGCCTGCCATAGCCTCGTATCCAGCGGAACTGAGGCCGTGTCTGCCTGGTGCAAAGACATGGGCGCGATCTGGCTTTCAGAGGCGACCAAATCTCTGCCTTTGTCGGGCCCAAGCCAAGAGGTAATGAGGGAGATCGGAATAGGTGGGGGGTTGGAAAAACCAGCTTCCTCTCCACCAGTTGTGGCATTGCGTTCTGAAAAGGAAAAGGAGCAGATATCCCAGAAAGAAGAATCATGTCAAAAACAGGCCGCCGCCTTTTTGATTCAATGAGCCTTTGACTCTGTAGTTCTTGATTCTTGCACATATTGTATACATGCATTTGCACACAAGCAAAAACAACTCACCCGCTAGCACGCAGACACGTCCGCACGCACACAGAGCTTTGGGCTTCGGTGCAGAAAGGAAGTAGCAATGCCGTGTATGCGCCCCCTATCTTCCGAATGGCCAGTGAATGGTGATCCAGTGGGTGAGCGCATTTCTTCGACCAACCAAGATTCACTGTGGCATGTGTTGTGTTTTTTAGAGGGTGCCTTTTTCAGGTTGGTTCAGCTTTATTGAGAAGCTAGAGGTGCCAGAGTGGAGATTCCTCAAGCAGAAGCCATTTCCTCTCTCCCCGCTTTGAATCACCCACAACACTTGCAGCCAGGTGCAAGAGAATGCAGAGGCCCCGCCCTTTTGAGGGCCCGTCTGGAGGTATGCTGAAGCGGGGGGGCTCGTTCGGATGGTGTGTGATTGAGTGGAAACAGCAGGGAACGCCTGTATTCAAGCTGCGCTGAATCATTTGGGATTCAAACGGAGCCAGATCCATCAGCGTTGCCTCTCAGATCTTTCTACCTTGGCTCAACCAGCTGCGTGAGGAGCTTGCGGACCACCTGCAGTTGTGCCCCGCAGAAAGGCTCGCGACTCTGGCAATGGTGCCACAAAGCTGTTCGGGCTAGCTTTTGTTCAACTTTCGAACCAAGCAAAACGGTGCCATGAATCTATGAAAACATACTCTTTGACCCTATGAAAGATACAATCATAGGAAGGACTGACAGAGAGAATCACGTTTCCTGCAAACCATGCGATACACTTCCGGATAGGTGTCGATTTCTACAAGCAAAAACCATTTCCAAATAATTATATATTGTAAAATTTAAATTACATATATATATATATATACACATATAAATCGATCTATTATACATATTATAACATTTTTTTTTTTTTTTAATTGATTTACTTACTAATTATTATTGAAGAAATAATACATATTATGACTTATATAATTTCAAACCGGTCTAATCAGAATTTTACCCAAAATAAATCGGAATTTTTCACATAAGCTTTAAATACGGCCCTCTGGCACTTGGTTTGTGCATACTTAGAAGCCTTTAATGCTCATACTTTGCTTCTTACCTTTGTGAGAGCCTGCTAGCTTGTTAATGAGCACAATAACTATCCGTAAACGTATGAAAATTATTATTGCCTTGTGCGCTTATGGCTCTGGAAGGAGCATATGCCCGAACAGAGGCTGCAATGCAATCAGGAAAGTCGCGCACTCGTTTAAGCAGTTTTGCATCCATGCACTCATCACGTCTTGCTGTTTTCGTGCTGTGATTTCGCACTTTGTGCAGTTGATTCTGTTGAAGCTGGTTGTAGTGTTAATGAAGTGCTGTCTGTATATATATATATATGATATATTTATGAATAAGTAGATATGTAGCCATTTGTAGAAATTTGTTTGTGTATACCTGTCGTACGCGTATATGTCTTTTATATCTTTGCATTGTGTCTGCGTTTTTGGCTCTTTTTCGTGATAGAGCAAATCTACCCTGTTGCCAGCCCTTCTGCGCATCAACCTGTCAATGCACAGCTGGTTTGCCTGTGCAGCATGCGCGGCGCATTGGCTTTGAGTGATTTTCATTGCGAGTGTATCTCGGCCCGGTATTTGAAATTAGCCAGCTAGCCGTGGCCGGCCGGCCGATCAGCCGGTCACGGCCGGCCGGCCGATTAGGCAGCCGCGGCCGGCCGGCCGATCGGACATTGCAGCCAGCCAGCTGATCAGCCAACTAGGCACTTAGATAGATAGCTAGATCGATAGATAGAGAGCGAGAGAGAGATAGACAAATTGATGGATGGATAGGTATAGATAAACCGATTTATAGGATATGATAGGATAAGATAGGTTGAGAAATGAAACACTATGAGATAGCATGAAACATGATAATACAGGATAATATAGGATGATATATTTTAACGTAGTAGAATATATTAATTATTCACTCACTCATTCACTTACTCATTCACTCACTCAATTAATTAACCAACTAACCAACCAACCCATCTATCCATCCATCTATCCATCTATCCATTCATTAATTAATCAATCAATCAATCAACTAACCAACCAACCAACCAATCAACCAATTATTTAGTCAGTCACTCAATTAATCAGGTAATTAGCTGGCTAGCCAGCCAGCCAGTTAACTAGCCAGCCAGCTAGCCAGCTAGCCGGCAGGCAAACAGGCAAGCAGGTAGGCAGGTAAGTAGGCAGGTAGGCAAGCAGGCAGGCAAGCAAGTAAGCAAGCAAGCAATCAATACATCTATCTTAATACGGCTAGCCGTCAGGTCGGTCGCCTGTTGAATCTAGATAGATATATAGGATGCGATGAAAAAAAAACAAGAAATAGATATAGATAGATAGGTAAGGTAGATTTATGATGATTTAGACATTATATTATTTTATAAATTAGGAATATGTAGATTAGGTAGATAACGATAAATAGATAGATAGGTAGATGGATTGATGGATGGATGGTTTGGTGTATGCGGGTTTATATAATGAAAAAGGAAAGATAGATTAAGATCGGATTAGACAGGGAATAAGATATAACACTTCTATAGGATAAGATGGGCTAAGATAATTTAACATATGATAATTATAAAATTTGAATAAGGTAGATATAGGATATAATTAATATTATGATAGATAAAATAGATATGATCGATGGAATAGATAAGATCGATAAAATAAGGATATTAACATATGATTAATTAGCTAAATAACATGGATAGGATAAATAGGATAGATTGGATAATATAATATAGAAATATATTGATGAAGATAGGATAAAATAAGCTAGGATAGGTTAAGAATAATGGAATAAGATAAAATAGGATAAAATAAAAGACTAATTTATTTTATTTTATTATTTATATTTTTTTGTAATTTTTTTTTTTCATTTTTTTTTTCTTCTTTTTTTAGTTATTTATTAATCGATTTATATTTATATAATAATTTTTTTATGCAAATATTTATTTAATTACCCTATTATTCTATTAATAATATTATATTTACAAACGATTCAAAATATATTTTATTAATGATCGACTAATCAAAATTAATTAATTAGCTAACCAACTAAGCATATTTGTGTCTATCTTATCCTATATAAATCTTCTTTAATATCAAATTTGTATGTTATCCTTACAATATTTTCCTTATTTTAAATAGGATAATATTATTTAATATATGAGAAGATTTAGTAAGCTGGAAAAAGGGGAACACAAAACCATAAATTCTATTAAGAAAATAGATTTTTTTTTTTTTAAATCGGTATAATCTCGAAATCGTATTTCCCGTGCACCGGGCAAGCTGTTGCAGCGGTACTCCGGCCGAATCGTAGTGTTTGCGGCGAGTGGCTATGTTTGTCCTGGTCTTTTTTCCGCGGCACAAGCTCCCGCCTCTTATATATGGCCCGGAAGGCTCCTAATCCGGCCAATTTTTCCCGATTTTTTGGGTCGCTTCCGGCGACGCGGCTCTTAGGTTTCCGGACGTTACCCCCGCAAATTTCTTCAATTTCTGATGACTTTCCGAAAAAATTATCGGGGATTTGTTCGAGTCGAAATTTCTCAAAAAAAAGGGAAAGAAAGAAATAGAGAGAGGAGAAGGGAAAGAAAAAATAGAAAAAGAGAAAGAAAAAAAGAAGAAAAAAAAGAGGAAAAAAAGAAAAGGAAACAAATAGAAAAGGGAAAAACAAGAGAAAAGAGATAGAAAAAGAGAAAAAATGTAAAAACCGAAAAAGACAAAAAGAGAGAGAAAGAAAAAGAACAAGAAAAAGAAAAAGAGAAAAAGAGAAACAAAAAAAAATTAAAAAGGGAGATTGAAAAGGAAAGATACGATATTCGACAACAATAAAGAGGTGCAAAGACTAAAAAGAAAGAGATTAGGATACACAGAGATATACAAAGATAAACAGAAAAAGGCAGAGATTACGAAATAGATAGATACCATCACACGGAAACAGACTAGGAGATATAGAGAGAGGCAAAGATACGGAGATACCCATCACGAAATTTTCGAGAAATAAAGAAAGAAAGAGAGAAAACTACAAAAACAACTCTTTTTCTTTTTTTTTTTTCTTTCCTTGGTGCCCTTTTATTGTCCATAGGATGAGGGATGGTTGCTTAGGTCCTATTGGGGCATGGGCTGATTTCTTTTGGGAACCGGAGGCACTTTTGGGGTATTGTCTCCACCTCGGGCATTTCTGTTTGTTATGGGTCTCCCTCTTTTTTCTTTTTTTTTTTCACTCTCCCTCTCTTTCTCTCTTTCTCTTTTTCTCTTTCTCTTTTTCTGTTTTTATTTTGCTTTTTTCCATTTTTTTCCTTATATTGATTTTTATTTCTTTTTCTTTTTTGTTTTTTTCCTAACCTTTTTCTCTCTTTTTGTTTTACTTTTTATTTCCTCTTTTTTTTCCATCTTTTTTTTTCTTTTTTCTTTTTTATTCTTTTGATTTTTTGGTAATACTGTTATTGATGGTACTATTTAGATATATATAAATAATTATTATTATTGGATACGGATATTATTATGATGAGAAAGATCGTTTATTTATAAAACAATAATTAATTTACATTTTTTTATATAAAAAAAAAACAAAAAACAAAAATATTATATTTTGTTTAAAGAAAGATTGAACATTTTACATATTTATAAATTGAATATGTTATTTTAGAATTTGAATTGAATTTTATAATAATATATATTATTTAAATTGAATTTTAAATCGAATACACACCGGCACGATATAGATTTTATAAATTATATTATTAAAATCGAATAAATATGAATAATATTAATTGACTTATATTTAATAATAAACGATTTATATAAAAATCATAATTAAAATAAATTATAAATTTATTGATATTATTCGATATGTTTAGAGGTATTATAATTATACAATAAGGAAACACACAATTAAGATATATAAACGAAATTTAGTATATATTATAGGAATGATATTGGATAATTGAATTATGGTGTTTTATTGTTTTAAATATTGATGATTTTGGGTGTGTGATTTTGTTGCTAAATGATATAATAAATTTTGATTTTTTGGGATAATACTTTGACTATAACGAATTAAATTTATATATACATATTATAATATATAATATAATAATGAATTGATTAATTTGGACATTTGGTTGTTGCTTCGGTTGTTTTTTGTGGTTCGGGCGCTTATGGGTTTATTTAATTAGTATTATTATTATTTTTTTCCTTTATGGATGGATTGGATATCGAGGGAAACCGACTCCTTCGATCCCTTGCTCGTATGGTGGATGAAAACCATACTCTGATTTAAAATCCGAGTTTTATTTGAATTGCAGAGAAGCTTTTTTTTGGCATGTGAAAGGCATCGGGATGCGGCGTTTGGCCGCACATACAGATGATTTTGAAGGTGTGCTCCAAGGATGATGAATTGGCTTCTTTGATTTTGTCTGTTGGTCTCGATGAGTATTTCGATCATTTCTGATGCATGGCGGTGTGCTTTACGATTATTTCCCTTAGTTTGTGTTTAGTGGAATTGTTATTCTTTGAATTACGAGGAATTTATATCTATTGGATCGAGATTTTTGGCCTTTTTTGTGTGTTTGGTTTGGGCCTCGTTTTCGGAGCGGGGTGATACAATCTCCGTGCCTAAAATGGCGCTGGATTGTGGGTGGGCGAGATTTTATTTCCCGACTCTGTTTTGTCGTCAATGTCCTCGAACATTTCGATTTGAAGATTTGAGCTAAATTGTGTATTGTATTATAGATTGCCAATACATTTGCGGAAGCAGTTGTGCGTAGTTACTTGATTCCTTTTTCTGTATATTTATTTTGCAAAATATATATTAATTAAATATAAATTAAATTAAATTATTTTGTATTTTTCTTTTATTATTAATAATATATATTTAATATATATATATATATATATCTATAATTAATAGTCAACCATCTATATTATTTTTATAAATATTTCTTGAATTCTATTATTAATTATATATTTTCTATTTGTTATATATTTTGATTTTAATACAATATTTTTTATATAATATAATTAAATAATTTATTAAATATTATTTTAATAAAATAATATTTTAAGAAATTATAATTTGTATATATTGTACTATATATATATATTTAATATATTGATATTATTATTATATATAAAGAAATATAATTATATAATATATATTATTATTTTTTTATTTATTATAATATAAGCAATTTTAATTTATAATTTAATTAATATTTTGTTTTTTTAATATAATTATATTTATAAATATAAATATGTTGTATTCTATATATAGTTGAATTATTTATATAAATTAATAAGAATTATTTTATAGATTATATTTAATTATTTGTATTCTGTTAATTCAAATTGATTTAATTCAACATAAATTCTTCAATAAATATACATAATTTTGATATAATTAATATAATATATATTATATATTTATAAATATAATTATTAAACAAAACATAATTATTTCCAATATTAATACAATAATCGAAATACAATTTATAACATATAACGGAATAAATATATATTATATTTATATAATCAATTTCGAACATTATACTATGCAATCGAATAAAAATCAATAACTATACACAAAATAATATAAACAAAATAAATCATAAAATAAATACAAAATACGAGAAAGCCACAACGAAACAAAAATAATAAAAATATATATATAAAGATAAACAATCAAAGACGGAGAATAATGGGAAAAAAAACACATACACAAAATAGATTTTAATAAAGAAAATAAAAAATAACACATACACAATTACCAAAAAACATTAGCAAACAAACCAAAAAACAAAATACAAAATAAAGAAAAATAAGAAAATATAATAAAAAGAAAAAAACAAATAAAAAACACAAAAGAAATCACAAAATCGAAAACCAAAAAAACAAATATAGATATATATAAAATAAAAATAGAAAGAACATATAAAAAAAGGAAAACATACATAACAAGAAAAAAACTAAAATCATACAAAAAAAACAAAAAAAATAAAAACAAAACAACAATATAAAAATGAAAAACAAACAAACAAATAAAAAATATATAAAATAACAAACAAATAAAACACCACAAAGAGAAACACAAAACAAAACATAAAAAAACCACATAAAATTATATATAGAGAAAAACACAAAAAAAGAAAAGAAAAAAATAAAAACAATATACCTCTAATGGATTTAATTAATACTTTTTAAAGATAAAATGAATTTCGAGTTACACATATACTAATTAAACCAACATGCATTATAACAACCCTATCAATATATTACCTATGTGTTTTTCTACAAATAAATAAATATATTCTATTATATATCAAATTTCTTTATTTTTTTAAAAACAATTATCAAACAATCAATTCCTCCGAATTTATAATTACAATAAATCAACATAAAAATAAAAACATATTTTCTACATATAAATATTACAAACATAATTAAAAAAACAATACAAATAAAACAACATAATTATACTAATAAACAAAAAACAAATACAAAACAAAACGAGAACGAAAAATAAATAAAAGAAAAAACAAAATAATAATAAAAAAACATCAGACGAAAAAAAAAGAAACAATAAAATAAACACAACCAATAAATAAAAACATAAACACCACAACCAAAAAACAACAACAACACCGAAACAACATGGAAAAAAAACATAAATAACAACATAAACGACAAAGATATAGACAAAATATAACAATAATATAAAAGAAACATAAAAAACATAACGAAAATATTAAAAAAAATATGGAAAAAAAATATAACAACAATACAATACAATTCGGAGGAAATTCAATGTTATCAATTCATTTTAACCATCAAAACTCGCGAGAAATTTACCAACTTTCACTACCTAAACGTCCCAAATATATAAGGGGCTTTCGAATCGGGGTTTATAAACGGCGAGGAAATGCGACACCATCGTCTCGGCTCCATTTCTTAGCTATGCCCGGCCCGCAAAAGCAGATACCACAAAACCCCACAACCGAATCTATGAAAAACTACCGAAGTAACTAAATAAAGGTCGATGCAATCCAACATTGTTTACTCGGGCACGCCGATTTGTAGAGAAATATTAAACCTAAATTTGCAGCTAGTATTATGCTTACTTTCTTCATCATATCTATTATATTTTTCGAACATATTTCAAAACTGATTCCATATGAATAATACCATCATACTGACCAACCATTGTTTTGCTTTCGTTACTCATTTTTCTTTATTTTGCATTTTTTCTCAAAGAACTGGACATGTATTTTATCTTCTCATCCGGCAGAGGTTGCACATAGGCACCTGGACCCAGTGCCCAAGAAATCCAAGTTATGTGCCAAAGGAGTCGCAGTCTCTGCGTGCGTGGGAGGAGTGAGTGTGTGTGTGTGTGTGTGTGTCTGTGTGTCTGTGTGTGTTTGGGGGGGTGTACGGGCATGCGAGGCAGATAAAATGAGGAATCTCTATTTCGGGAACCCATGGCAGCACGAAGCACGCACACATACACGCACGGGGTGCACCAATTGCAGACATGACATGCTCCTCCGGACTGGAGCTTGCGCGCATCCTTTTGCATCTTACCTCACAAAGGAATCAATCACACAAATTTTCACGGATGGAACACATGTCCTGCTTCCAACATGGGTTACACACTCAAAGTGTATTTATCTTCATGGTTTGAAAAGGTAAACCGGCAAAGTGGGATGGATCTTTTGAACACCTCGACATGCAGAACCCGCTTCGGGCAAACTGAAAGACCAAAAAAAACCAGTACCCCTGGAAACACGCTAAGGCAACCGAAGAGATCAGCCAAAGCAGCCCAAGCAGAGCATATCCAAGGAAGCAAGTTAAACACAGCAAACCAAAAGAGCCCAAAGCCAAGAACAGCCAGCCAACATAGGGCGAAGCAAACCAAAAAACCACCGACCCTTGCACGCAGCTTGTAAACTGGTCAAGGCCCCCACGGATTCGCAGCAACGCACCGCTTCTGCCACCAGAGCCTGGCAACTCAGCCCTTGAGACTCGACCTTTTGCAGTCACACAAGCCTGGAGTCTTAGGGGGATGCTTCCCTAACAAGTGAAGGATTCTCCCTTCATCACAAAAAGTTTACTAATCAACCAGGTGTTTATTCATCCTCCCATTACCTGAGGGTTCACCCCGTACCCTCAACTCCTCAAGCACATGTGACTCAATGGGCACGCACCATTTACGATTGATTACGCACCATTTGCGCTTGATCTTGTTCTCTTGAGCAGCGGGGTCCCAGCACCGATTCACTTCCGCTCTACTCTACATGGTCATAGTCTGTAGGTCTCACTGTGACTTGCCATGACCACGAGGTAGAACCCTACTAAAAATGACCGCCAGGGCTTTGGGGCGCTGCTCATACATCAGGCCACCAGCAGAGTCAGTGCATGAATCTTGTTGTCTTGTTGACTATCGAACCATGTTGACTGATCAATGCGACTTCATATTTGTCTCCCCACCAAAAATCAATTGATTCTGGTCCGTAGCTAGTGCATCTTGACATGTGACAATTGATAGTGGCTGGCCTGTTTTCTTGCTCTCTTGCAAGGGCTTGCCACTAGATTTAGACCTGCCCAAAATGGCTTTGTCGTTAACCACCCAGGCCCAAATGAGCCACAACCAACACCTGGTAAAGAAGTCTGCTCATTGTGTGAATCGTCTGGGCGGTCACATTGGTCCGGATCCATCTCTCTGCCGCCTGCTGCTCGCGCGACGCGTTCAACGCTGCCAAGGACATATCCATGTCCTACGAATGTGAGTCGGTGCACTCCCAAAGCGGCGCAAAGACTCGAGCCGGTACCCGGACTGTCAGTGGGTTTGCTTTCCTTTTGACATGCAAAGGCTGTTTCTGTTTCACTCAGACCCAACTCACATCAACGTCACGTCACCATCATCGTGGTTCCCTCAAAAAGAAAGCTGTACAATGGCTCCGCAAGCTCCTCATAAAAGTGTCTACCTTTTCTGGGACTCCCCATTTCCTTCCCACGCACTTCCCCATCCTCCATTTCCCTCTACCCTTGTAGTTTGATTCGTCTTGCAGGCACGGCTCGGTGCTTTGTCTGCTTCGTTGTCCGGTTTGGTCCTCGTTGCAGACCTGCAGCTTCTTCCTGCCGTCCTGGCACACAAACAACAACCCGCTTTGACAGGACCTCTCGCGGAGCCGAAATGATGGTTTTTGCAAGCTCCGGGTCTCCAAATGGGGGCAACCCCCGAGAATGGGCAGTTTGGCTTTGATCACCTTTGAAAGTAATCCCAAAAAGGCACACGCTTGCAATAAAGACTATTGCTTGAACAACCTCAACTTGAGACGTTCCTTTGAAGGGATTGCTTCAACATGCTTGTAGCGCTCAGAGAACAAGAGCGTAAGCGAGGATTCCTTCAACGGGGGCAGGGCGCCGTGCCGGGTTCCGCTCTTGTCTGTGAACCTTTTGAGCTCACTTTCAAACCTCTGAGTTCACCTGGCATCATCTGCGTCTCAAGTCGTATTCAAGCGGAAATCCTCAAGGGATCCGCGCTTCATCTGTGAGGGGAAGGTCCCAGGCTTATTTTCCGGAGAGGCGTCAAGGGAAGCTGACATTTTGACCCACGGAAACAGAACCACGCGCCCACCGGAAGGCTGCCCGACCCGGAAAGCGGCCCCGATGGCTCAAAACTTTCCCCAAGCCGAAGGCATCTGACGTTGAGCACAATGCCACAATGTAGGTCTCATGCGGAAGGATGCTCTCGATTTCCGATTGAGAGAGCCCCACAAAAGGGTCCCTGGTTGCATTTCCAAATGACTAAGCCGCTACGTTTGAACCCGGGCTTGCCTCTTCAACATTGCGCTCTGTTGGAAATACAATGGACGCACTTTAGGATGGTTTTGGTACTATTTTCATAGACAAGGGCCAATTTGTTTCAAGCAAAAGGGCTGGAAAGGCAAAACCCAGATTTAGTGTGCCAGTGTTCCTCTCCGCACCGATTTGTTTTGACAGTTCCCTTGCCACACCTTACCTGAGGCTAATATGGACTCTCCAGCCAGATGAGCTTCCTTTTGGAGGGTTCTGGCATGCTTCCCTGCTTGGTCCGAGCGAGGGTACCCTCCGGTGAGATACTCTTCCCCCAATCCCATGACAGGACCCACAAAAATCGGACAGCTGCTCCTGCTTGGATGTTCAACCCACATAGGAAGTGGGTGATTTCTCCATGGCTATATATATATATATACGCATATGTATATATATATATATATACACGCATATATGTATATATATACATATATATATATATATATGTACGCCCCTCCTCCATGGAAACTGAAGCCTCAATTTGGAGCCCGGAGTCCTTCGAAATGTCTCAATATGATATTCTTTCCATGTAGGATTCTACCTGAAATCGATTTGGAATCTTGAAACATCATTTAGTAAGGATATAGTTTTCCAACTATGTTTTATGTTCAAGCAGAATTCAAATAATATAATTTTCGGGTACGCATTATCTAATTTTGGATGATACAGTTTACATAAGAATTTGGGGCAGCACTAGACCACCTGGGATTCAAGATTCAAGATTCCCAGAACTACTTTTCTCAGATTATTGAATCTTGAATACCATAACTTTTCTAAAAAACAAAACATAGTGTTGTCCAATACTCAGACTCTGTCAGATGCCAAATGTTGATATCGTTGCTTCCATCACATATGTATGTATAGTATATTTATATATATATATATATATATGCCCCCCCCCGAATTTTGCCACAAAATCAACGAGGCAACAAAGGCATAAACACAGGACAAACACAGTTTCCTGAACATCGTCAATCCTGGCCAAACCCAAACAACATTCAAGTTCTTCTAAACACTTGAACGCGCTTTATCACTGGATTGAAGATTCAAGATTGAAGTTTGCACAGAACAATTTCCCGATAATCGTCAATCCTGGCCAAACCCAAAAACTTTCAAGCTGCTCTAAAACCTCGAACGTATTTTACCGCTGGATTGAAGATTCAAGAATTGTTTCCTTTCACGGAAGGCGTTTCGGAGAATCTTGTCCTCGCACTTTGAATGTGGCCATTGCGGGAACTTGTAGGGTTGCAGATAAAATGCATGTGACTGCAGGCGGGGGTGTATATTTGGCTGCAGAAGTATGTGTTGGATACCTGGAGTATTGGGACAACACTAGACATTGTTGTAAAATAATAACTGGGATTCAAGATTCAAGATTCCCAGAAAGAATTTTCTCATATGAATCTTTGAATCTTGACTCCCAGATTGCTTAAACATTTTTAAACATTTCTAGCGTCATACGCAGACTCTGTCGGTTGCCAGGTGTTGATATCATTGCATACATTACATATGTATGCATATAACGTATATATACATAAGCCCCCCCTCCCCCTCTCCCCGAATTTTGCCACCAAATCAACGCGGAGGCACAAAAGGCATAAACCACTGGAAAAACACCTCTCAAGCTCACCAAACCAGGGTCCATGGGGCGGGGGTACCATATATATAAAAATATACACATGAATTTGGATTCTTCCCCCAACCCCATGACACGAATATACAAAGGAATCCTACGAACCGTGATGCCGTGTCCATTTCTGCCTCCTCCACAACCCGCAGCTCGTCGAGCTCCTTCGCCTCGACAGCTTCAGCTTCGAATGCCAAGGGCCCCGGGGCAACGTGTTTTGTAAAAATATCCTAAAACCGTTGCATCACATATCCCAGCTTCCGCTGTGGCAGGCAACATAGACAGTCAGCTACTCGCCCCGGGGTCAAAGGGAAACATGCAGTGAAATACATCCTGCTGAACCTGAATGATGAATCCTTTAACATTTGTTGAGGCTTCATGAGCCATGAGCCCTGTGTAAACACGTCATGCTTGCATTCACCGCGTGACCACCTGGCAGCATTGCCATGAAAAGATAGGGGACCTCCAGAAAGTGTGGGACCAGCAAACACAGAAATCCAGGAAACATGTTGCTCACGTAGCTCTGATGAGCCCGGCAACAACCAGGCACCTGATCTATGTGGCAGTCACGGGTTTTGACTGCTCAGCTTCTGTGCGGGAAAAACTGCTCAGAAGCTGCTGAGTCCAGCCAATAAATGCGAGAGTCCAAGGAGCACACAGCCGGTCCGCTGGCATTGCTGAGTTCAGGGATCCTAGTTGCAAATGCTTCCCTGCAAGCGTTGCTTTTGACGTCGGGAGATTGAACAAACCTCACAACAAACCACTTCTCTCCAGAAGAGCGCAACTACTTGGCGCGCATGGTGTGTTCCCTTGAGCGGCAGGTGGGTAGGATGGCTGGCGTGCGGGTTTCGGTTGTGAGACCGGTACGTACCTTTTCGAGGGGGGTCCTACAACCCTAAACATCCACCTTGGACAAACTTTGGGGTCAACGTTTACCCAGTTGCCTGGTGACCCTGGGAACCCTGCTTTGAGTTTGACCATCTTTAGAGGGGAACCCACCAAACAAAAGGGACAAAGGGTGCCACTCACATGGCTTCACTCCTTTCCAGCCGACTTGGGCGCCGGGCGGAAATTTGGCGTCGCTGCCTCGGAACCATCCGTGGGCTAGATGGGCCGTATTAGCCGTATTCTGTTCAAAGGGGTGACTGAACCATATGCCATCTTTTGGAGTCGTAGGGCAGAAATATACGACCCTCCACCACCCCCCAAATCACCCATTCAGAGATGATCTTTCACCTTCATACAGGGGCTGTTTGAAGATTTCCAAGGGGGTAGTTTTGTTGTCAGATGGGTAGTTCTTCCCCGGTGCGCACAAAACATGACCCATTGCTCATTGGTGGCCGAAACACGAACATCTTCCACAGCTGGGCTTAGCAACCAAGATCCAACCAAGGCAGGTTTTATGCAAGGACCCTGACACTTTTCCGAGGAATGAGATCCTTCAAAAAATACTGGTCATCTGTTCAAGGCTTGAAGCAACTCTGGATCGAGCGGCAAATGAGGATCATCTTTGGCTTTTGCGTGTGGATGTCGTGTCATTTGAGGGTGACTGTTTGAATGTTGTAGCAGGGCTGGCCATAGGAGTATTGAACGCCTGGCTTTTCGAAAAATGGAAGAGGTTGCAATATGGGTGCGTTTTTCTGACGGTAGCCTTTTGGGTTGGTCCAAAGGCAATCCAAGAGTCAAACCACATTTAGGGGGCCACAAATGTCGACATGTGTATATATATATGTACTCACACTACATTATTGCTTCCCTTGTCCAGCTCACCCACCGACTTTTACACCATGTCCAATGGGGAGATGCAAATGCGCGACCGAAAGGTGCTGTTTAAGCCGCCAATGGGAAATCGAGTTTCAGGTAAGCCATCGAGCAAACCCTGAACACTTGACATATTCTCAGGGAACTGGTTGGGTTCCTTTAGGTTCTAAGCAAGGGGACGAAAAAAAGGAAGGAAAAATGTAGACTGATCAGGCCGAATCCATCCAAACGTCAAAGCCCAAAGCCTAAGCCACAAACTCGCAGAGCTGCTGCGCCGCTTGCAGCCTGGGGCAAAATTGGGTCTTGTTGTCCAAAAGAAAGCAACACGCCAAGAAACAAAACCGAAAGAAAGACAGAAATAAAGAACAAAAGAAAGATGGGACGAGATAATCAACGGGACAGGTAGACACAAAGACAAACAAGGGCCTTCAAAGCAAGGTGCCATCCCTCTCCTGAAGGTCAACATGAGGAGGCTCCCAAACAATGGGTATCTGCAAAGGGACATTCCCCTGCAACTCGGGAAGGGCGGGGAATTCCGTCCTTGCTTTTCAAATAGAGCACGCATGAGCCAAAGACCCTGTAAAAATGATAAGCAAATGAACAGCTAGAAGAGAAACGCCGACAGTAGTCCTCCCCCTTTGAAGATGGAGCATCGCGCTGGAAGTGCAAGTTGTCAAGCAAAGGGCCCTTGGTTTGCAGCTAAAAACCTGGAACAGTGGGGCTCCTCGGTGAAAGGCACGAGGGTAGAACAACTGGGAGGCTCTCTATTTTGCCAAAGAAACCCAACACACAACTCCAAAGGGTCTGGCGGCCAACTTGCTACAATAGGCCCTCAGAATGCAACTTCACCAGGGTCCTGGACAAGATATCAACTTTTGACACCTCCGAAATCCACTAGGCACCCACTATTCTTTACAGTGTCTGCCCAACCACAGAGTGGGAATCATTTCTGACTGATCAGGAGGGGAATGCATTGGGTTCTCTGAAATTACCCCTTTAGCGTTACCCCAGTCGAAGGCACCTGACTCAAAGCGCCAGCTCAAACATTTCGTCACCTTGAAGGCTGTTTTGTCCCTGCACCGCCAAAATAAGTGGTAAAAAGGAGGAGTGAGTGCTTTGGTTTAAGAACCGCGAGTGCGACCACGCCCCTGACAGACTAGATATCTTGGCCGAACCTCATTGCACGTCCTGCCATGAACCTCTTGCGGTGCTAAAAAGTGATAAGCCACCAGCCCCTGAAAAGGTCATGGCAGGGGGTCGGGATGAATTAAGAAATGCCCCAGCCTCGTCGCGTTTCGATGGCAAAGTCATGGGCGATTGATTGCACGCATGGCTTTCGCTCGTGGCTGCCGCGCCTCACGGCCTTCTCGCCTTGCAGCTGCACCTAGCTTTGGGAAGGTGGGGAGAAACGGAGAACCCGGAAAGTCGGGAAACCCAACGGGTGAAAAAAAAGAAGAACAAACACACGCATGGCGAGAACACGCACAGGCTTTTGGGATGGTGCTTGAAGGAAGACCACCACACCTGGGCATTGGAGGAGCCCGAACTTGTCCCGAGGGATGACTTTTTGTCATGGGGACCGAGAGGTTAGGGAGGCTTGGCATGAGTTTTCTCTCAATGTATATCTGCATCTTGGGGACTGGAGGCTTGAACATGTTGAATAAAACCTTCCTTGGGCCCAAACGAGCCCTTGTTTAGCGGGCACAAGCTGACGCCTCCTCAGTTTGCCGCCGACAGTATTAAGGCCATACAGGACATGGGAACCTGCAAATGGTGGGGTGACAGGAAGGCGGGATCGGCCAGCGTCGACCCGTGAGCTCCATGAAGCCAGCAGACGCGTGGAGGAGACAAGGTCTAAAGTTGGTGGTGACGGGCTCGCTAATATATCTTCCATTCAGCCAACGGAGGCACTAGAAGGATGTGAAGGATGTGAAGAACTCGCAAGCTACTTCCTCCGAATGTATTCGATCGAGGCCAAACGCTTGAGCTCCGAGTTTGGAGCGGATGGCTTAACCGCCTTGTTGCACAATTGCCTGAGGTCATTAACGTGAGGATCTGTTCGTGGGTGTTTCATGAAATTGCTTGCTTAGGTAGATGGGGTCCAAAAAATGCGGCCACATTCGTGAGCGCGGAACTTGAATAGACCCAGTTTCTCTAACGAAATCTAGAGCCATGGAAGGAAACGCCAAGGCGCCTTTGCCCAACACTTATAAAAAGGGAATACAACAACAAATACTGGACACCCTCCCCCAGGCTGGACATCCGCAAACAAAACAGGGCACGGGACGGACCCCGCGCACAAATCCAAGTTGCTTTAGCGGCAGGCACATTTAGAGTAGAAGCGCTGTGACCAAGTGCGAGTACGAGTACCGCAGAAAGGCATGGTAGTGACTCTGTTACGGGCTGCCGTGCAAGAATAAAGCCCATTCCCATAAAATGGCCGCGTGAGAGGATCTTTGTGCAAAAACAGTCAGGAGTGTCAAAACAGTTGGCACGCAGTTGCCAATCTCGCCTTTCCTCAAGGGCACCGCAGCCATGAGTGACTTTGTATTCCACACGTGCCGAAGAACGCAACATGGGTTGCCGGAACCAGCCCTGTTTGGGACTGGTTTCGGGTGACATCGTGCCGGGTCCGGGAGACCAACCTAGCGTGCTTCAGTCACTGCCAGCTGGCTCACTACAGAAGCCTATACCGAGAACTGCGGTGCTTGGTCTCATGGCTTGATTCTTAGAGGCCCGTCCAATTTCGGAAGTCCACACTCCACCAAATCTAGTCGGTGTGCACATGCGGGCTTGAGAGGAATACACAGTTACATTGTACGCAAGGGCACTTTTAAAAACACGGTCTTCCACTGTCCACATCCCACTCAATAATTAACGCCCTGGTGATCAACAAGTCCGGTTGCCGAAAGGTGAACTCCGCTTCACCACAAACCACCAGCCTAAACTCCGACTCACTTGCCCAAAACCGACAACAAGAGGCGATCGATCAATTGTTGGGCTGCGACCAAACAGTTGCCTTCCAAAATCACGAACATTCTGAGCACCATTGAATCAATGGCCGAATCGGTTCATCCTAGGACCCCTGGTTGGACACCCGCACCCCTCCCTCGCCACATCCGTGTTCGCGCCTGGCTTCTGGTCTCCTGGGCTCGCTCGAGGCAGGACCCCTAAAGCCACCCCCAAATTGGTGGCTTTGCTTTGGGTTTTCCTTACATGCCTAAGAGCCAAAAGGGCACCCTTGGAAAACCAATTCAGCGCCAAGCCTGGTTCTCAGAGCTGACCCAAGTCCATGTAATGACGTCAGTTGCGTGCGTACCTTGATTGGCTCAAAGTGCAACAAACACATGTCCGCTCATTTTTCGCTGCCTGCTATTTCAATTCAAGGTCCCACAGGAGCACCGAGGCCCCAGTAAAGAAAGCTACAAAAGGCTGGCACGGTCCTTCGTTCAAAGGACATGCTGTCAGCATCGGCCGAGAAGCTTTTGGGATCTGGATAGTGACTCGGCAGTGACTCGACATGGTTTGGTGAGGTTTTGGACTGAAGGGTCCCCACACGCAGGGTCCAAGCCTTGGGCATCAATTTTCATGGCCCTTGGCCTTCGCGACAACAATTCTGTGACATACAGCTCCAAAGTCACATCTGCAACCGATTCTTTGTTGTGAATTCCAATTGCCCGGCAAAATATCAAGAAGCTGGCTATGTGTTGGACATCGGGAGAGGCTCCCCCAAGATGTTTTAGAAAGACCGCAACCACGTCTCGCGAACGGATGCTTTCATCAAAGAGGGAAAGGGTCTCTCTTGACATGGTACGAAGGGCTTTCATTTCAGTCTTGTCCCAAGGGTCTCTGGCGTGCTCTACTGCGGCCACTTGAATGGCAACAATCATTCTTGCCAGAAACACTGAATTGGCAACACTCTAGAGATGACCATGACAACAAAAGGAACCATATTACGTATTGAGAACGCCACCCAGTGAACCCAATTCAGCGAAAGGCGTGGACAACACCTGTCACATGCCGCTTGTGGTTCTGAAGGAATACAGGAAAGCTAAGACGGCACTGTACAAGGGAAACAAACGCAAGGACATGTCAAAATTTGCCGCCCCCGATTGTGGTTTCCTGTAGGTTCCCGAAAAGGGTACACTCAACAAAAACACGAAACCCACACGCAGCGGACAATCGCCTTTAAAAACTCGAGGGCACTTTCCTGGCTGCGCATTGAGGGGAACCGGCGCTTGAAGCAAACTTCAACTCTCTTTCCCGCAGTGGTCATGGCAGAGACACTTTGTTGGTTGGGTTTAAATAAACCAACCCAGGAAGAAATAATGGACACTACTCGACAGCTGGGTCTCACACCAAGCAGGGATTGCCTGTTGACTACCTCTTTGGGAGATAAAGGGAAGCCTTTCTAATACTCGTTCGCTGCCCTAAAAACACAAATGGAGGAGCCTTGACCTACTTTTCTAACAAGGTGATCACAGGGTAAACAAATGGTGTGTGTGTGTATTTCTTGAGGGTACCCTTCTTGGAAGCGGTTTTAACGGGAAACCAACGGGACAACTGACCATTTGGGGTCCCCCTATTCTTGACGAAGACGCACATGACTTCAACTCCGGCCTGCAGAGATGATCGCGTGGACGCGAGCTCCCTTTGCAGGTCCTAGCAGAGCCCTTCTGTCATAAGCCCTTCTGTCATAAGGTTTTGCTGGAGCGGTGCAGGTCCGGGGTGCTGGTGCGGGGCTGCCAGTTGTGGTGCCGATTGACCTCTTTTTGAAAGACGCTTGAAGGATAACCGAAAGGAGCGGATTTGCAAACCTTTGCAGTCTGTCTTGTTCCGCAAGAGGCGGGCTGGACGTAAATGTTGACCCCTTGCAAAACACATATGCCCGTGAAAGAAAGGAACCTACAATCTCGACTGAACCCCCTCAGAATATAAATCGGAGATCAACATGAATGAGGGGTCGACCTTGCCGGGGGGAGGGGTGATCCTTGTGGACTTTGTGCTGAACGCACAGTTCAACGGCTCTGTGACAAAACCCCCCCATGGTCAAACTGCTGTGGGCCATGACCATGGTTCGCTGAATGGGAATCCTTGGATTCCAGAATTGCAAATTAAGGGCGGGGTCCAACACCGGTCCTACCAAGCCCAAGTAGATTGATTGGTTTGACCAAGGTGCCAATATGGTGCCAATGAAGTCAACCTGGCAATTCGCACGGTGGTCAGGTCCTGCACGGCAGCTTCCAACACCTGCCCAAACTCGAAAGGTTGGTTATGCCGATCATGGTGGCAGTGATGGTGATGGCAATGGCAACGCAGGATGTTGGTGGTAGAGGTGGTGGTGGTGGCGGAGGTGGTGGTGGAGGTGGTGGTGGTGGTGGCGGCGATCAGGTTCCATTATGGGTCAACTTTTCTACTAGCCCATCTATAATTCAGAGTACCTTGCTTGCCATACAGGTCACGTCCACGTGTCACATATGTGTATAAATATATATATATATATATATATATATATGTATATATATATATATATATGGTAACCCCCCTGAATGTCCAGGTTTTCATCTGTCTTCGTCTGTGATGCCCACTGCATCTGACTCTGCAAAGGAAAAAGACCCTCCAGCCCAACCTTCTTTTTCTCTCAAGGCCGTGGTTCGCTACCACCCGTGCGTCACATGGAAGGCTCTACGCTCGTCACAAAGATCGCCTTCCAAAAGGCTCTTGGTGATAGCCATGAGGTGCTGACGTAATCCAAGGGTCCTTGTCAAGAGCCATGTTTGGTAAATTGCTGCCTGGCCGCATTTTTTTTTCTGCGCCAAACCCATACTTGCTGTGGTCCTAAACTTCTGCGGCCTACCAACTCTGATGGGGGTTGTTTCCCGGGGTATGGCGGATGCTGTGCTGATGTTACTTGGTGCTGGGGATGAGGTATGTCCCTTCTAAGAACGCGCCCTCGCATTTTGAGCTTTCTGTCTTCCAGCATTTCAGTGAAGGGGCGGATTTTACGTCCTGGCCCTTGGGGTGGCGCCTGAAGAATCTCGCTGGCTCTTCTGCAGACATACTCGTTGCTATTCTGTCTTTGTATGTACGTGGTGTGTAGTTTCAGAATCTTACTAAGCCCTTTCAGTTGAAACATGTTCAGGAGGTTTGCAACTGAGTCCGTTGGCTCCAGCGTCTCTAGTCCATACAGCACTTTGGAAGAAATCACGGCGTTAACACCATCAATTTCCATTTCTGGTTGCAGTTCGTTTGGTTCCAGAACAAGTCAAGTTGTTTCAGGATATTCATAGTACCGGAGATGCGTCGTTCGATCTCGTGTTTTGGGTTGACCGTCTTGCTAACTTCGGCTCCCAAGTACATTGCAGTGTCAACTGATTCAATTTGACCAGCCCGCGTCGTTGCAAGCTAGGTAGCAGCATTTGCCTTTGTTGAGTTTCATGTGGAGGTAGTCGGACTCTTCCTCCGCTAGGTGCAGGCTTTTGGCCACGAATGTCATCTGCAGATTTCAAATAGAAGCTCGCGAAAGTTGATGGCCTGGCACGCTTTCCTGCGCGGAGGGTGATGATTTCTTTCGTTGATGCTCACAAACGTGCGATGCATTGTAAGGATGAACAGGTAAGGGCTCAATGGGCATCCTTGTCTAATACCGGTTCTCTGCGTTCTCCACGCGCTGGCGTTGTCACGGTGAACAACTTGGAACAATGTATTTCGGTACGGCGCATTGATTCGGTCAATGAACTCGGGTGGAATTCCACCCGAGTCTAGAGAACATCTTTGGTTGGTCCAGCTTGTCCAAGGCTTTCTCCCAAAGGAACAAAAGAAACGACGGGCCGTGACCCTGTTGAGCGACGTCTGACAAGAAGAACCAGCGCGGAAGGCGCATTGGGAATGACCACGGATTGGTTCTACTGCGCTTGACATCTGGAGCGTTTCCCGTGCACAAAGACCTTGTGTGACATTCAGCAAGGAGATTGGTCTGTAACTTCCTGGATTCTCGTGGTCTCCTTTCTTGTGCAAACTGACCACAAAGGCTTGCGAGAAATCATCTGGGACAAAAGCAGGGTTCCAGAGCGCGTTGGGGCAATTTTGTAAGCATGCCAACGCTGCAGCGTCTAGCCATTTGAAGAGCTCAGCAGTTGTTCCTCAGAGGAAAAGTCTGGGACCATAACCGTTTAAACAGTTTCTCGCGTTTGAACCGTTTGAACCGTTTGACCCGTTTGCCCTTTCTCAGGTAGAACCCTTTGGGGGACCTTTCCTCTGAGAAAGGGTTTTGGAGGTTTAAACGGTTCAAGCGGTTTAGGGCATGACCCTCTTTGTTGCATCTTCTAACCAACCCTCAACGTGGACATAGGACTGAGGTAGACCCAATCCGACTGAGCTTTAACCCGGGCCTGGATTCAAGACTCCCTCGAAAAGCTTGGAGCCTGAAGATTCCAGATTGTCTTTGGACATGTGCCTTGTTTGCTGCTTTCCCCAAAGCAAACAAAGGGCAGAAAACACAGCAAATACCTTTGGGAATCTGAAACGTAAGATTGTTAGGGTCTCCTTTTCAAAAAGCATGTCTAATTGGAATGTTTATTTCAAACTAGATTTGAAGGGGGTCTGCTTTCTTCTTTGAATTTGATAATGCCAGTAGGATTCCAGCTTAAAGATAACCCGGATAGGTTTTCCTTTTCAAAGAAGATTTGTGATTAACGGCCGTATTTGAAATTCTATTCTAGAACGGTTTCTATTTTTGTGTTTGATCAGACTTTTGACAGACGTGAACCAGGGACATATTCTAGTAGAATGTCTAATTAGATTTTACAGTGGGTCTTGTTCTCTAGGATTGAGTTTTTCAAATTGTGTAATTGGAACTTAAATAAATAGAAAACTAACAGTGAACCATCCGAATAGAAGACCTAGCTTTAAAGATGCTTTGAATAGGATTTCCTCTTGGAGTAACTCTTTGAATTGTAATTCTTGCGTCAGACTAGATTTTGAAGAGGACTTCCTTTCCAGGATGCTTTTTTCCAGTTCTAATTAGAATTAAAATAGACTTTTATAGGACACCCTTTCTTGCTGAATTCCCCAAAGCAAAAACAAGGCAGAACACACCGCACATACCATTGATTTCTGGATATGTATATAATATATATATATATATATACATAACCATTGTTAAATACCAGATGGGGTATTGCGCACAGCAATAAACCAAACGTGAAAGAGTCTTCAAATCCACCCTAGACTGTCGGCGAAGATCCGGGAACCGCCCCTCAGTTGATTTGAAGAGGACGCACTGGATCAACTTTTCGTAGGGTTCCATCTAATCAACCGGCTGACACGGCCGCCTCTCTGCGAGCCAGTTCCTTTTGAAAGTGCGCCTCGGAGCCAAGCCGCGAGGGTGGTTTGCCAGAGGAACACCAAGCGCATGGGCCGGCCCGTTACGTAAAATTCCATCCCTGTGCACTTGAAAGCTGGTTCTCCTTGGCCAGAAGTACTGGGACGGCACAACATGTCAAGGTTCCAAGTTGAACTTCACCATCAGGCACCGTGACCCGGTGCTGCCATCTGAGCTACTCGCACATATGGATAACAAATACTTTCCTTCAAAGCCAACTGGGTAACCCGACAAAACGCCTCAAGTTATCAAGTAACCATCGGAAGGCTGATGAATCTGAAACGCGATCGATCACCTTTCTAAAGGAAAGTGGAGGCAACCCCCAAAAAACGAAGCAGTAGAAAATAACTTGATTGCGCCAATAGCGCCCCTCACCCATCACTTGCGGGGCCTTTCCAAAGAAAACAGAGGCAGTTGCAAACAACACTCCGCTGGATTGCACGGCTGCATTGCATCAGTAGCACCCACATCCATCACTTCTGGGGTTCGAAAAGGAGAGGAAGTTGCAAACAAACAACAACGCACACACGCACACACACACACACATCCAGCTAGGGAAAAGAACTTGAACAACGGAGGCAAACCAAAGGCCGCTGCCAGCAAGGCAAAACCTGATTGCACCAGGGCAACCAAGGGCCCCTACTCCGGAGCCTTTCCAAGAAAAACAATGCAAACAAAAGAAACAAAAGCAGAACAGAGCTTGACTGCATCACTAGCACCTCCTTCCATCACACACACTGCTTTTGTATTTTTTCCATTGCTACGCGTGCTCCCACGCCCATCTCTGATGACTGCCATTCTGGCTGCGGCAAAGAAACATGAGCCAACGAGGTCAATCAATAGGCCCCTTCCCAAATCTAGCTTCTCCTGCGCACATGCCCTGTGCCTGTAAGACACATCTACGAAAGCGGGTGTGCAAGGTCGATGGTCTGAGCTAGAAGTGACCCCGGAAACCACCCCACTGTTTGGCCGACCAAATTACTCCATGGCGCTGTTGCCGATGGCGAAGCTTGACCGCCCCAAAAGGCTTCATAGGGACAAACATTTATGAACCACATAACTGGGGGTAAAAATGTACTGCACGAGCCAGAAAACTGGAAGGGGCATCACCTTAAACCTGCCCCTCCTGGCGAAGAAGGGCCTACGATTGCCTGGGGACGCTGCCATGTAGAGCATGATGAGCAGCAGCACATTCCTCGCTGGGATCTATTTTCTACTCATCCCAACGTAGTCTCAAACTCCGCTGTTCTCATTTTGGGAAACCAAATTGCGCCCGGGTTGAAGTCTTCCAAAGGCAGCCATTCAAGTGGAGGAGGAAAAACATGATCGCAGATTCATGGAAGGTCCCATTGCATGCCTTCTTGAACATGTCCCCCCAAAAAATGCATCTGTTGAATATACCATGCATGTACGTAGGCATGTAGGTACGCACGTGTTTGTGAATGTATTTGTGTACGTATGTATGTGTATGTGTGTACGTGTATGTATGAACGTGTCTGTGTTTCACGTATGCGTGGTTATGCGTGTATATGTGACCAATATGGAATTATGTTCTGTGTGGAAATTCCAGTCGACCTACGCTTGAACAATTTGATTGTACATGTTCACTGATGTGTGCAGGAATTTGATTGGACAGAAATTCCTGTGTAAATTCTAATTTGAGACATAATACAGTTGAATCTAAATTCTAACATAACATGAACATTATGCTTGGATTATGTCGTTATCAAATTCTGTCAAAACTCGAATTGAAGTGTAAAGACCTCTAAACTCTAAATTCAAGATATAATTCGCAGTAGAATTAAGATCAAGCTTTTTTTTCTAAACTCCCATTTTAGCTCAAGTTGACATTTAGAGAGCGGTTGTTGGCGGAGATACGAATTGAGTACTCACAACGCTTCAAACCACTGTGTTTTATGGTGTTTTCTGACCATGGTAGTGGTAGTGCTGGGGCCAGTTTGAATAAACACGGTTTTAGGACCTCTGAATTCTTTCTTCATGATTTCGAGTTAATATGTTTAGTATATTCTACTCAATTTCAACTAAAATGACATAGAATTCAAATAATGGTTATTCTATTTCAACTTTAATGTTGCACAGGATTATCTTTCCAATTCAATAGAATTGTCTTTACAAAACAGTAAACATTTAAGCACAGCTTACTCAGAGTATAGGGAATGCGATTTGCTAGAGCAAAGCTGCACAAATAGGTCGCATTGTCGCAAAGTGCTTCAGATGCAAGTAAAGCAGTGGGGAAACGCAATACAACCTCGGGAAAAGAAAAAAGAAGAAGACAAAACGGGAAAAAACAACAACAAGATTGCAGCCTCCAAGGTAAACGGAAGTGGGGGTTGGGGTCTGCAATCTATTGTTTTTTGGTGTTGTTATTGCTTTTGGACAGCCTTGAAACATCCAACGAAAACAAGAAAACAATATATTGTTGGTGTCTGCAATCTGGTCTTTTTCATGTGTTTCTTGGATTTCTCGAGCTTGTTTTTTTGATTTGGTTCTGTTTAAGCATAGTCCTTGGCAGAGGAACATCATCCAGATGTGATTGGAAAGGGTTGAACAAATCAAAAAAAGCTCGTTCCAGGGCGTTCTTTATTGAGGGATAAGCAGGGTGTATTGACGAAAGATAACATCTACTCTTGGCGGAGTGGCGCTGGTTCTGACAGGCCCTGGGAATCCACCTCCAACCCTACCAGAATCTTTAAACACAAAGGGGATCTATTCTGAGACACTGTCTTTTGTAGTACCTTCTTCGCGGGCGTTTTGAAGGGACTGAGGGAAACCAAAGTGAATCTACCTATCTCCCCAGTTTTGAGGCTCCAATGCTTGAATAAAAGCAGAAACACACCAACACAAGCCCAAACACGCAAGCAAGCACGTGGGCAATCACACACGGAGACACACAGACAGAAACACAGGCACAAACACGCAAGCAACCACATGCACGCGGACACATAATCATGAGCACCAACAAATGTACAGCATACAAAAATACACAAGCTATCCATGGAGATCTTGAGGCGCAAACACCCAAGCACACAAGACACACAAGACACGCAAGACACACAAGACACACAAGACACAAAAGACACACAAGACACGCAAGAAACACACACACAAACAAGCAGTGAAGCACAAACATGAAGACAAGCCACACAACAAACATAGCAAACACAACACACACACAGACACACGCACGCACAAACACACAACGCAGACGGCACAACACAAACACAACCCAACAAGCAGCGCACACACACACAACATAACAACCACAAACAGCACCCAAGCAGCACACAGGCAGCACACAAACAGCACACAAACAGCACACAAACAGCACACACCCACACACACACACATCAATATACAAACGCAAACAAGCAAGCAATGTCAAGCCCACACAGACACACAAACAAAACATACAAACACCAAACAAAACAAACCAGCAAGCAAGCAATAAAACAAGCAAGCCAGAAAACAAAGAAACACACAAACCAACCAACACACAACAAACATGCAAACAAACAAACAAACAAACAAAACCAGACAGACAGACAGACAGACAGACAGACAGACAGACAGACAGACAGACAGACAGACAGACAGACAGACAGACAGACAGACAAACAAACAAACAATCACATAAACAAAATCACAACCCACCAACCAACCAATCCACCCACCAACCAAACTAACAACCAAACAGAAGCAACAACACACACACACAAACAACCAAAGACACATTCTAATACAGCTAAACTCATGACACAGACAAGCAAATCCAGCAAAACAACACAAGTAACTAAGTACCTCAGCAACTCACAAACAAACAAACAAGCAAGCTTACGGATAGACAAACAAACAAACAGACCGAGACAGACAGACAGGCAGACAACGAACAGACAGACAGACAGACAGACAGACAGACAGACAGACAGACAGACAGACAGACAGACAGACAGACAGACAGACAGACAGACAGACAGACAGACAGACAGACAGACAGACAGACAGACAGACAGACAGACAGACAGACAGACAGACAGACAGACAGACAGACAGACAGACAGACAGACAGACAGACAGACAGACAGACAGACAGACAGACAGACAGACAGACAGACAGACAGACAGACAGACAGACAGACAGACAGACAGACAGACAGACAGACAGACAGACAGACAGACAGACAGACAGACAGACAGACAGACAGACAGACAGACAGACAGACAGACAGACAGACAGACAGACAGACAGACAGACAGACAGACAGACAGACAGACAGACAGACAGACAGACAGACAGACAGACAGACAGACAGACAGAGACAAACGCAGAGACAAACGCAGAGACAGGCACAGAGACAGGCACAGAGCTAGACACAGAGACAAACACAGAGACAGACACAAAGACAAACACAGAGGCAGACACAGAGATAGAGACAGAGATAGAGACAGAAACAGAAAGACAGACAAACAGACAGACAACCACACACAAAACAACCAACCAAACCAACCAATCCAACGAACCAACCAAATCAATCAATGAATCAACCAAGCAATCAAATCAATCAATCAAGCAATCAATCAATCAAGCAGCCAACCAACCAAGCAAGCAAGCAAACCAAACTCAACTAAATTAAACTAAATCAGCACACAACAAACTAACAAACATATATACACACATCAACAATCAAACACGAGCGAAGCAAACACTCTCACAAGCACAAGCACACAACGGTCGTAAGCAAGAAACAACACATTTCACGCAACCGTCCAAACAAACAGACAACTACAAACAAAAGACACATACGCACACACACACATGCTCTACAATAGGTCTGCGTGGTGGATGCTTCAATCGAAAGGAGGCCTTCTTATATTTATGTTATGCACGTATGGCTGATCACAGTTGAAGTAAGAACAAGCTTTCAAGTGTCTATTGGCGTCCATGATCTTCTTGGGGTGTTCCGACCCTTGTGCAGTCCGCAGATTACTGGTACTAAGGAGCCCTTAGCGAACGTTGTCTCATATTGTGGGTGGCGTGGTGGCTGGCCCGAGGAGTTTAAGCCTCTTCTGTAAAATCATTTAGTGGGCGCTCCTTCCTCTGGTAACTCAGTACATATGTGCAGTACAAGCTACAAATAAGTTACAAACACCAAAATGACAACCACAATAACATGGGGCAACCAGCCCACCCCCGCGGTCCCGAGGAGGAGCGCGCGGTTGCCAAAGACGCACCAGCGGCGCAGAAAGGAGAGCCTGCGGAAAAGTTCGGCCGACTGGCTCTGATTGGCATGGAGCCAACCCTTCAGAATCCTGGTTCCCACGCCTGGGATCCGCTCAACCAAGAAACCACGAGAGGAATCTGCAAGCCTCAAGATGGCAAACAAAACCAACCAGGCATTGCTTCCAGCCCCCAGAAGCGGAGCCGACTTCTCGAAGGCCTAAGGCTTTGCCCGCTTGGGGAGTTGCCCGGGCCGACTCACAGGGTTGCTCAAGCGGCAGAAAGAAAAAAGGAGTACTTTGGATCGTGCACAGAACCCTCCCAACAGACAAACAACAACTATAACTGCAAACTGCCTGGATCCGAGCTTTATCCAAACAAAACCGGGGGGGGAGGGGCGGATTGGCACTGCTACGAAACATGGATGTGTGCTTCTTTGAGGGTATCCTTCTCACCTTGGTCTCAAGGGGAAACCTGTCCCCATTTTTGACGCAGACCCACATCTCCATGGCTTTCCGGGCTCCGGGCCATTTCGTGAACAGGTTGCGGCCGCTCAACATGGCAGGCTCCGGGTCATTGGACCCTTCGTGAGCCACTAAGGCGGGTTGACCAAATGTCAGGGCACAATATTTCGGAGTGTTCAAGGGAGACCAGGAAACCAACCAGTTTTTGGGTTCCACGTTCTATGGAAACGCAACAGCAAAAAGTCCTTCTGCGATGTATGGTACAGCTGGAGAATAACACTTGAGAATGTTGATAGACCCATGACCCACCCGAAAAGAAGAAGGCGATGCTTACAAACATGTTTGTCATCTTAGTTGCAATGTGTGCAATCTGAGAGTTTCAAAACTTCGTTTGTTCAAGCTGTAGGCGGGTGTGGATTCTTGTTCCAGCTCATACATATGCATGTGTGGCGATTCTACAAGCAGAACCACAACAAATGGCTGGCCCCTCCTTACTTTTGGTGGAACGCCTCCATTGTTCCTTTTATGCGGCGGCGTCTTTTGGCCTTGGCGACTTTTGAGCCAGCCAACCGGGCGCCGCTCTGTCGAGTTCCATGGCCATGGGCTTTCCTGCCGTCCTGAAATCGCCGAACTTACATCTTGTGAAAGTGGACGGACTGGAGAACAGCCATCTCAACAAGCCTCTTGGTGCATCGCACCAATAAAGAAATCCTATCTGCACAATTGGGAGTCCACTTCCATCGTTTGAACACAGGTAATCAAAGATTTCGGGCCTCTCATCACCTCCATAAATCAGGGATTGCTGCATCTGAAGTGGCCATCACAGAAAATAAACGTTTTGCAGAAAACAAACGCTTCGCTTGGCGGGAAAATGGCTCACCAAACAATTACACGAGGTCAAACAAAGGTCGCATCACAGGGCAAAGTTCAAAACCTGAAATACTAAGCCTACATATGTGAAATACCAAGCCTTCACATGCGTCAGATCCTGGGTGAACATGTAGTGCACGCCCCAAGTGCATTCGCACTGACCGGGGTTCAAGGAAGGCCTTGCATGTTTGACTGTTTTCAACATCAATGCCCGGGAACCCGCACTCGTCACCCGTGAGGCCTAAAACCGAACTCAGATCTCCCCTGAGCGTCAGACGCCACGCAAACGAGTTCGCTTTGCTCAGAAAGGTGACTGCGGCGATTGCCTGATTTCCAACCTGCTCTTTGGGACCCAAACAGTGGCGGGCTTGGAAAAAACAGAGTCCCCACCTGGTCTCGGACTGTTTTGCCCCGTTTCGCGCCGGTGTTGCACGCTGGACTGTCCCAGCAAACCTCATAGGAACAGCGGCTCAGAGCTCCCCACACCTTGCCAGGAAGTCAGGAAGCGAAGAAGGTCCTCTGAAAAACAAACCTGTGCTACAGTTACCCAGTTCTGCTCAGCTCCAGAGACCCTGGAGAATCTAGACGAGTCCGAGGAACTCTAAAGAAATCAAAGGATGTCTAGAAACATTTAAGCAATTCTGAGATTCTTCGAACCTCTCAGGATTTGGGCCTGTCGCTGTGTTTGCAGGGCTGCATTCATGGCCGGCTTCTGCCCCCTCAGTTCCAAGCTATACCTTGAAGGTACCCCCAGCACCCAACTTGTACGCATCTTTTATTAGGGGCTCCATTGCGAGTGGGTGGGCTTCTGGTGTTTCTTTTTGTCTGGTCACGAAGTTGCAAACCAAAGGCGATGATTGCCATCGGGTGATACCTTTGAAAGGAAGGGCTGTATCTTGTTGTGACTTGCCGACCAAGCCGTGCATGTCGTTGTGAGTTGATTGCCTGCTTGGCTGCCTGCCCGTTTGCCTGTCTGTTTGCCTGCCTGTCTGCCTTTGCGCCTGCCTGCCTGTGTCTCTGTGCCTCTGTCTCTGTCTTCTGTTGTGTGTCTCTGTTTATTTGTGTCGGGCTTGCCTGTGGGCCTGCGGGCCTGTCCACTTGCCTGCCCCCTTTTTGCGTTTTGTATTTTGTGTCTATTGTCTTGTGGTTGGCGTTGTGTTTTGTGTTGTGCTTTGTGCTTTGTGCTCTTCCATGACTTATTTGTGGCGTTTTGTTTTGTTTGTTTGTGTTTGGTGTCTTGTGTTCTGGCTTTTGTCTTTTGTGTCTTGCCTGCCTGCTTGCTTGCCTGCCTGCCTGCCTGCCGGCCTGCTTGCCTGCTTGCTTGTCTGCTCAATCTGATATTTGTTTGTCGGTTTGTTTGTTGGTTTCTTTGCTTCTTTGCTTGTTTGCTTGATTGCTTGCTTGCTTGCCTGCTTGATTGATTGCTTGCTTGCTCGCTGGCTTTTGCTTATTTCATTGATTTGCTTGTTTGCTTGTTTGCTTGTTGGCTTGTTTGCTTGATTGCTTTTGTTTGTTTGTTTGTTGGCTTGCTTGCTTGCTTGCTTGTTTGTTTGTTTGTTTGCTTGCTTGCTTGTTTGTGTCGTTTTGTTTGTGTGTGTGTGCCTGTGCCCCTGTATGTGTGTGCACTTGCTAGTGCGTGGTTATTGTTTTGTTTGCTTGTCTTTTTGGTTCCTTGGTTCTTTCTTAGATTCTTTCTTTCTTTCTTTCTTCCTTTCTTTGGTTGTTTCTTTGCTTGCTTGTGTGTGTGCTTTTGTTTTTGTTGTGATTGTGTGTTTTTCTGATTGGTTGGTTGGTGGGTGGGCGGGTGGCTGGGTCGGTGGGTGGGTGGGTCAGTGGGTGGGTGGGTCAGTGGGTGGGTGGGTCAGTGGGTGGGTGGGTCGGTGGATTGGTTGTGTGTGTCTGCGCTTGGGATGTGTGTGTTGTGATCGTGTGCTTGTCTGCCTGCTCGTTTGTTTGTTTGTTGTGTTTATTTGTTTGCATTGTTTGTTTGTTTGTTTGTTTGCTTGTTCGCTTGCTCGCTCGCTCGCTTGCTTGGTTTGCTTGCCTGGCTTCTTGTTTGCATCTGTGTGTTTGTGTTTGTTTGGAATTGCGTGCCGTCTGTACGTTTGGTTGCTTGTTTGCTTGTTTGCTTGTTTGCTTGTTTGCTTGTTTGCTTGTTTGTTTGTTTGTTTGCTTGTTTGTTTGTTTGTTTGTTTGTTTGTTTGTTTCTTCGTTTGCCTGCTCGTTCGTTCGTTTGTTTGCTTGCTTGTTTGTGCATTTGCTTGCCTGTGCATTTGCTTGCTTGTTTGTGCGCGTCCCCTTCTTTGCGTCTAAGTGTAGTGTTTGGCCTTGAGTGTTGGAGTGGATGAGTTTTTTCCCCGTTGCGCGTTTGCTTGTGTGGGTGCTTGGCTGTTTGCGTGTTTGGGTTGGCTGCCTACGTCCTTGCGAGCGGATTGGATTGGCTTCAGCTTTCTCCCACCAAGCCGAACCACGGGCCATCGGACTCCAAAAGCCGCAGCCGGGCTCCCGGCTCGGTGATGAGCACGGAAAGGCCTTGCTCCAATTCCAACTCACGATGGCCACTTTGGGAACGACACAAACTAGGAACGTATCCCTGGTTTTGCAGGGAGTTGTTTAAGGAAAACCAAAGGGAACGTAGAAGACAAAACCAGATGAAGATGACCGCATAGGTGAAACAACAAAAGGAATGAATGGAATGCTCCTGTAAATCAACAGGCATACATCAAATGCACAAATGAACTCAATCCCACAGGTCATAGGACAGATCAAACAATCATCACCTTTAAGACCAGGGAAAATCATCAGTCACCTTTGAAACGTAACCGACGGACAAACGTCACCTCGAGAACGTGGAAGTACATCTCAGTCGTCAGGGCTTGATCGGCGCATATTCCCTTTTGAGCCATGCGCCATTGGGACCTTGCCGTTTGACACCCTGATCTTACAACTCAGGGAGTGACATCCTCGAAATTGCCTTCTTAAAATAGTTTAGAAGAGAACCCGCCACCGCAATCCCTCCCAAAAAGGGGTTGGCCCCCCAAAAGGATTTCGGTTTTCGTTCTGGCCCCCAAAAAAAGCAATCTCGCTTGCTTCACGTGATCCGATCTCAGGTGCTCGCGGGGCTTGCTCCCGGCGCCCACCGCCACGTTCTCAATCTTCCGGACCTGACGCCCGCTCGCCCGGCGCTCGGCGGCTGCGGCGCGTTCAACTTGGCTTTGGACCCCCCGGCTTTGGCCAGCAGAACCCTGAAAATACACAAGCAACCATCCATCCAACCAACCAACCATCCATCCAACCAACCAACCAACCAACCAACCAACCAACCCAACCAACCAACCAACCAACCAACCAACCAACCAACCAACCAACCAACCAACCAACCAACCCACCGGCCAACCAACCCACCGGCCAAGCAAGCAAGCAAGCAAGCAAGCAAGCAAGCAAGCAAGCAAGCAAGCAAGCAAGCAAGCAAGCAAGCAAGCAAGCAAGCAAGCAAGCAAGCAAGCAAGCAAGCAAGCAAGCAAGCAAGCAAGCAAGCAAGCAAAGCAAGCAAGCAAGCAAGCAAGCAAGCAAGCAAGCAAGCAAGCAAGCAAGCAAGCAAGCAAGCAAGCAAGCAAGCAAGCAAGCAAGCAAGCAAGCAAGCAAGCAAGCAAGCAAGCAAGCAAGCAAGCAAGCAAGCAAGCAAGCAAGCAAGCACAAGCAAATGAACACACACACACACACATGGCATGAACTTTAAGTGTACATGCGCCCGTTGGTGGACATCAAACACACGCCAGGGATTTATGTCCACCAGCCATGTTGCGAGGTTCCCATTAAAATTCAATGTTTGCACCCCCAACTGCAACCAAAGAGAGCCCACCAACCAGCCAACCAACCAGCCAGCGAGCAAGCGAGCGGGTGAGCAGGCAAGAAAACCATCCTCAAGTGCGAACTGCAAGCAGAGATGACAGATTCAAGCAAAACCACGCAATCTGAACCATGAACTAAGGTCACAAAAACGAGCAGAACTCAACTATGAAACAACTGCGAAACAAAAACAGAAACCACAAAACAATCAGAACCACATAACAACAAAGAAGTTGTAAGCGACAATCAGAAACCACAACAACACGCTGTGACACACAAATCAAGAACCTGAAAGCAAACCGACTTAGCCAAGCGATGTGGTGTGCGTTTAGAGGGAACACACCCTTTTCAAGGGCTGTGCACAGGCAAACGAACCAAACTCCGGCAAATGTAGCGACTCCCCCGTGTCAAAAACCGGCGCAACGGCGGCGAGTCCCTGAGAGCGCTGCCACCAGCATGGAGGCTGGGTCCAGCACCTCAGCTAGCTGAAAACGAACAGAGAAGACAACAACAACAGCAACAGCAGCAGCAACAACAACAACAACAGCAACCAAACAACGAGCAACAACTCTTTGATAAAAACCATACCTCGGTTGCTTTCTGCTCCCCTGCTAAAAGTTTGACTTTTAGTGGTTTAATGGGAAAACCCAGTTGGCAAAAAGTGAAAGTCCTAGCATCCAAGCAACATGCACCAGAGATACGCAATGTCCTTCTGGGTGCAAATGGTGAACACAGACACAAAGTCTCCTTGTGGCCAAAGCGGACAAGACGAAACCGGGGGGAGTTGTGCCGTCGACTTTCTATTGCCAAACATACAACACAAGACACCAAGGGAATACAAATACCCAGCCGGCGGAAATTCCAGCGACGCCATGTCTTGTTTGTTGTGAGATACCTTTTTTGTGATTGCCTCGAGCTTGACGTCTAGACTATGCTCTTAGGCATCGACAAAAGCAGCATCACTCAGCCACACGAATCAGACAGGTTCCATCTTTGTGGGGCTCCAGACCTTATCCAGCGTGCAGCCATACGCAAAAGATTGGGCATTGACAACATGATGATCTGGGCAATTGAAAAATATCTCAAACATAGGGTATTCAAACTTGGAACATTGAACACATCTGTTGGTTTTTGGAGGGAACCATACAATTGTGGGTTGTTGGTCACCTAAGCAATCTTTAACTAGCAAACTTCTGAACGCCAATCTCGGAATCCGGATCATCATCAGTCGTTCCTCCTGTTGACACGGATCATTTCCAAAAAGGCCCTGAGCTTGACATAAATTACCAGTGGCAGTGGCCCGTTTATCCAAAACCCCGTGACCCCGCGTCGAATCGGCTCACTGCCTGTCCAAAGACCACGTGCTTGTTATCCAGCCAGTCGCACTTGTTGGCGGTGATGAAGAACTGCGTGAACACATTCGCAACTTGCATAACTGGGTTGTTAAGGCTGACCTACCCCCCCCAAAAAAAAAAACATGGATATTCCGTTAGTCAGTCAGCCAGTCAGCCAGTCAGCCAGTCAGCCAGTCAGCCAGTCAGCCAGTCAGCCAGTCAGCCAGTCAGTTAGCTGGAAAGCTTGTTGGTAACTAGTTAGGTCGCTAACGAGCGAGCGAGTTAGTTTTTGAACATCTGCCAAACGGACAAACGGTTAAACATCAATCCCAAAGACATGTAAGCGCATGTAGGGCCCTGTTCTTGACCGTGGCATATGTGAGCAACCGCCTTCAAGTTGCATTGGGTGGTTTGATTCCTACACGCTCAAGAAGATACCCCCACACTGCAAGGGATTGCCGAATCAGCCGCCAAAAAGCAAAGTGCTTTGGGTTGGGGCCATGCCACATGGCCTACATTGCCCTGAGGGGCAAAGTCAAGGAACGCAGGTAGTTTCCGCTTTGATGGGAGAAGGCAGAAGCTAAGCCCCTCATATGACGCGATGTCAACTTGAACATCCTCCAATGCTTGCCCGTTGACATTTATTTGAAGCCGGCCGGGAAGCAAGTTCCTCGATTTTGGGCACAACGCCATAGTGCCGGCCTGTGGGCTTGTTTCAAAAAACCCTGGACAGTTTGTATGATTTCTGGAGATTTGGGCATCCCAGCAAGGGCTTTGTTAGTCGGAGGCCCGAGGTGCGTTGGCATGCTTTCGCGGTGAAGGAATCGCCTCAACTTGGGAACTACTACGAGCGCAGGTTACCAGTTGTCTCTCCACCTAACCAAACGAGCCGCTTTGTTTCAACATTGGGAAACACCCGTTGGCATAAAGACGCGGCCGTCTTGTCCAGTCACATTCCGGAGGTGCGTGCCTTAGGTGGATCTTGCTTGCCAACTCATGATGGTGAATGATGACTGCTGCGCATAACACTTCCCAGGCGGATGGGGGCACCCTGCCAGATTTGGTTTCCAATGCTTCTGCTGAGGCAAAGCCAATGACAAACAGTCCATTGCCGACGTCCCAACATCCCAGGCATCACTTGTGGCTTGCGTGCCCAAACCCGACACAAAACTGTGTTTACAATCGTGAGTTCCTTTCATGACTTCGGTTTTCGCCTTAACTAAAAATTCAGAAGGGCGCCTCAGGGGGTGGTTTTTCGGCACACCACCAAGACAGGCAAACCCTCAACGAATCCATTGACCGCAAAAGGCCACACACTTGAACAAGTACTGCAAGCCCGCCAAGCGCGCCAGCAAGGCCTACGCGTGCGCCAAGAATTGACAGCTGATGTATTGTATTGCAATTGGCAAGCTAGTTTTGACTATATGGCGGCTTTGTGTCAAAAGAGTGCATTGCAGTCATCTGTTCCCTGTCACTTTTCGCGATCACGACATGTACGAGAAAGCGCAGCTTGTTTGTTAGAATAGTGCATGCTTCTCCCCTACCCATTGCATCTGCTCACTTTCGCTCTTGGCTATCGCTACACATATAACGAAGGACAACTTGGCTTGTCGAAAAGCAATGTCAAAACAACACGCAAGAACCACAAAAAAAGATGCAACAACCCACCCCGCGTGAGCCGCCGCTCTCTAAAAACAAACAGTGTCGAGAATAACCGCCGATTGAACAACAACTCCGCCAGGCTTTGCTCGTTGCGATTCTTTCCGGGCCCATGGCTGGCAACTGGTTGCATAGCCCAACGAACGACGTCCACTTTGGAGTTTTGCCGTCATTTCTGCATGCAGTGAACCTTAACCCCGCTGCGGTGCAGGGTTTCGAGCCTGTGTTGCTCACAAGCAATTTGCGTTGGTTAAGCAGGACCAAATAGGCAAGTCTGTGCAGGCTCACCCCTGCACAATCTCCTAGATACGCAGCAACTCCCCCACGCAAGGTCGGAAGGCAATCTCCTATACGCCCCAAGCGAATCGCGCTCTTCAACGACGAGAACTACCCAATTTGGGGCCGTCGCCAAGGATGGGCTGGGTGGGTGCAAACTCAACCAACCACTTTGGGTTCAATCCCTTGAGCCAAAATTTGGCACTGCTGTCAGAAATGATTGCCGGAACGCCCAAGCCTGCCAGACCTGCTTCAGAAATACAAAACCGGTGAACCCCAACATGGGCTTTGGTTTCCCTTTAGTTTTCCGCGAAAACAAGGCCAGAAAAAGGCATCCTGGCACTGAAACATCCCAATGGGTAGGAGTTTTTAATCAGGGACCCGTTGGTGTACATCAGATTTATGTCCACCATTTTTGAAGGGGAGCATTCGAACTCATGCTGTAAGGGCTAAATACTTGAGCACACTTTAGTTTTGCATGGTCATGACTTGCTTTGGCTTTAGCAACACCCCGCAACCATTCCACCTCTGGGGGTTTCTCAAACATGGTTCCCCTAGAATGGTTCGTTTCATTTGCCTTCCCTTGGACCAACCAAAACGGGGTCTGCCACTTTGACAAAAACAGTCATTTAGTCACCGTAAGGGTACCCAACCTTGGCCATATCTGGGGTACAGAATATATTTGCTCAGGTTCTCCATGTGTCCAAGCTAAAGTTCAAAATCAGATTGAAGGAGCCACCGTTGCGAGAAAGTCCAAGGCCTCTCAGCTCCACCCGAGCGGCCTGGCAGCCATTGGAATTGGCGCCGCTGTTGGCCATGGACAACAGCCCCGGCTTGTCGTGCCTCGCGGAAGGTCTCGTCGTTTGCGAGGTCGTTTTGGGGCTGCGGATGGAGAGGTTTTGAATAAGGGTGAAAGGGCACAACTGGGGGACCAAGACAACATATCCTTAGGGTGGGTGGGCGGGCGGGGCGGGCGGGCGGATGAATTGATGGATAGTTGGTTGGTTGGTTGGTTGGCGTGCTTGGTCTTCTTTTCTGGAGCTGGCCCTTTTGTATCCCTTGCTAGGTAGCAGGAACATGCGGACAGCCTCCTGATTAAAGGCTTGGCTCGGGGGAAATGGATTCCGCTTCGCGTCCAAATCACAGGTGCCAACCGCTGAGCCCCGCAATTCCCAGTGACTCCAAAGGAGGCTCAAGGCGCTGATCGATGTCCTCGGGCTTGCTCCAAACTGCGCGAAGGCTGCAAGTAACAAGGCCTTCTGGAATCCATTCGATTGTCGGCATGAGGGTTGGCAAAATCAGAGGTTCTCCAATTTTGGAATTTGGGACCCCAGACATTTCCATATCTTTGAGCGTGCCAGGGTGAAAAACAACTCCCAGTGCGCATTAGGCCACGTTTCCCTTTGTCAGTCTGATGGTTGTCCAAGCCACTCTTGACCATGGATCAAAGTCAGCGCGCCGTCCAAACAGCCAACCACTGTGAGACTTGAGCCCTCCATTGACTTCTCAAAAGCCCGTGGCAGGGAGTCTTAGAATACCAGCGATGCAGCGGCTTTTCTTTCAACCAACATGCGAACGGGGCCCAAACCTCGCAACCATGATAGAAACTACGCAACTCTCGAGCGGCCCCCAAGGTAGAATCTCAGAGTTCTGCGGAGAAAACCAAAGAGCAGTTCGCCCGAGAATCAAAGGTCTTTCAGGTCCAAAGCGTAGCTGAGTCAACACCAAGAGAAACCAACACCCATTAGTCTTGGTCAAGACTCAACAGGGCGGCTTTCTGAACCTGAACAGGTCCTTTGACTGGCTCAGCTTGGTCTCCGAAATGCAGCGCTTGCGGCCCCGGGCTTCAGCACAAAGTTCTCGTCGGGGAATCGCTCGCCGAAGATGCTCAGACTGCCTGCGCTGCTTGGCGATGGACGTCCTTCAAAGGAAACGAGGTCCTTTTGCTTGCGAGGACTTCAGGTTTCCAGCGTTTGAAAAGTCATATTGTCAGAGTTTCACATCCAATCCCCCCAAACAAGTTTCTCTTTTTCCATATCTGCGACCTGTTGCTCGGTGAAGGGACATTGCAAATTCCTCATTCCAGCCAGCAACCTGTTTCTTCTAGATTCAGGCTTTACCCTCTTATTTCTAGGATGCTACCAAACAATTGCAAACTTTTAGGTCCCAGGATACTGAACAGTTCTTCCCCAAACAGCTGCAAGTTACAGGGGTTCTAACTTCCAACAATGACGGGAAAATGATTTGCGAGATTGATGGCAGGGTGCTAGGGGGCATGCAGTTTGGGGGTGCTGTTTCGTGTGCTAAAGGTGCGGCGGTGGTTGCTGGCGGTGCTTGTCAGGCTGCCGCTGAAATGTCCCATAGACTCTATGCTGTAATGTTTGGTTGGTTTATGCAAAAGGGTTGATCAATCCTCCCTGGTGGAGTTCGACCTTCAATCTCTGTACATGTACTCCCCGCATTTTGGGAGCACACGTTTGCATGGCAGCTAAGTGTCACTCACATTGGAGACAAGAAGTTCAGCCAAAACACAAGACATCAGTTTTTTGTTCCCGGAAGCATTGCGAAGGATTCTTCTTCTAAAAGCGGCTGCACACTTCACCTGCCAACTTCTCATGTCAACTTTTCGAGAGTTATTTCACCTGCCAACTTCTCTTGCCAACTTTTCGAGAGTTACTTCACCTGCCAACTTCTCATGCCAACTTTTCCAGAGTTACTTCACCTGCCAACTTCTCATGCCAGCTTTTCGCGAGTTACTTCACCAGCCAACTTCTCATGTCAACTTTTCGGGTGCTATCTCCTTATCCAAAAAACACAAGCTAACTTTTCTTTTCTACCTTCACATCTCGACTCTTAATTCTTCTTCTTGTTCTGGCGGGGGTAGGCCCGACGGGAGCTTACAAAACGTACCCTCTGCGGAGATCGTGCGTGTCGAAGGTCTCTCGCTGTGGCGCCGTGCGATTTTATTGCTCGCGACACGGCCTTTGGAAGTTGTCTCGTGGTTTGCGCGCCTGCTTCGCGATCCCGCGGTCGCGGGTTCGATTCCCCCCTGGTCCGCGGCAGCTCCGGCTTGAAAATCGCAGCTTTTAAGTACAAGCGTAGTACGCGGAGCGTGCTCCTGCAGCTCCGGCTGGAAGCTTTCGCAAACGCGGCATCGCAGGTTCGATTCCCCCTTGGCCCGCGCCACCTCCGGCACGAAAATCGCAAGTTTTAAGTACAAAAGTAGTACGCGGCGAGCATCCCCCCAGCTCCGCCGGAAAAAGAAGAAAGAACTCAGAGTCGAGAAGAGACGGTAGAAAAGGAAAAGTTGGCTTGCGATTTTTAGGATAGTGAAGTAACGCCCGAAAAGTTTGCTTGCGCTTTACGATGCCGAAGAAACGCCCGAAAAGTTAGTTTGCGCTTTAGGATGGTGAAGTAACACTCGAAAATTTGGCTGGTGTTTTGGGACACTGCATTTACCTTGTGAAGTGAGATTGGCCAGTTGGCTGTTGTCATTGGCTTGTGAAGTGAGATTGGGCAGTTGGCTTTTGCGTTGGCTTGTGAAGTGAACTTGCGTAGTTGGATTGTGGAGCGACGGGCAGCTGACAAGAGCAATAGTAGCCAAAGCTTGGATGTCATGAGTGTCTCAGTAGCGGAGCTTGCCCACAGAATGTTTGCGGCGACAGTTGGTTAGGGCGACAGTGCTTCTTTGTGTTCGTGTTATGTTTCATTTTTGGCGGGGTGCTCCATGAGTTTGCTGTCCATCCTCATTGCTGCCAGCGCGCGCATCCATGCTCAAGGCAATCCTCCGCGCTTTGGCACCCTCAACGCTCAACTTGTTCACGACAAGCCTTTAGATACCGGAGCGTGTCTTTCAGCGCGCGTAGCAGGCTGCGAATCCCTTGGATGGTCTTCCTGACGCTGAGCATTTACGAGCTGAAGGAGCAGTACGTGGTCGAGACTGGCTCCGTGCTGAGCTGGATTTGCAGCTGGCTTGCATGTTGCCCAGAGGGATTCCACGACTGGACAGCAGCGCACCAAGGGTCAGCTGCTTGATGCTTTGGTTGCAGCTTTGCGCCCTTCCGCCAACGCAGAGGCGTGGTGTCGCCTTTGAAAATAAACCCCACAATTCGGCGATGCCTCAACTGCGTATAGATGGCTTGTATATTTCAATGGTTTTGCGTACCTTCCCGTCCTGACGCAAAGGCATGGTTTCGCAGCTACAAGTAGACCCCACAAGTTTAGCTTTATCTATTTTCAGCTTTTTCGTCACACTCAATGCTCCACCTGTTCACGACAAGTCTTTAGATACCGGAGCGTGTCTTTCAGCGCGCGTAGCAGGCTGCGAATTTTTCTTGGATGGTCTTCCTGATGAGCATTTACGAGCTGAAGCAGCAGTACATGGTCGAGACTGGCTCCGTGCTGAGCTGGATGGCTCGATGAAGATGGACAAGCTTCGCTCCTTTGCAGCTGGCTTGCATGTTGCCCAGAGGGATTCCACGACTGGACAGCAGCGCGCCAAGGGTCAGCTGCTTGATGCTTTGGTGGCAGCTTTGCGCCCTTCCGCCAACGCAGAGGCATGTTGAAAATATTCCCCACAAGCGGCGATGCCTCAACTGCGTATAGATGGCTTGTATATTTCAATGGTTTTGCGTACCTTCCCGACCTGACGCAGAGGCATGGTTTACAAGTAGACCCCACAAGTTTGGTTTTATTGCTTAGCTCTTTTGGCACCCCCAATGCGCAACTTGTTCACGACAAGCCTTTAGATACCGGAGTGTGTCTTTCAGCTCGCGTAGTGGACAGAGGAGGGCTTGCTCGAAAGAATGTTTTTGTCAAGGGTTTTTTTCTGAATGTAAGAGGCTGGTCGCCGTACTCTTTTGTGCGTGTTCAAGAACTATGTGATAAGAGCGCAGGCAACTTCGTCTTCAACAGCTGTAGCGAGTTCTGGGCATTGTCTTCCCGATGCACAGCACTTGCGAGCCGAAGCAGGAGCACGAGGTGCTGATTGGCTCCGGGCCGAGCTATGGACGCGCGACATGATGGTTGGCAAGATCGCGATGAGCCGGGAGAACCTGTACTGAGAAGAGCATGACATTCCTCAACTTTTAGTGTCATATTTGAGCCGCTGACAAAAAGCGGAGTCTGTCTGTGCGCAGCTTGTCAGGGTAACGCACGACTAAACTACTTGATCTAAAACAACTTGCCTCTACGCTTCCGGGCCAATCGTCGTCAAGTTTTTTTTTTTTTCATCTTTTCATGTGTACCCTGTACCCTTCTTTGCCGGGCTGGCCTCTGGGAAAGCGGTGCACTGCCCCGGAAAGTTTCTCCCTAAGCCTGGAATAAACAACACCGCCGCTTGGTTCTCAGCCCCGCGACTTCCACTCCAGAGACTCTAATGGGGTTGTGGAGTACTCTGAAACCAAACTTTGTCATGATGATCGGAGTATACGAAAAAACAACAATCACGCTGCAGGTCCACTACTGCGCTCATCATCAGCCTGAGTTCATCTGTTCCCAAGTGCTCAAGAAGAAAACCACCCACGGCATGGTTGTCTGGTCCTGGCCATGCTTGAACTCGAACTGCATTAATTGCAAGTGACCCAGCATGGTCATCTGGGTCTGCTGTATCTTCTCCAAATGGGCAGCCATCAGCTTTCAGAGAACCCTGGCTGCTGGAGTGGCCCAAGACGCCTGTCTGGACCTTCGAATGCTTCCACAGCATTCTGGACCCTAGATACGGCTTGACTGGTCTTCCATTGGCTCCACAAGTGGCAACTTGGAAACAAGCAACGCCCCCAAACATTTCATAAAAGCAGGCGGCAGCTCCAACTCGTGAGCTACCGTCGCCCCAAAACTGACACCAAGAGCGTAGTCCGAAGAATGTTTAAGCCATGATGATCCTCTTTCCATGCTCGCATGCCGTGGAATGGACAGCTGGCCTGCTTTGAGATGATGGTAATGATCCAATGGTTGTCTTCCAGTTACCTGATTCTAACAGCTGATGATGAACGCATGTTTGGGATAGTACCTGGCTCCCTCTTCTTTTGAGGCCACCGGTCCCAAAATCAGTGGTTCTCTTTATGTTTTGACTTCCTCCAAGACATATAAGGGCGGTGGTGCCATTTCCAGCTCAAAGTGGCCAAACACCCAAAACATCACTCCTGGCCCAGGGCCAACAACTCTTTGGGTCCCAAAACAACCGAGGAACACAAAACTGTGGTTTCCTCTAGATCCGTGCGCTACGGATCCCGGATGCGATTCCGAGCCTGTGCCGTCGCCCTTCACGAAGTCGCCACCCTGGATCATGAAATCCTGAACAGACTTGAGCTCCAAGGAAACACCCAGGTCAGATCAGAAGTCGATGGATGCTAAAAGTGAGAGCTTCAAATTGAACGCTTTCAACACATCAAGTAGAAGCTAAAAAAGCGTCCAATGAATCAGTAACAAAGCACATGTAGTCACCAATGGTTCCGCTAGCCAATATGCTAGTAATAGTGATCACGAATACCAAACCCCAGTGCCCTCCGCGCTTGAGCAAACATCTGGGTCTTGCGCCTTTTGCGTACTCACTTGTCCGAGGGACGATTAACCTTTTGCGCCTGGTTACATATATGGCCATGGGTCAAAATCCCGTACTCACAGTGAACATCCCAATCCCCACCAAAATAGACTAAACTGGGTGGTGCACCTACCCCAAAATGGGATCCCATTGGTTTTGACCCACAGCCGTATGGACATGGACACAGTCTGCTTGCACATTTCTGGAAACACACTCAAAGCCCTGGCGCTCAGTATCAGAGGTCAGGGCTCCTCAGCACAGAGAAACCATCGAGCCATCGTTCTGTTCGATCTTGTTGCCATTCTAAGAAAGTCACATTGTGAGTTGGTCCGTAAGATAAAGGTTAAAATACACGTACGCAGTAGTCAAGATTGGTCAGAAGTTCGGACTTTTCGTCCCAAAGCGATCTTTCGAAAAAGTCCAAAGTCCAACTGGGAAATGAGGTAAATATGGGTGTGTTTTTGATGATCCTCTTTGCGGTGGTTTTAAAAGGACACCAACAGGAACGCCACAATGCTTGAAGTAGCCCTGTGTTGACACATACCTATACAAGGGACCCTGAAACATCCATAATCTGAGCATTGGGCATCGCCTCGCCGGTCGCTCTCTCCCTCCCTCTCGTCCCTTGCTCCGGCCGAAAAAAGAGAAAGAAAAAGCGAAGCGCCTTGATGATCCGATGGAAGGTGCAGTTTTTGTATCCGATCGGCACCTGGCAGGTGAAGCTGGGTGACTCTTATCCGTTGCTCCTGTTTCTGATACAATCCGCTCCAAATCTGACCGCGTTTCCCGAAATGAGCCCGCAACTCATCCACGGCATGAGGCGCCGAAGGGCTGCTCCCTCCCGCTCTTGGTGGACTCTACGGGAGCGCAAGGTTTTGGCTGAAAAGGGACAAGGTATGGATCCCCAATCAGAGGCCATGGGTCTCCCCAAGGGCTTCCAATTGCCTTTGAATTGTCTCAGCCGGAAAAAGCTCTCACATGTCACAGGCAGACCATGGGGTCCGAAAATGGGGCAGCTTTGGGTTTAGGACATGAGCTTCCCAAAGTTCGAGGCTTTGGGTTTCCCTGTGAAAGCACAACAATACAAAAAGGGTAAGGGTACCCTTCAAGAAAACCACACACACCGACATGGCTGTCTTTGTTGAGTCCTTCTTGGGGCTGTTTTACTCCTAATTCGCTTGCGACTCTTTTGCGCAAGCAACCCCTTCCCTCCCCTCCCCTCCCAACCCCAAGGCGCCCAACATGTGTTTGCCGCACATGCCCATGCGCGGTAAGTGCAATCGCAATAGCTTTTTCCGCGCGATCCATCCCGTCCCAAGTTGTTTTGAGAGCCTGCGGCTTCGGACGCCGGACGCCGCGGAGCCGCCCGCGGCACTCGCGGGAGCCTTGTTCAACTTGAACTCCCCGGTGCACAGCTGCTTGAAGTTCTCCGCGGTCTTGGGGACCTGAGCCCCAAAGACCAACTCAAGCCCTGCGGCCTACGGACGCCCGAAACAAATTGAGACCATCCAAGTACTGGTCAATTCAAAACGCCCCTCCAGTGGTTGATTCCAATGTCCATCCCCCTTCAGTTGAGTTCAATTTCCCCGTTTTGAGACGCACCCCAATGAGACTTCACACGTTGAAAACAGTGCCCCCTCGGCTTTGGCTGGAAGTTCGTGCAGAGGTCCCCTGCATATGGACACCTGGAGTCTATGCAACCATCTCTTGGGCTGTGGACTTTTTGGGCGTGCAAAATGAGCTCCAAGCTGGGTTGGTCAGTTGGTCTTCGAGTCCCTGGTACAAATCACACCTTTTGGCTTGGCAGCCGGAAAAACAAACCATGGCCTTTTCCCGAGTGCAAAGCAAGGTGCGACAAGTCGGGTGCTGATGGCCCCTCCACTGTGCACCAGTCAACCAAACCGAAACCAATCCTCAATCCCCCCCTCACGCAACCCGACACCAACGGGAACCGTGCTAATGAGGGGTAGCTTAGGTGGGGCCCCTAAGTAACAAAGAACCTACATTGTGGTGAGCTCAATTACCCCCAAATCGCGCTCAGCTCGCCACGAATAGGTTCCCCGAAAAGGCTGTTGTTTGGTAGGACTCCTGCTTCCTTTTTTGTCGAGACTCCAAAGATGACACTACCCTACAGGCTGTGTGCCTTTTCCTTGAGGCTATCCTGCATATCTTTTCTCAAAACAAAATCTGCAACAGCATCCACAAGTTGTTGGGGTCCACCCCACCCTTTGACACATGTCGAGCAGGGGGGTTGCTTCCAACCCGCTGGTCTCGTCATCGGCCTTCGGCCGGGCCCTCGGGCCACGTCGCGGAAGAGCTCCATCTTGATGCGGCCCACCGGGTGGCCTGTTGGCGCGATCCAAGGCGCCAGGGGGGAGACTGGAAGGTTCCCCCCGGGCATATTCCCATGGGAATCTCACGGATGTATTTTTTGGGATGGGGTTGAAAATGGGGCTTCTCAAAACATGAGGGGGGGGGTTCAAAATACGGGCTTGGGCTTCACAAATTGGTGGCTCTCCAAGGCTAAGCTCTGGGCAGGAAAGGGGCTTTTCGTGGAACTGCTAACCTCCTGGATGTCAACTCCAACAGTGGCGATCCCGTAGAAAAGCATTCTCACCGCCTGGGGCCTTGCCTCTGCAAAACAAAACGGCGAACATAATGAAGGGTCAGATTCCGAACCCACACGTCCGCCAGCCCGGAGAAGGAGCGGCTGGCGACGTTGGAGGAGATGTCAGCCGGCTTGAACATTGACGTAGTACTCTCATGCGTGGGTGGGTAACGGGGGTGGATGAAAAGGGAAGCAGGTCTACCCCACCCCACGGGCGGACAGACGCAAGCATGCTCACAACGCCGCAAAAGGTCATGCTCATTGGCCGAAAGCCCCAGTAAGGGTTGAACCCCTGCAGCCAGTCACGGCTAGCGAGGTGTTCAATCCTTGTTGACAAAAAAAGAGCTGCCTTGATATGTCTGGGCCTTGTGTCAAACGACGCCTCAAAGCGAAAGGCAATCCCTCGCGACTGCACCTGTCCTTTGTCCCGTAGGTGATTCCACAAAACGGGGAGAAATCAGCGAAGGGTCGCTTAAACTTCATCTTGGTTTCCCTTTGAGGGAAGGGCCGGGGCGTTCTTCTCTCTATCCCAGACTCAAGAAGCCCTCCTCTGCCCTGTCAAACAAAGGCGTATGGGTATGCCACTGGACCCTTCCTTCACAGTAATGTTGGTCAAGTTTGCAGGGGGCGGGCGTTGAGAATCAATCTGGACCAAACAATCCATGTTCCTTTCTGTTTGGTCAATTCATTGCTGCGATCCTTTGGGCCAAAAGAAGGGCGGGTCCGGAAAGTGAGACTCATTTGATGCCCGCGCATGGTGGCTTGAGGTCCCTCAAAAAGAGTATTCTCAAAAGGAGCCCCTTCCAACATTACCCGCAACGCAGTGTGAGCCTCCGATGGAGATGTCGAAGAAGACAACTGGGTTCTCCGGATGCCTTTCACGCTTTGGAAGGCTTTCTGATTGAATTGAAGCTGGACCCCACACGAAAACCAGAGGTGGACCACCTCGTTCCCCCCCGAGCAAACCAAATACCATGTTGTGGCGCCAACTGAAGCGGCCATCTGCCCTGTTTCAAGAGCCCGACCAATCATGAAACTGGAACAAAGCCTTCCCTTCCCGGCCTGATGCGTTCACAAGCCCACAGACAGTTGGATCTTTTGTGGGCCTTGACACAAATGATGAAGGCATTGGCCAAACTTAGGTCCAACATTTGCCAAGTCAACGCACAAGTGTCCGTGATACCCAAATGTGAATCATGTCTTTGTATCCCAACGGCGACTCGCTTCTCACAACAATGGGCTGCTCTAAGATGAAAGTCAGAGAATCACCTTTTCACACAGGGAGAGAGGGTTTTTTTCCGTGTTCCTTCTATTTGAAAAGCTCGGGATATCCGCATCTCCTCTGTCTCCATCTCCATCTAAGCGGTGCCTCTGCGGCCGGTTCTCGGCATTCAGGGCCATCCTGGCGTTCGGACGAGACGAGTGAGCCCTATGAGGTGACCCCTAGGAAAGGAATCGGCGAGATCTTTGCGGGCGCCTCGGCGCTTTCCAAAGGCCGTCCGGCTCCCGAACCGGGCGATCCGGTTCGAATGGATGACTTCCTGTACCTTTTGGATCCAGTTAAAATTTGAAGACTGCGAAGCTTTCTTTGTGAACACTCCCTGCGCAGAAAGCTGTGCCTGGACTCACCAGAACATCCTGCTTTTGAGGGTACCCTGTTTGGGGGTTGAAATTTCAAGGGGAAGCTGCGAGGGTTCTCCGGAGCTTTTCGACAAAAGGAACCATGATTAAAATGCTGCCACCGGGAAGGGTCCAACTTCTGACATACCCGTCAGCCAAATGGTGACCAAAAACCGCGTGGTTGGCCTTTCTGAACCCCGGGTTTCACTGCGCACCCTTGCGTTTTTTGTTGCTTCGCGAGAACAACATACTCCAACAAATTGCAGGGTGAAAGGCAGAAAACGGCCAACAGGTGGGTATGTCTCAACCTCCGGATTCGGGCAACAGCAAGATTTCGTTTTTGTGAAAAGGGTGCCGAGCCTAAGTCTTGGGTTCCGCTGCCGCTCCCATCCGACTCCGCTCGCGCCTGCGGCTCGCGCGGAGTCGCGACTGAGGCCCCCCCAAAACTTCGCCCACTACGAGCCGCGTGAGGCGGGAGGCGGGCAGTGCGATTCCGCCCAATGCCTCGCATGGTGTCAGTCCCAGGACTTTTGGAAGCTGACAAACCCACTTAGGGATAGTTGCCCATGTGAGCTTAGCTTGGTTATCCAAGACAGGGGGTGCAGGAAGTATGCAGCATGTCAATACAAAAAGGAGCAAGCAGGGTGGGCCCTTCTTTCCTTTCGGAAGGAGCCTCTGCCAGGGGGTAAACTGAGAAATTCGCCAGATTCAACATTTGGTCTGGGCGAATACAACGAGGGGATCCTCGCACAATTGAAAAACACAACTACAAAGAACACAACCATCCCCTTGTGGCTTCTATGATGGGTCATTCAGGTGCCATTTCCTAGCCCCGGCCAATGGAAGCAACAAACGTCTCTCCTTATGGGGGAGACGCCCTCCAAAAAGTCATCCCAAGTGAATATTCCATACCTGGCTCCAGTCGATTTGGGCAAGCCTGCTTCTCTCGGCATGAACCCCCACGTTTCCACGCATTGGCAACCCACAGCTACGAGTACCCCAAAGCTGCCCCTTTGGCACAAGAAACCCCTTTTCGGGAGGGACACTTCTCCCTCTCACCTGACCAAAGCTCCCCTAACTTGCTGGGACCTTGACCAAACATGGACCAAACAAGGACACCCGCAAAAGGTTCAAAGGACGGCTTCGGACAACTGAGCCCTTTGGGGCTTCGAAATCCGCAGCCCAGGAGAAAGCCCCGGGCGGACAGAGTTTTGGACAGTGGTTCGCGCACTTCGCGCAGCGTGAGACATTCCTTGCAAATGCGCGAATTCTCTCCGGGCGGAACCCGCAAACTGACCCATTCCGGTGGGAAGGCGGGCCATTTACTTCCTGGAGCGAAACAAAAACACCACTCCGAATCGCAACCTCACCGTCATCGCCACATTCTGGTGCCAAGAAATCGACCTCTCCAGAAGGCCTAGAACTGGTAACTAGGCTTGTTGTCACCGCTCTGAAACACAACCAAGAAACCAGACCTTTCCTTCACCATCCATTTCGAATCGCCCGGCCCGAGCTCAGGATTTTCCAGCCGGACCAAGGGGTGACACTTCTCGAGCGCGTGGCTCATAGGGTCTGCCTGAAAGGGGTCGAACCCCTCCCCGGTGAAACCGGGGGTTGGTGGACAGATCCAGCGGTTCTTTGTGTTTGGGTGCACTGGGGCTGCGGACTTGGGAACCGAACGACTGCCAAACACCCGACGGCCAACCACAGACCGGGTCCGAATTGCAGGAACTGGGCGGGTGAGGTCGACAACCGCCATGCATATTGTTGGGTTGTTGCAAACATGATTCCTTTCCATGAGATTCTGCCAGCCCTAGATGATTGGGCAAAGAAGCGATTCGAAGGACCAGCAGGGACTGCAAGAACTAATTGTAACAAGCCACATTGGAGCAAGAGTCAAACACTCATCAAACTTTTCCGCTTGCGGTTCGGTCAACTTTTTCCTGGGAGCAACCCCAAAAACTGCGTGGTTTTCCGACTTTGCCATTTGTCTCTGGACATTGACATCACACCAGCCAGAGCTTACAAATATGCAAGGCATGCCCCTGGCAACTAGCTTTTGGTCGGCATTCCCGGCTTCGCGTCCATGGAGCGGATCAACTTGGTCCAGCCAGGCTGTCAGATGGATTGTCCAGCACATGTTCCCGGGAAGCAAATCCCCGCTTCGCTTTCCTGTCTTGACCGCCGCTGCATCTTTGTCGCAGGGTCTGCATCGTCCACTTAGGACTTCCTTGTTTAGAGCGGTCCTTGGCTCTGGCAGTGCCTCGAAGGTTGCCAAGTCCACGTCGGGTATTATGTTCCAGCCAGCTTCATGGTTCCATATGCCGAATGCTATTCTGTTGAGGTCAAATAGGGAAACAAAGCCACCACAAGACTCGACTTGCTTCTGGGTGGTCGCGCTTGGTGATTTGAGGTCAATGCGCGCAAAACTTCAAAAAGCAACCGAAACAAAAGTCAAGTGTTCAAATCGTCAAGAACCCGCCCACACCATTTTTGGGGAATGATGAATCACAAAACCTGACATAGGACATACGGACTCCCAAGAAAGGAACCGTCACCTGAGGTTCTTTTGCTCCCTTTGCTGGAACACTAGAGGCACGGAAACAAGCGAAACTGACCAACCAAAACCCACTCAAACGACCAAAAAACCAAGACACACCAAGCAAACCAAAGAAACAAACACATAAACAACAGACACATAGACACGCACACACACACACAAGCCCAGAGAAAAATATCGGGGAGAAGGCAGAATACCGCCTTCGACCCTTCGGAAGAGGCCCAAGTTCTCTCCCCTTCGGCGCCTAACTCAGCGGAACTGCAGCGCGTCCTTGGCCTTCTGCAGGAAGATGGTCTCATCCTCCGTGAAAAATCGGTGAACGCTGGTTTAAGGGCGCAAGTACCTGGAATGGGATCGTAGGTACTTTAGAACCAAACTTAGTCATGAGTCAAGGAGTATACTATTTATTGTGTTGTCCCTTGTATTTCAGGCAAGTGAACATCCCCTGTGCCCACAAAAAGGCTACATGTGTAATCTACTTTCACTCTGGTGTAAGGGTTGCTTTCCGAAACAGGCGTAGATCTGGGGCTGGCTGCCCAGTGACCAGTTGCACAAAGTTAGTGGAAAACTTGGCTTCAAACAGCGGAAACAGGTGGAAACAGGAGGTTGCCCCGCAGTTGGGCCTTTCCAACTATGTCTATTTGGCGCCTGTTTCTGCATTTTTTGGCTCGCCATCTACCCAGGGGGGCTACTTCGACCTCGCCTTTGACTGCCAACAAAGGGGCCCCTGGCCCCGTCCAAGGCGCCACAAGGGGTCTCACGTTCGGACCGAATGAGGCTCCGGCCACCTCCGGCGGCAGCTCCAGCGCCTGCGGCAAGGGCGAACACTCACGAGGTTGGGGGGGTTGGGGGGTTGGGGGGGGTTGGGGAGGGTTGGGGTTGCCCGCTCAAGAGATTTTGTCACTTCGAAATGATTGGCTGAAGGCAACCGAACCACCAACCTCTCACTTTGACAACACTGCAGAGTACTAGGCTGAGCTATTTGGGAGGTTCAACCCATCTTCGAAAGGATTCATGTTTGAAAGGGACACACTCCCACCAATCTGCCAGGTCTGCGAGCAAAATACAATGGATCAACTTATCCTCATAGGTCTAAACATAAAAAGCCAGGGACCCGTGGAAGGTGCTTCAAAGGGACACCAAAACAGCTGGAGGATGAGGTGTCCCACCAGTGATCCGGATCCCCTCTATGGAACACCCCCGAATCAGCTTATCAACGGGTCAAAAGTCAAAACTGACGGTCATACCTCGAGGACACCGGCACGTGGGGATGCCAGAAAAAGAATCCAAGGTCGCCTCAAAAGCTTCCCTTGGGTTCTGATTAGGATGGCTGAACACCAGTTTTGGTTCCGTGTGATTTGCCTTTTTGGGAATATCAGTTCTCCGCCCCAAAACGCACAGTTTCCCTTGAAGACACCTACACAAAGCAAGGTGCTGCGGTTCCTCCTGGCATCCTAAGACTCCTTCACCCCAAGCCCAACCCATCGCTCGAGGCTCGCAGCTCCACCGCCTCCACGTCCTCCTTCTGCTTCTGGGAGTTGGCCAAGGACAGCAGCGCCCTGCGAGCCTGTCGCCGGGGAATTCCGCCTGAGTCACAATCAAAACCCGACACAAAAATGGTCGACCAGAACCATGTAAAGAACTTAGAAGGCGGATATCAGCTGCTATTTATGGCTGGGATCGCCCCTTACCAACCTTCACTTACCCGGGTTTTGATTGTGGCTCACCTGTTTAATCATGGAAAAGGCTGGCTGGTGCACCTAGAACTCTAGGGACTTGGTAAGCCAGGGTTTTAGGGCAGAAACAACCTACTATCGCTTCATCAACCTCAGAACCTCCTTTGGTCGCCCTTTACAGGGGCCCGGGGTCTGCTGTTTTTACCAAACTGTCCTTGTGAAGAGGGTACCGAGCCTCAATATATATATATATATATATATATATTTGCATATATATATACATATATATATATATATGTATTATATATATATATACACGCACACACGCTCACACACCACGAGGTTTGAGGTTGTCCAGCTTGGCTTGGTGGGCATGTTCAGGCAGTGTCTTGCTCCCTGGTTCCCCCGCTGAAATCCAAAAGGGAGTCCACTTTGAGTACCAAGCGCTGGCCTGTGATTCACTGATCACGCCCATCTGCATAAGGTCTGCCAGATTGAAGACCGCCTTGATCTCCGCATCCTGAGCCAAGGCGCATCTGTCGAAATGTTCCTTTTGATTCCCTTTGATGTGTTCCATGAGATCGCTGGATCCCAGCACTCCTTCCTTCCAGCGTGGGATCCTATGAAAATCAAGAAATCCCTTTCCAGTCAGTGAAGTACTGTGCGTTGCGCAGATGTTCATGCCATATTGTGGGCCAGTGCTTGGCAAGTCGCCCAGCTAATGGACTTTGTAGCCATGGCAAGGTGATAAGCCCGGTAAGCCTCACTTGGAAAATGCGTTGAACTTGCAGTTCACGGCAAAATGCTCCTTCACATGTGGCTGAGAAAATGCGATACTTGCAAAAAGGCTTATCATTGGATATGTTCCACCCCCCTTGCCCGAAGCTCACCTCCAAAGGTTGTCCCAAGACATGCGCTCTGGGAGGGGCGTGTTCTGGACCCCCGTTGAGGGAGGGAGACAAGGCAAAGACTCCAAGAAAACAGTCTCAACCCCCCTTGCCCCCCCGAAGCATGCTCTCTTGGGGGCCTGTCTGGGAAGGGAGCCATTTTTTCCGTTCATTTTCTGCAAGGTGGAAGTAAGAGGCTGGGCCTTCGCCTTCCACCATGCCGACTAAAACGTGTGTCCACATTTTCGGGGCAGGGGGGGGTGCCACAAATCGAACTCGCAAAAAAAAGGAACCTAGAAGCCCAGAGGTGGAAAAACCGCCAGCTGAAACCACCAACTCACCCAGTTGCCGGACAAGGAACGAGAACTGTTTTTTTTGCTTGACCATGTTTGCGAATCCACCAAAGAGAAACAGGCTTAGTGGCACCCTGTTGTTTTCTTCCGATACCACTTTGTAGCTTGGCTTTTCAGGGAACCAAGAAAACCGGAGCCCATCCTTGGACCCGTATGACACGTAGTTGACCCGGCGGGCGCCCAAAAAGCTAAAGGCTTAAAGCCAAATCGCAGCCCACAGAATGTCTCCCCAAGCGGCGCCAAAACATGGGTTGCCGTCCTTTGGTTTTTCCCGCAAAGGTGGCCCTGAACTTGGTTGACGTTGGAAGAGCCAAAAATCAAATCTTAGCAAAGTGGTTGGACTTCCCACTAAACCACAACAAGCAAACATGGGAAACAATGCTTCCCATCAACCATGGAGAACCCCCGACACTCCCAGCTGGGGATTTTGATCGCCCGGAAACCGTGGGCATCCGCTCCTCGAAGTTCCCGGCTTGCGCGCCCTCCCTCTCACGCAGCTGCAGCTCCTCGCTGCTCGACGCCAGAGGCGCTCTCTGCGTCCCGGCTGCTCCAACGCGCTCCAGGCGAACCACTAGAAATTGGCACCAAGGGAAACCACCATCTCAACACTGAAGTTGGAGAATCGAGCTGCTTCGTGGCAACTGGGGTCTCCTTGAAATGGTGTAAACCGATGGTGTTTAAACAGCTTTCCTTTGGGTTCCCCTTTTCAGGGCCAGTGGCTGGTGGTTTGTACAAGTTTTGTTCGATGGAGACACGTCCTGGACACAATTACGCACTTCCCAAATGACATGGGAAGATTGGGTGGGCACGGTTGTTTTTGCGGGAAATTGGGTGGGGCACCCGCGTCCTTTGCAAACCAACATAGACCACCAGAAATGTTGTTCGACCAACACAAGGCTCCACTTCAGGAACATCTCTCTAATTGCCATGAACATGCAATGGTTGCTCCTTGGAACAGGGGAAATGCAATGATGCTCGTAGTTGAGTTCTGGACAAGCCACCGAAGGGAAATTCCAAGAAGGGAGACACGTTTGGCTTTGCTCCTTGAGGCAAATGTTGCTCCCAAATCCAAGCTCTGGGCCTTCACAAGAGAGTCAACTGCGGAGCAGGAAAAATATAGGCCCTTTGTTGGCTGTCTACACTCCACACCAGCAACACAAGTCGAGAGCGGATATCACCAACAATGTGATTTTGTCCCTTGGACAGCTGGACATCCTAAAGGATCCGTCCTCCGGATTACAAAGGGCGAGGGAAGTGGAGTTGAGATCCCCCAGTTCCATGCACAGAGAGACACGCACAAAATATATAAAGAGCCTAAATGCCAAACAAACGGAAACTGAGAGACCAGCCCCCACGCATTTGTAGGGAGTACTGCCGGTAGGTGAAAAGGGGCCACCTCAGCTCAGCCACGCGCGAAGAGCGTTTCACAGGATTCCACCCTGTGGGCAAGCGGTGGGCTTTGCTCAGAAAACGTGTTGTTCATTGAAAGGGCGGTTTGGCTCTCTCGGCCTTTGTCGGCCTTCGTAGAATCCGCGCAAGTTTTGGGGTTCCTCGACCCTGGCCCATTTTGAGGGGCATCTTTGTTGTGCAGCTGGATTTTGCTGGATGCTTCCCCCAAAGCCCCCCCCATCTTCCCCCACAGAATCCCCTCCCTCGCCTGCAGGAGGAAGCCCCGCACATCCCCCGGCTTGTGGAAGCACACGGAGGCGCAAAGGTCCTGAGGCACAGCTCTTCGCTTTGCTTCGGGAAAAATCGGACATGGGTCGGCCAGCCCTGGGCTGCCGCTGCTTATAAAACCGTGAAGGGTGCCTTTACACCAATCCTATCCAGGACCTCTCATCCACAGGGAGCGGGAAATCCATGTAGAAGAGGTCGGGACCCTGTTGACAAGTAGCCTCCAGCGGCAGGCGAGATGAACAGGGGCTATGACCAACCCTTTTCTCTTCGCTCTGTACCCTCGATGATGGAATCCTCACCGATATATCTTGCGACATGTCTAAATAAACAATATATATATATAATCATTGTCCAATAATCCACATTTGATTTTCAGTTGAATTTGATGCTAAGGTGTGTGCACAATAATACATTAAATGCGATATTAGACAGCAAGCTGGTGATAAGACTATTTGTGAAAAAGTTGCCAGACGTCGTTCATCATTAAATGATATGTGATCTAAAATGATATATATATATATATGTATATGGATAGGTACCACTAAGTTTCCAGCCACTATGCAATTGGCATTGGCTGCCATTGGCTCAGACTGCGCTGGGCGTAGCGCTGGGTGTCTCCCCTTTGAGGGAGGGGAAGATTGCCAGGAAGCTGCAATTTGAAAGCCATGCACTCGGTGCACTCGGTGCACTCGGTGCTGCCCCGGCAATCCCAATCTCGTCAAGCCCTATCAATGACGCAAGCTTTTTCCTGGCAGGCCTTAGGTCCTTAGGTCTTCTGGGAGTAATCGCGCTTCCTTTCTCGCGTAGTTTTGTCGCATTTTCAATCGGGGGTGGTTGAAGTGGCATACGAGTTCCATCTGGGGCAGCCACGTTGAAGAGCTCGAGGATCCGGTGCCTAGGACAAACACCCGAAGCTCAGCGGGCTGTGAGGTCAAAACGGGTGTGTGCTCAAATACGGGACCCCGCAACATGGCGGCTTTCCCTTTGGTTTCCCTTTAAGGCAACCCCAAGAAACCCTCAAAAAGAGACAGACCCAAAAGCGCAGTTAACCTCATAAGCATGGGAACATGTCGGAGGTAACGTTCGATATTTTGTGGGTGAAATAGCTGCTTATTCAATCTGAAATAAGAAGTGGCCCACGAAGAACTTCATGGGCGAGGGGTCGTCAACCGAGACTTATGTGAGATCGCCATATTTACTCACGGGAAAAATCGAGCCCCTCCTGGCTCTGGCGGTTGAACTTGAGTCCCCAAAGCACCATGCTGGAGATGTTGACCTCATGTGGGTGTTTCCAAAAGTGGGGTTCCCTGGACGCAGCCTTTCCCACCAAGCTAGTTTTAGAAACATACCTGTGGTAACAATTTTGGACATTTTATAAGGGGACACCGCTCTTTCGCAATCAAGAGGGGCAAGAGCCTGCTTACTTGGAGAGCTCACTGCTCACTTGCAGGTCCGGGAAATCGAATAGCCAAAGGGTCAAAAGCATGGCTTGAGACTACGAAACCTTTGCAGATTTCTCACGGGCTCATGCGGAGCACCCAGGGTTCCACAGCACCCGAGCTCCCTTTCGGGATCTCAAATGGCCCATGTTGGGCCAAGATTCCACCAGGCCCCGCCTGCATTGCCAAAAAGAACCCCCAAATGAAAGGCGCCGTGGCCAGGAGGGTCACGATATCCACGGTGATGGGAGATGTCCCACCCACTCAAAGCTCTCGGATGCCTCTAGGAAGGCTTCTGTCCAAACCTCTGAAAGCTTTCTCGTGGCTGTAACTCAACCCCCCCTAACTACTTGGGATCCAACACCCCAGGGCCCCATGTTCCTTGATGAAGGACAAGGACACATATGTATGTACACTATATATATATATATACACGCTTCCTTGTGCGTTCTACTTAGGTCAAGCAGATTGACACAGGCACATAGCTGGGCGGGTCCAAAACATGCATCCTTGACCAGGGATACAGACACATTCTGATTGTGCCCCTTGTGTACCTTGGCACCACCGGTTTCACAAGCGTACTTACCATCTTGGGTCATTCACACAGTGTAATGGTAACTTGAAAGTCGGAGTAGTGACTGGAACCAACTGGTAAAACCTTGCAAATTCTAGAATGTGTCCAGAACCAGGAACCATCATCATATCATGGCAAGCTCGCTTTACCCCAAAGGCTCACAAAACGCTTGGCCAAGTTGCTTCCGCAGGTACTCCTCCGCCTTCTGAAGCTCCTCCCCCTCAAGAAGTCAAAGCGAGGCAGCTGAGGGTAAGCAAGTCGGACTGGTGCCAGTTGGTTTCCCTCCATTCGGCTTCACGATTTGTTCTCGTGATTGTTTTGAAAGCCGCTACGATTCCTGGGTAGTTTGCCATTTTCGGAAAGACAAAAGGGCAATCAGGTGGTTGGTTGTGAAAATCGATGAACATGTTGAGACCCTTGACTTCGTGCTGCTCTGCTGGCATCCTCTCAAGATCTCTGCCCCGCTCAAGGAGTCCCTTTCAAATGGGCAAGTCCTAAAACGACCGGACGCCTTTTGGAGTGCTGAGAAAAGGGAACCCTTAAGGACAGCCTAAGCGGGAAACTGACCATTTGTGGCGGTGGACACACAAATTGACCACGCCCTCATCAAAACCAGGAGCACGTCAGGACGCTTGGAAGCTCAACACTCCCGATGCCTCCAGAAACCTGACGAACTGGCGGTCTTGCCCTGAAGTACTGTGGTTGCCCGACTTCTCCATTTGCGGCTTGACTCTTTCTATCGAACCCCAGCGGGCGCCGCAGCCCGAGCACGCGCGCTCTCGCCTCTGCGGACATGACTGGAGAGCGGTCCGAGAGCCTCTAGGAACAGCTGCGGTAGAAACCGTGGCATGAAGTCGTGACTCGAAACCAGGATGGTGTCAACCCCAAATGGTTTCACCCTGTTCATGGGGGGGGGTCCTTTTTAAAAGGGCGGGGGTCCGTTTCTTTCAGGGAACTTCCTTAAGGGTCGACATTGTTGCCCAAAGCACTGAGAACTCTACGCAGAATTCCACGTTGACATTTCGGAGCCGGACACCTAATGCGGCATAGACCACCTTGTCATTATGAGCAGGTATGAAAACATCGAAAATTAATAAATCCTGTACCTGAACGTTCCTTGTAGACTTGGATCTGAAAACAAATGAATCGATGCCACGAAAAGGACAATCATCAAAGAAGGCACCTGCACAAATTCACCCACCGAAACCTCAAGGGAATGCCGACAAAGAGCCCTTCTTGACCCGGCGATGTCGGGGCGTTGCCCCATTAGGAACAACACCGCCAAAGATCCAGGTATGCAACGTTTGACCCTCGACCCCTTGGCCAAATCACACGCACACAAAATATAGAGAGGCTGGCACACAATTTTGCAAGTCCTTGCCATCTCTTTCCGCCACACACACGTCTTCGACTGAGTGAAGCTGCCGATCCTCAAAGGGTTCGAAGCAAACCCTCTGCATCCTTCAGACTGGCTGAACAAAAGATGGGCCGTACGTAGACGACCCAAACGGGTTTCAACCAAAGGTACATGAAGAGGACATTAGGAGACCAAACAAATCTTGGGCTTCCTTTTCGCTTTCCCACCCTTGAACCCCCACCCAAGGGGGTCCACCAATGTTTGGGCCATATTAGAGCTGTGCAAGACGCTCATCAACTCCTTGTGCAGCTTGCGCCCTTTCTTGTGCTCGTCAACACGAAGGTTGTAAAGGACACCACCAGCCTTGGCCTCACACGCATGAGACAAAAAACACTTGCTGGAACCACTGCTGTCAAAGTGGTGGTGGTTTTGGGCAAGTGAACTGCTTGGTGCAAAACCCGGGTCTACGTTCGAACACGCCTTCTCAAAGCCAACGTGGGCATATCTTAAATCGTTTGGGTAAGGTTTAAGCAGAACAACATTGTTTGTTTGAAAGTGCCCTTCTTCGGGGCCGTTTCGAAGGGCCTTCGCCTGTTCTCTTATGGCCGGTTCATCCCACTTCGGCCATCTAAAACTGGGTGCTAAATGAGCGGTCTACAAGAATATCAAACTCATCCCCTCGAGATTCCTGTAGAAGAAAATCAATACGTACATGGGCTCTGCAGCACCCGGAAAAGATCTGCCCTCTTCCTTTCGTTTGTCACGGTGGGTCGGCCGGCTTCAAGTCGACCGGAGACAACAATTGGTGCACTAGCATCATGGAAACACCTTTGACATGATGTCCTTCACCTGGGTGAATCATGTTCCAACCTTGAAACAAGGCCCAATACTAAGGGGCAAAAGAAGGAACCTATTGTTCAAGGGGGGGTTCAACTCGAATTGCAGGCTTGGCCACCCCCCCGAAACCCCCATCCAGGACTTCCGTGCCCCACTTTTTCGCAAACGCGTCATGGTTTGGCTCCGGTGCCGAGGTGAGACAGTTTCGTGTCCCAAGGGATCCGGCTTGAGCCTGGCTAGGAGCCACTCTCCACTTCTTGCGTAAACACTTCGAACTGGTGTTAAGCCCTGCATAAACACTTCACAGGCTCTCAAGTTCTGCAGGGAAGTCCAGCTTTTTGGCGGAATAGTCTGACTATTCCTTTGGGAGGGGAACCTAAAGAATTGGGGACTTTCCATAGCTTTCTTTCAAACTCGTGGCCGGCCCCCCGACACCACAAACCCTCTGAAATAATCTAGTTGGACCTCCACAGGTCCATCGGCCTCAAATCAGGCCGAGCACCACCGAGCTACCGAGCTACCGAGCTACCGAGCTACCGAGCTACCGAGCTACCGAGCTACCGAGCTACCGAGCTACCGAGCTACCGAGCTACCGAGCTACCGAGCCCGAACCGAGCGCCAATGGAGGTACACAGGCTGAGAACTCATAGATGGCGTCAGAAAAAGATTCGCGCAAATATCTGGGTGAATTGCATTCACCAACCAGAAAGTAGGGTGTCCAGTAGTAAGAGTTCATCGTCATGGGTCACGTAGGTCGACCAGGATTCAACAGTCCACGACTACTTGTGCCGTACGAACCTCCGCAAGCAATTTGGGAATGTCTTCGGATGAATAACAGCCCCGGATAAATGAAATGCCTTGCTCTCGAGTGGAGTGATCCAGCTTGGGACATCCCTGACGAAAATTCAAAGTCCGCTTGTTTAGAAGGCTCGGGCAAAAATCAACATGCAGTCTCTTGAAAAGCAACTAGGACCTCCAAACAACTACCATCTTGTAGGGTAGATGTGGATATCCTTGCTGCATGCCCATACACATACATATGCATATATCTATATATATATATACATTATATATGTACATATGTATATGTAAATATAGATGCACATATAAATGCTGTCTCCCATCTTCATCTTGTTCATGTTGCATGCTGACAAAGTATCTGCATACCTCAATGAACATACCAGTGATTTAAGCATAGTTTGCTCCGGACGTGGACGTGGTTTCTTGTGTAAAGTAGCTTGGGAAAATGGGTCCGAGCTCGAAAGTGGATTCCGGTTCGACTTCTAAAACTCAGCTAATCACATTCTGCAAATACAATGTTTTTTGCACGATTTTCTTAAACGACCTTGTTGTTGTTTTCAGGCCCGAAAACACACACGCACACGCACACGCACACGCACACACGCACACGCACGCGCACACACACACACACACACATATATATATATATATACACACACACACACACGTGCAGTGGCCAAGACATCCAACACTTGCGCAGGCACCGTCAGCTCAAACGCGAAAGTAGTTGGACAACGGCTTGTATTCCGCCGTGGTCCAAACACAGTTCTTTTTGTTCGCTCCGCCCGCACGATGATCATCGTGCGGAATACGGGGAAGGGGGGGGGGGGGCTGGGGTGTTGTGTGCTGGGGATGGCTATGCTGGATGTGGCAAATGATGTTTGCCCGGCGGTGTAGACAGCTCTTCTCACCGGGCGCACCTAGCGAATGCTGGCAGCATTGCTGGCGCGTCGCCTGCCGCAGGAGGACAAGCTTAGAAGTAAAGCTGATCAGCAAATAGTTCGCACAGGAGAAGATGCTAAGCTGCATCCGTGGCTGCCAGAGTATGTCTTCATGTGGGCCTGGCGAGAGAGCTTGCCCGTGGCCAGTAAGAGCCCGCTTGGATGCTTCGAGGCTTTGGCGAACCAATCCCAGCATATTCGCAGCATTTCGGTGCATTGTTTCTCTGCTCCTTTCAATACTTCCTTTCACAAATCATCAATGTGCAGCGCTTCTTCAAACGTTGGCTCGGAAGCTTCGCCATTTGATTTCCTATGCAAAACAATCAGCTTGATGTACTTTCCCGATTCTCTCAGATATGCTTATTTTTGAAGTTTCTGTTCAACATATATCAGGCTGAATATGTTTTCCAAATTCTGAATGAGAGTTATGTTTCCTTGTCACACATGCTCATGTTGAAGGTTTTTCCTGCAATTCTGACCTGGCAGCTGATACTTCAATTCATTGCTCATGGTGAAGTCTTGTTTCAAGCCTGGCTCGGACGCCTTTCCTTTTGTAATTTCCTATTTAAGATGATCACGTTGAAGCCTTCTCTTCAAAATCTGGCAGTGGAGCTTCGCCTTTTGACTTTCCTATTCAAACATGCTGAGTTTAAAGAGGGTTGTCCAATTCTAGGTGAATAACCATTTCTTTTGAAGTTCGGTTTGGCGAATCATCATGTTGAGGTGGGGCGAAAAAGGAGATGGCAATCCTCTTAAGTTTGAGAACTCTGGGAGACCAAATGCCACTAAGAACTGCCATGTGGGATTTGGGGGTGGGTTTGGGGCGTTGCGGGGGTAGGGTGGGGGTTGGGGGGTTTTGAGATTTGGTGGGATTTGGGGGGATTTGGGGGGGGGGGGGTTGGGGGGTTTCTGGAAGGTTTGGGGGGTTTGGGGGGTTTGGTTTGGGAGGGGTTTGGGAGGGGTTTGGGTTTGGGTTTGGGTTTGGGTTTGGGTTTGGGTTTGTGGGGGGGTTTGTGGGGGGGTTTGTGGGGGGTTTGGGGGGGTTTGGGGGGTTTGGGGGGGGTTTGTGCCCTGCAGGGCGAGCATGTGTGTATATATGTAAATATGTACCTATATATATATATATGTGCATGTGTTTACCAGTGTACGCACACAATACATGTGACCTACATCGCCAAGCTCGGAATCAAACGCCATGCGCGTCCTTGGCACGGATCCGGCCGCTCCGCACTTCGCCGCCCCTGCGCGTTTGTGGCCCGGGCCGGAAGGCCGGCGCAAGCGGTCGCCGTCTTAGAGAAGTGAGAGCTGTGATGGTCCTGAACATCTATTGCCCCCGTGGTTTTTGCCAAAAAAAAGCGGGCTTCAAACGCCTAGAAGAGAAAGACAGCTTTGTGTGCTGCTCCTCAAAGCATGGTTTTACTGAAAAATGGCACTTGCCCCTAGAAAACCAAGGCGCCCAAAGGGCGCGGTGCCGGGCACATCATTGGTCGTGAAACTGACGCGCACCTTGCGGGCAGCGCTTCACTCGATGTGGTCACCTCAGCTCTCTCACGACAGAAATATCGGGATGTGGCACTGGAACTTTTGGAGATGTTGCAAACCGAAAAGATACAACAATCTGGGTCCAATTCCCAATTTGGCAGGAGACCCTTGCTTTTTTGCGGGTGACAAGGCTTTTCTCACTTGGCCAGTGACCAGCCACAAGAAAGTGTGCACGTTTTGGGTCACCACTAAAAGTGAAGGGGAAGCCACCAAGCAAAAGTGTAAAGTGTTGATCCATTTAAACCCCCCCACCCCAAACAGGGATACTTGCACAAGAAGATTTGCCCAAAGAGGCCAAGGGCTCGACCGCCTATTCTTGCCAGGCGGCGCACGATGCACACGGTGAGCCCCTTGGCGTGTGCCACGGCAAAGGGCGGGATGCTGCCTCGGACAGCTTGAATCCGGAAAGCCACGGACACCTTGTCCACTTTTTGCAGGCAGGTACACTCTTTGAGTCGGTATCCAACTTGTTGGAAAGAACAGGTTTGAAGGCTCCAGGTATGCATTTCTTTGTTGATGTGTATGTGATACATCCATATGCAATTTAGAACTAGTGCAATATCTACGGGCTGGTATGCATGGGTGCGGGGGGCTGCTTGAGGGTCCACACAACACACACACACAAAAAAATAATAGAAAACACCATGGAACATCCAGTTCATATTCTAGCGTTTTTGAGCCTGTCTCCCATGACCTGACTCACTTCTCAGTGGACTGATTGGCCAAACAAAGGCTAAACTTTTGGCTCACCACTAAGATAATCTTGCCAGCAAGCACACTGTTGATTTAGCTTGGTGGATGTTCATGCGCGCTCCCTTGGGCTGGGGGTCTCTTTGGGGGTTGCACAGTCCTTCTCCGATCTTTGCGGTTCGCCAAGTCCAACCTATGAAACCCGCACTTTCCAAGGTCACCTGATTGCAGATAGAGTTGGACGCCTGATGGCTTCCCTTGCACCACATGCAAAAGCCAAATGAAGGAGACTCTTTCTCGGGGCTTGGGTGTACCAGCCCCCTCCGTAAATTCACCAGGCTCTTCAGCCCGACATTTCGGGGCCTTGCCGGAAAACTCACCGCGCAACTCAGCCGCTGTGGGCTCGCCTTCGGCTCGCCTTCGGTGCCACCGGGCGCCCGCGCCGTTGCCGCCCACCCCGGGCCCAAGGAACAGCATCGAGGCGCCCTCCGCCTGGCGCGCGAGGCGATGCCACTCCAAGGCGTCGACTCGAGGTCCGGGAAAAACATGGAGCTCCGGCCCCCCATGTCCCTCCCAGCGGCATCTGCCAGGAACTCCAGCGAACTTCAGGTGAGCCACGGTCAATTTTGAACACTGAAACTTGGCAAGTAACCCACTGTCGTCCCCTTAACAGTCGATGACAATGGGTGTGTCTTCTCTTTTATGGCCCCTTCTTTTGGTTTTACTGGGGAACCACCAGGAAAACCGAAATCCATTTTGGGGGTCCCCTATGTTTGAAAGGATTCGAACCCCCAAGATGATTTTTCGATCTTCCTTGTGGTTTCCTTGCAAAACCACCAAAAACACGGTCCAAATCCACACGGCCGTGTCACATCCAGTGACCATTGCTGTGGCTCAGACCTTCCCTGTCCAGCCGCCTTACAAGCGGCCAGGAGCCCGGACTTCACGTCCCCCGAGGGCTGCGTGACCTCGCGTGGCTTCGATTCTAAAGCCCGAGGTTTCCGTTTGAGTCAGCTCACACAAAACCCATGGACGATGTCTTCTACCAACCCAGCTGCAAGTTGCCATTTGTGTGCAAGACCAGGTAGAACCACCTAATGTGGCAAATGAGAGGTTTGTGCGCTGCTCATGCGGGGCTTCTTGCGGTAAAGGCCCTTGTGGGTTTGGTTGAGGCCTGCCACCTGTTTGCCCAAAATCCCAACGCTTAAAAGAAACAATCATGCCCCGCCAGCTTTTTCAGCCGAGTTGCCCCCCTTTTTTCCAGCATCGCAATCAAGTGTGCAAGCCAAACAGCATTGCGTGGGGTCAACGTTCCCTAAAATGTGCCCTTTTAGCATCATCCCATCAAAGGAATCTAATTTTGACAGGGCAACCAACAGGTTGGTTGAAACCACCTTGTAAGGGCAAACTCAGTGAAACCAACAGCCGAACATGGCGCACCACACTCAAACACTTGCCGCAAACAGGGCGCACGGGAAATCCAAACGAGAAACAACCCGTCCCAAACACAACGTCAAGTCGGTTCACTGGACATCTTGAGGTGAACATCTTCAGGGTGATTTTCAGAGGGTGATTCTTTTTGATTGCCAGTAGGGTGGTTTCTGTTTTGTTGACCTTTAAAACAAGCGAAACATCGATCCATCCAGCCAATCAACCTAACTACCTACCTACTACCTACCTAACTACCTAACTACCTACCTAACTACCATTCCATCTATTCCATCCATTCCATCCATTCCATCCGTTCCATCCGCTCCATCCGTTCCATCCGTTCCATCCGTTCCATCCGTTCCATCCATTCCATCCATTCCATCCATTCCATCCATTCCATCCATTCCATCCATTCCATCCGTTCCATCCATTCCATCCGTTCCATCCGTTCCATCCGTTCCATCCATTCCATCCATTCCATCCATTCCATCCATTCCATCCATTCCATCCGTTCCATCC